TAATCATCACGAAGTGTAGCTAAAAGAGCAAGATCTCGGTCAGTACAGAGAACTGGTAATTGGAATATCGGGAATTCAAGCCATGAAAAGAAAGTTTTTAATGCCTATTTATATGACTCTTCCTGCTCATTTTGTATAAAGCAAAAGCCAACACTAAACGTTGTATTTGATGGTGAAACGCCTATAATATGGAGTAATGGCATTTCATAGCGATTCGTCTTATAGGTGCAATCCAAAATAAATACCCTACTATACTTATTAGCGTAATGAATTGATTCTGGGTGAGCAAACATAAAAAAGGTAATACGTCCCTCTATATCTTGTTTAAATGTAAACTTCCAGTTATGAATAAGTAGCTGCTTTTGAAGATATTGAATTGGCGTACATCCAGCAAGTTGTTCACGCAAAAAGGCTGTTCTAAGGTTATATAAATCCCTTGGTATAATTAACAGAGTAGGATCGCTCTTTTTGATCACGCTAATAATCTGCCGGGGAGAGATACCTTCATCGAGCTGATTACAGATAGTAGTTTGCTGCTCTGAAGTAATTGTACGCGCAGCTGGATGAGCGATTAGATTGCTTTCAAGCTCATGAGAATGCTCTAGATTTTTCACTCTGATACGCCATCTACCATCGGCTTGAAAGCCTTTTAAATGGACGTATCCATAGAGCCGAAAGCTGCATCCAATTCGCCTAGTACTAGTCTTCCGGCGTTTTGCTCCATCTGGTATATTGATCCTGTCGGTATACTTACCTCCACGATCACAACCAATAGTGATGTTCTTGCCAGGATTAGATCGAATTGTAGTGATAACATAGCCCTGAGATGAGGCGTAGTGACGGAGGACAGCAAGCATCTCGTCTCGGGAGTCATATATTTGATCAAATGGGGTTGCCATAATAGAAATTGAATGATAAATTGAGTCAAATTTCTATTCAAATAGTGAGTCAAATGGGAAGTCAAAAATATTGATAGATTTAAGAGGGAAACACAGTATAATAATAATAATAAGTAGGTGCATACTGTTGCTATAGTAATTAGTTAGCAATGGAATGGTATGAGGGTATACAGTTGTGGTAAGATTATCTAATAATAAATATTAGATAATCAGTTTTTGTGGTGCCGTTAGTAAAAAACTGTGGTGTCCTTATCAATTCCCTGTCCCGAACAAAAGCTGTGCTGTCCCTATCAATTCCCCAGTTGAGGGGAATTGCTAAGGGCACCCCCAACTTTGCTAGAGTCACCCCTAATTATGTAATACCAGTGATTATCTAATATAAAATATCAGGTGATCTGTATCTGAAATACTATAGCAACAGCATTCTTAATTTGTTTTCTATTCTCTTCCTACCACTACTCCCCTCGAAGCAATGGAACCTCCAGTTGAACAGGTGTTTGATAGTAGGGAGCTACTACTTGCTTCTGTTCGTCAGCATGCTCTCTCTTACGGCTATGCCGTGCACACAGGATTTCTAGTCTGTTGAAGAGCAAACAAGCTATTCCACTGACTGATATCCACCCGTTTTGGAGGACCGGCCTTTGTGAAACTGAATCGGAATATCTCCCGCTCTTAGAGCCTCTGGTTCCTCTTCCGAGGGCTAAGAAACGGAAGATAGATCAAGTAGAGCAAAATAACGAGTGTGAAGCTATACAAAAGCGAAGGAAGGCACCGTCAAAATGCACTACATGTAGGAAAATAGGGCATACACGGAGGTCATGTAAATAAAAATGAATTTCAGATACAGATCACCTGATATTTTATATTAGATAACCACTGGTATTACATAATTAGGGGTGACCCTAGCAAAGTTGGGGGTGCCCTTAGCAATTCCCCAGTTGAGTAGCTGATTACCTAATAAGCTTTAACTTTTGTATAGTCTGGCTTATTCGGCTTCTGCAGCAGAATACCTTTAGCTATTTTCTGTATCTCTGGATGGACGCTGAGCCTGAAGCACTGCTTTACCGGAGCTATTAGCCGGGGACTGTCCCAGTCCAATAGTAATCGCAAAGCTCTAGAATTCAGCTTATCGATACCAGGGGCCTTCTGAATAGTTTGATGAAACAGTGCCTGTTTGACCTTCGCTTCATCGATCTGGGTGTACCAGGTCCCTGGTGGTAGTCGCTCAGGGTCTTTTTCTTCCGGGGCCAGTAGAAATGCTGTTCCTCGTACTAAGGCCTCTTTTTCATTGATGGTGACTGCTGTTTGGCCCCCTGGGCCTTGTAAGGCTGGTATAATACTAGCCCCACTGGTCTTGGTATATCGAAGTGCTTGCCAGCACCTTTCCGATTCGCGAGGGCCTGTCTCCCCATCCTGCGGTCTTACTAGGAATGTCTCCCAGCATTCCCGTTTGGCCTTTCGAATAGCGTTGTAGTAGATGTTTCAGATTGCCTTATATTCGCTGTCCTAGATACTCTGTATTATCAAGGCCCGCTTTGCTCGAGCGTAATTTTGTCTGGCTTTTTTTTTATCGCTGGGCCCTACTATCGTTTTGATCGAGTTGTTACCCGCAGTTTCTTTGCGTGTTAATTCAGTACAGTTATAAGACTCTCTTGGACCTAGTAAGCCTCTTTAGCTAATTTATCATATTGGCAAGTATCATCAATCTGTTTTTCCCGGCTTGATATATGGCTCTAAGCTTGTTTTGCCTTCTCTAAGGCTTCTGAAGTTCTGGATCTGCCTGTAGAGTCTGGATCTGCCAGCCTGTGATTTCTGCTGAGGTATCGCGGACTCTCTTTCCAGAAGTACCCATTCCATTACTATTAGTTCATGATCTGAATCATCTGATCCCGTAGGATATTCTTGATCTACCATCCACATTGGCAGTGGTCTTTAATTTAGGTAATTTTATTAGAATAAACAATATTCTATATAACTAATTAGAGTTATACAAGATCTAATATAAAAAAACACGCTATTTTTTTTAATCGTGGTCTTGGCACCGAACAAGGGGATAGATTACATGTATCCTTTAAGCGATTTTCCTGGAGTGCAGCTTCAAGAAGCCATCTCCCTAATCTCCGGCCGCCGGCAGTCGCCCGGAGCGCAGCTCCTACTCCGTACTGGTGGTCGGCTGTTACGGATAGTTAGGAGCCTATTATAACCAAACTTATTACTGTTAGTAATCAAGGCTCCTTCTTTCCAACTAGTTACGGAGACCATAACTCTCTTGAACTAGTCCGCCATCTAGAATAGTGGCTTCACAAGATTTTTATTATTGAACCAACTCTCAAATCTGAAGTTCTGCCCCAACATATTCAAAAGGCCAAGAACAAAAACCATCGGATCTGATATTCGCTGTACACCATGTCATTCTCTAATCTTGTTTCCGATCTGGCCTTCAGAGACGCCCTTGACGACCGCAGCTCTCAGATATCCCGTGCCCGGTCACAAGCCACTGCTCGATCGCACACAAGTACTGCTGCGACAAGTGTCAGCATATCTGGTGACATCTCAAGCCATCTTCACGCTGGTTACAGCCACCCATTGAGCCGGTCATGGCAAGCTGAAAGACAACTCACCAAGGTGTGCATCCCTTCTCTCTTTATGAACATCCAAATACTATCCCATCGTTGCCTGCAAGTACTGATTGAGAAATAGGAAATGTTGATTTACCCGCTGTTCATCACTGATAACCCGGATGAAGAGACCCCCATACCGTCACTCCCTAACCAGTATCGCAGAGGACTAAATCGGCTTGTCCCTTTCCTGAAACCCCTTGTTCACAAAGGGTTGCGCTCGGTGATGTTGTTTGGTGTCCCACTTCAGCCTTCTGCAAAAGATGCCCTGGGAACAGCTGCAGATGATCCTTCTGGCCCAGTCGTCCAGGCCATTCGTCTTCTTCGATCGCGCTTTCCCCAACTTTACATCGTAACGGATGTATGTCTTTGCGAGTACACGTCTCATGGCCATTGCGGAATACTCCGGGAGGATGGAACTCTTGACAATGCGCAGTCGGTCGATCGTATCTCAGATGTTGCTCTGGCTTATGCTGCTGCTGGGGCCCATTGTGTTGCCCCGTCGGACATGAACGACGGCAGAGTGCGTGCGATCAAACTAAAACTCATTGAGGCAGGGATTGCCCACCGAGTCCTCTTAATGTCTTACGGGGCAAAATTTAGTGGTTGTTTGTATGGCCCTTTCCGTGATGCTGCAGGCTCGTGTCCTTCATTCGGAGACCGCAGATGCTATCAACTACCCCCGGGAGGTCGGGGTTTGGCCCGGCGTGCAATGCAGCGCGATATTAGCGAGGGCGCAGATATCATCATGGTGAAGCCTGCGGGTAGCCACTTGGATATTATACGGGATGCCAGGGAGCTTGCAAGCGACCTTCCGATTGCGGCCTACCAAGTGAGTGGCGAATATGCCATGATACATGCCGGCGCTAAAGCCGGCGTCTTTGACCTGAAGTCAATGGCGTTTGAAAGCACCGAGGGTATCCTTAGGGCGGGCGCCGGAATTGTAGTAAGTTACTTTGTTCCAGAATTTTTGGATTGGCTTTAGCATGTGTAACTTGTGCTGTCCTCTTCGTTGTCCATCAATCGTTTCGTTAGTTTTCATTCAACGGTGTAGTCATGAAATACGGGTTATGCCCATGTGTTATTGGTCTTGCTTTTCTGTATTGCCGCTCTATCACTTGAAGGCTCTGGGTAGGCTTCTTGGCAAAGCCAGTCCAGAACACCATAGAGACCGGCGGTTGGATATGGCGCAGAGCGTTATGTACTGAATCCATACAAGTAGCACTGAACCGAAAATAAACTTGCATCTTGTCTCACAGTTCTCGGCGAACCCATAAAAAATTAACATGAGCGGAAACAGAACCAAGTCTACTATAATACCGAAAACGCCCTTACCATCATCGAATGAGCGAGAAGGCAAGACCCAGTTCGTTTCACTAGTCTACACGTTGCTGTGCAAAACGGCTTCATGATCATCATATATAATATAGGTGCAGATTGATGCTGTACTCAACATAGGATCTCTACTTAGTTTACAACCTCTTCACATGTAGCTTGGTTTGAGACCCTGGAAACCATAAGCTACAATGTCGGATTTGACTATTTCCCCCGGAGCGACATATGCCCCGCGTCGAAGACGAACACCAGGATAAATGATGCAACCAGCACCAACATAACAGTCTTCTTCAATTGTAACAGGTCGCCCCTGATAGCGACTTTGCGTGCCTTTCCGTTCCTGCATATTCGCGTGAGCCATTGAGCTAAGGATAGTAACCTTGGGGCCTATCCATGTGTGAGCGCCGATGGTGATAGGGCAGTCATCCACAAATAGGCAGCTCTCGGATACCATCACATCCTCCCCAATATGAATGTTGTACCCATAGTGGCACTGGAAGGGTGCCTCAACAAGAGCTCCTTGCCCAATTGTCCCTGTTGCCCGAGGCGAGGAGACGCCCGACGGCGAGCCAACTGGTGAGCTATGTGGTACCAGAACTTCCTTCAGAAGACGATTCTGCTCCTTTGCGTTGAGCCCCGAGACAGGATTGCATGCGCTATTGAACCGCCATAGTGCCGTTCTACATCGCTCACGTTCCTCAACAAGGTGGACATCAAATGGTCTGTAGAGCTCACCCCTAATCATTTTATCCTTTTCCGTTTCCTCGCCAGACACGGTACGAGTAGACAGTTGATGTTCAATACTTAGAGCCATCCGCGCTTGTGCTTGCGGACTGGTCGTGTCTATAGTACTGGCAATGGTTGGCCGCTGATCAATACCACTCTGAAATAACGAGACGCCCTGTTTTCCATGTGTGTGGGAAAGCTCTCGGATGGGTGGAACGATCTGATAATCGGTCTTCGGGTGTCCTTCACGGGGTAATTCATGAATCGAGGGTACCTCACGGTAATCCGATTTGGGAATGTGCTCGGGGATATAGGCGGGATGCGCCGTGCCTGGCCAATTTCGCTTGGACCAAGAGCCGCGATTTGACGTGGGGCCTGTTGGGCTCGAATTGAACTGGGATGTGGATCGGTCACCCTCGTCGACAATGATTGGCCTTATCTTGCCGGCTTCAAGCTGATCATTCAGGTTATGTTGGCGGTCGTGGTGTTGGCTGACTTCATGTATGTATTGGCTACCGATATCGGCATACCCATCCTTTGATTGAAGCGGAACGGGCGTCTTTGCGTTGGAAGGTTTTTGCCATGTACTCCTGGAGGAATAGCCCTCACAGAGGAAGCCGCCCCTGATACAGTTGTTACCTATGACTGGGTCAGAGTTCGCGGGGCACTATGTACAAGTACGGCTTGCTAGGATGGATTTGAGAGAATGATTTCGCCGGAGAACCTACATGCTGGATGTTGCTCATCGCACTTTTTCTTTCTCCTTCGGCACGTCATGCAGCCAGTTTTAGTTCTGTTGCTAAACACACGCTTTCTTTTTGGCGCAACTTGCACAGCCGTCTGTTGCCGTTCTTGAGCGAAAGCAGATACTGGTGAAGGGTGGTCACTGTGTAGCTGTACTTCTCCTGTGCGATGAATCACGCCCCAGTCCTTCTGAGTTGCATCTTGGCCATGAGCTTCGCGCTGGAGTGCTTCTGCCAGCTGAGCATCTGAGGCGTCAATTTGCTGCGCACGCTGGGCTTGGTTAATCAACTGCGAGTCATAATCATGCCAGCTAGCATTGGTTGATGATGCCCTTGAAGCCTCTTTGTCCTCCGATCTTAGATTCACCGCAGCAGCGGAATTGCTTTTGAGCTCACGATCGCTGTGGATGGCTGGATTGCCGTTTGACGTGGGCGGCTGCGTCGCACCATCTATACTTTCATCTAGGCGAGAAGCCGGGCTTCTGGGCCCCTCCTGTGACATATAATCATCCCCTTGCTCGTCGGATTCTGACCGCTTCCTTTTGCTCCTGCTTATGGGAGATCCACCGCGTGACAGCGAGCGCTGCGACCGTTGATCATCTTGCTCATGTTCTGTAGTGCCGTTTTCACGGGTTCGATCGTCGTGCCGAGGCAACGTATCCTCATGAATATGCCTTTTCCAGCCTTCAGAGACATCTCGCTGCTCCTGGTTGTTCGATGACCCGTTGGGGGTAGTTGCAGAACCTCCGCCGGAAAGCAAAAGATCCTTTCCATTAACTGCTGTAAAGCGTGACGGACTGTGGTCCGCCCTGTAGTCCCTTTCCGACTCGTGGTCGTCCATCGCCGACGCAGAGGTGGAAGCGGCCATGATATGGTTGGCACGAGCCGAGCTCGGTAGAGGTAGGGCAAAATCTAATCCCAGCAGTCTCGTTTCCCGTCGCTCGGACAAGGACACTATGCTTGCTTGCTTGCTCTGGTAAGTTCGCGGTTCTCGGCCCTTTCAATCCACGTTGGGAACCGAAACCATCAGATTCCATACAAACTTGCATGCGCTGACTATAACGCGCAAGGCCAATCGCAAGGACAAATGGGAGTAAAGACAGCGGAGCTAAAGTAAACAGAGCAAAATTTGATTGAGCGTCGCTTTTGCTGACAACCGATGTTAATAAAGGGCCGAATAAGATGCCAAGAGGTTGATTTCAAGACAGAATATTGTTAGCGATTCGCGCGGGGGGGGAAAGAGAACGTCAAGCGGAGATACAAAGTCCACCCCTCTAAAGGTTACAATTCAGAGGGAGAGAGTGGGTACAAGAATGGTAGACGAATTAAAATGGGAAAGAAGGCTTATGGCATATGACGCTCAATCTTTCAATGCTGGATTTTTGCAAGGAAAAGGAAGGAAGAGAGGGAATGGAAAGAGATGTCAAGCCAGCGCCTCCCATCGACAAGTTCAGTAGATATTCCGCAGTTGTAAATGAAAGAGGGGAAGAGAAAGCAAAGAAAGGAGGGGGTTGTAGCGTGGTTGTACTGTTCAGGTATGGGAGGGGAGTGGGATAAGCGATCGCAATTCAACATGTAATATGCCAGAGCGAGTGAGATCTTTAATGTGTTTTATTTTTCCCGTCGCTTTTTCCTTTCCTCTTTTTGATTTTTATTTTTAATAAATCTTCTTTTCTTTTTTTTTTTTTCCCTTCTCGTTTTCCTTTTCTCTTTTTCTTTTTTCCCTCTTCCAACCCCCTTTTTTTTTGCCGCCTCCCAAGGGAACAACGGGGTAGACCACTGGGGAGAGAGGTCCAATAGTAACAGTCCGAAGATAATGGTCTTGACAAGGGGGGAAGGTTAGTTGGAGGGGTCGGAACAGGAGAAGCGAAGCAAACAAGCACAACCCGAGTAATTAATTATGTTATTGTCACGATAAATAATAAGGCCGACGACACGTAGGAGGACAGGATTTCAGGTACTTGTTAATCGAAGATGCGGCTGCCAGCTGGCTGATGCGAACTCAATTGGCTCTGGCTTGACGCGCGATCGGCCACACCGCGCCATCCGAAGCCGCTGGTTGGCCACTTGGTGCAAAAGGAGTCACATAAGTTAGTACACTTAGTACACTTAGTAGGTGTGATGGCGCGCTCAGGCGACACGCCACCTCGAGAAAAGGGGGAGATGGGTGGGACCCGTGATTGTTATTCTTCCTGGCGATGCCGCAACTTCTCACGTCGCACCTCGGGCAGTCAAGTCAGTCACCCTCTTGATTTCTCGATACCCGCCAGGGAAGCGCGGCACGGCGGCCGCGGGGATGAGCTTACTCGGGGTGGGTCAGCATTCCCCCCTCTCTGGCCGATACAAAATACTGAAAATGATCATTAATACGCCCCCATCAACTAATCACCCGCTTCAACAAGGGTACGGAGTGTACGGAGTACTCTGTCGTTGGGTCGGGTATGAAGTAAATAATCCTCAGCCTTGCCTCAATCAATTCCTTCGATTTTGGCGCCCGAGAGCCCTAGGCACGCGGCTACGGATGTTAGATTACGCACAGGGCATAGGCAGCTACAAGTAAAAACATGCATATACTGAGTCGGCCAAGTGAGGCCACCAGGCCACCAGGCCACCGTAGGTAGGCGTCCCGACGAAATGGGTAGGCGGTACTCTGTACTCCCTACTAACCAGGAGTAGAAGTAGGCTTTGATGACTAAGAGCGCGGTCGTGGTTAGTTAACTAACTCACTGACTAGAGATGTACCGGACCCCGTCAAAGTCCCTACAACTCAAGCAAAGCGCCTTTATTCTCACCGCCAGTACTCTGCACAGCATTAAATTCTGACAAAGAGTCATATCTGCAGTTACTGACTCTTTTGAGTTGGCGTCATTCAACCCCGCCCCATCTTTGGCCATTTGATTACTCTGTTTGACGAGCTTAAACGTCTTTGGCGAACCCCTCCAAGAAAGCTCGACCCCACCAAAGCATTCAACCTAACCTTCCTGCTCTCCTTCACACAACTGCCGCCTTCACCTGATTTGAGCCGAGGCTTTTACCGTCTCCTCCTAGATTTAGGACGTCTGCCGTGGTTAGGGCCGTGCAGAGGACAGTATTGCTGATATCTGGTCCGGGATGTCGGTTTCCATACAAGAGCTGGACAACACTGTCCGGGCCTTCTATGAGGGCAAAGGAGACCTGGTGAGTTTCGACTAGATATCACTTGCTCTGCGCAAGTTACTAATGCATTCTTTCAACCTTACAAGCAAAAACAAGCCCAGCAGACTTTGACGGAGGTGAGCCCACTGGTGTCGTGCGAAGAATCTTGCCATAAGAGACTGTTTTGACTTATTCTCAACGTTTAGTTCAAACAAAACCCAGACGCTTGGTTAATTGTAGGGAATATCCTTCAAGAGTCGTCGTATCCGCAAACCAAATGTGTGATGACCTCTGCCGTTCCAGTCATTTTCAAGCCCGGAGACTGACCGCTGACAACATCAGATCTCGCTCTCCAAGTCCTTGACGATGTCATCATGACTCGCTGGAAAGTCTTGCCAAGGGAACAATGCTTAGGTAGGGTTGTTGGATGTGGTTAGGTTGAACTGAATTGATCTGACTTGTCTAGGTATCCGGAACTTCATTGTCAACTTCATCATCGAGAATTCCAACTCGGAAGAGAAGCTTAGAAGTGAGCGAGCTTTTCTGAACAAACTCAACCTGGTTCTTGTTTCAATCTTGAAACAAGAATGGCCACACAATTGGCCAACCTTCATCAACGAAATTATTTCGTCCTGTCATACGAGCTTGTCGATTTGCGAAAACAATATGTCCATCCTTCGATTATTGTCGGAGGAAGTCTTTGATTTTTCCCAGGACCAAATGACCTCGGTCAAGGCGCGGAACCTGAAGACTTCCATGACGCAAGAGTTTTCTTCCATCTTTCAACTGTGCTCAGAAGTCCTCACCACGGCGAACCAACCCAGCTTAGTCAAAGCTACGCTAGAAACTCTTCTGCGATTTTTGAATTGGATTCCACTCGGATATATCTTCGAGACGTCCATCATCAACACTCTCATTAACCGTTTCCTGGATATTCCCGATTTTCGGAATGTGACTCTCAAGTGCCTCACTGAGATCGGAGGGCTGCAGATAGGGAACCCGTACAATTACGATGAGAGGCTAGTCCACATGTTCACGGAAACACTGACAATCGTCTCAAAGACCATCCCGCTCTCAATGGACTTGAAACAGACATTCGCCAAGAGCAATTCGAGGGACCAGGAATTTGTACTAAACCTGGCACTATTTCTATGCAGCTTCTTCAGTGCCCATCTCACTGTAAGTCCCACAGTCTCTTTCACAGTTTGCCTTGCGACGCAATGAAGTATGGGTGCACTGACTAAGGCGTGCAACAGCTCATCGAGAAACTTCCTAACCGGGACTATCTTACGCACGCGCATTTCTATCTCATTCGCATCAGCCAGATCGATGACCGCGAGGTTTTCAAGATCTGCCTGGAATACTGGACGCGCCTTGTTCAAGAACTTTACGAAGAAATGCAGCAGCTCCCGATCACTGATATCAACCCGCTCGTGAGCATGGGTGTTAGTGGTCTATCGAATGGAGGAGCGCCGCATCCTAGCACATTGGCCAATTACCCTCTGCGCAAGCACAAATACGAGGAGGTCCTGTCAAGCCTGCGTACCGTCATGATAGAAAAAATGGTTCGTCCCGAGGAAGTCCTGATCGTCGAAAATGACGAAGGGGAGATAGTGCGGGAGTTCGTGAAAGAAAGCGACACGATCCAGCTTTACAAAACAATACGGGAGTGCTTGGTTTACCTCACGCATCTCGACGTCGTTGACACCGAAAATATCATGATTGATAAGCTGGCCAAGCAAGTCGATGGGTCCGAGTGGTCGTGGGCCAATTGTAATACGCTCTGTTGGGCAATTGGGTCAATCTCTGGAGCCATGAACGAAGAAACCGAGAAGCGCTTTCTTGTCACTGTTATCAAGGATCTCCTTGGTCTTACAGAGATGAAGCGTGGCAAAGATAACAAGGCTGTTGTGGCTAGTAATATCATGTACATCGTGGGACAGTACCCCCGCTTTCTCAAGGCCCATTGGAAGTTTCTGAAGACAGTTGTCAATAAGCTCTTCGAATTCATGCACGAGACGCATGAAGGTGAGTTTCCGGCTCTTGGTCCTATATACGTCGTCTAACATTTACTAGGTGTTCAGGACATGGCTTGTGATACCTTCATAAAAATTGCGAACAAGTGCAGACGTCACTTCGTTGCTCTGCAACCGGGAGAAAACGAGCCCTTTATCGAAGAAATAGTTCGCAATATGAGAAAAATCACCTGTGACCTTTCACCACTGCAGGTCCACACATTCTACGAGGCATGCGGCTACATGATTTCTGCACAAGGACAGAAAGGTCTCCAGGATCGACTGATTGAAAACCTGATGTCACTACCCAATGCCGCCTGGGACGAGATCATTGCTCGGGCCAATCAAAACTCGTCCATTCTCCAGGACGGCGAAACGATCAAGATCGTTGGAAATATTATGAAAACAAACGTTGCTGCATGTTCGTCGATTGGCACTTACTTCTACTCTCAACTCGGACGCATCTATCATGACATGCTCAGCATGTTTCGAGCGTCCAGCGAGCTGATAAGTAGTGCTGTTTTGCAAGACGGTATGGCCTCGCCCAGCTTTGTATTCCCTCTGCAATTATTTTCTCGGCGCGCCTTTTCTTTGACTCCATATGCCAGCCACTAACTTTGTTTAGGAGAAATTGCCACCAAGACCCCCAAAGTCAGAGGGCTGAGAACAATCAAAAAAGAAATCCTCAAGCTAATTGACACCTACGTGCAAAAGGCTGATGATTTGGAGATGGTCAATGCCAATGTTGTTCCGCCGCTTCTTGAGGCCGTTTTGCTGGACTACAGCCGTAATGTTCCGGATGCACGAGAAGCTGAGGTTTTGAATGTGATGACAACGATCATTCATAAACTCCACGTATGTATCTTCCACTGCTTTGCCTCCTTGCCTTCCTCCATTTCGGGAAGCACTTTATGTTGTATGGCCCTCAGCTCCGGCAAAGACTAACCTTCCTTCCCAGAACTTGATGGAGGACAAAGTTCCATTGATCATGGAGAGTGTTTTCGAGTGCACACTCGAGATGATCAACAAGGACTTCCACGAATATCCCGAGCACCGCGTGCAGTTTTTCAAATTGCTTCAAGCTATTAATTTATATTGCTTCCCAGCCTTACTCAAACTCGATGCCACGCAATTCAAATTTGTGATCGATTCCTGCATGTGGGCCAGCAAGCATGACAATCGCGAAGTGGAGAACACTGGCCTTACGATGTGCCTTGAGCTTATGAACAACATGGCAGAAACGGATGCTCAAACGTCAACTTTCTTCTTCCGTCAGTTCTATATTGCGATACTACAGGACGTTTTCTTTGTTCTTACAGATAGTGACCACAAAGCCGGTATGTATCCCTCCCTGACCGACCTGTAGACGAGACTTATCTTTCTCTAGGGTTCAAATCGCAAGCAATGCTTCTGTCACGCATGTTTTACTTCATCGAATCCGGGAAAGTGCAGGAGCCAATCTATGCCCCAGAGCAAGCACCGCTTGGAACATCGAACAAGGATTTCTTGCAGGAATATGTCGCAAATCTACTGCAAACTGCTTTCAAGAACCTCCAGGAGTATGAGTTCACCCGTGACTGCCATAGTTTATTCAATACAGCGGCTGACTCAGAGCACAGGGTTCAAATCAAGCAATTCGTCATCGGGCTGTTTTCGTTCAACGACGATTTCAACAAGTTCAAAACTCACTTGCGAGATTTCTTAATCTCCCTCAAAGAGTTCGCCGGCGACAATGCCGAGCTATATGCGGAAGAGCGAGAGGAGGCTTTGCGAGACGCCAAAGCGGCTGAGCGCGATCGGGCAATGAGAGTTGGAGGTCTTCTAAAACCATCCGAGATGGACCAAGAAGACGAGCTATGACTAGACAAAGAAGTACGCCCTGAGGTTCCCCCCCAACTTTCATGCCTTGAAGAGGTTGGTGATGGCATGGAGAAGTCAGAATCTGCCTGTGACAAAGACCAGCTTGATGGCTGGTCTTTTTACGGAGTTTGAATCGAAGAATTACTAGCCTTCCATCACAGAGTTCAGGATGCGTGTTTGCATTACTATTTTTTTTTTTTTTTTTTGATATAGTCGTCTTTCCATTGTATTCACTCCATACAAACCGCATCTATTATGTGACCTTGGACCTTCCAGGTCTTGCGCGCCAACACAACGCTGATATCGTATGGATCTCTGCGTCCATGGGCCAATTGTCACGTACATGGCATGTATGCAGTTAATTACGGAAATATGGCCTTAAAATTATGCCTGAATCTATTTTTCCAGATAGGAGAAAAATGTAAATTGTATTGTACCAAGCCGTATTATTGAGATATTCAGTGTTTGAACGTCATCAAGCATTGTGCCAGGCAGATATAAGGCTGTTTGGCGCCAAAGGCGGTGAGACTCAAGATCCGTATTCAATCGGCGGGTGGCTTTCCTGACATCTCCCGTTCCATACTTAGTTTGCTCAGCATATTACGGAATATTCATACAAGATTTCCTTCCGTCTTGCGCCCAACCTTGTCACCGAGTGGTGCTATCGGCTTTCAAATCTCTTAAGTACAGATATTTCTAAACTTCGAATCAGATCTTTAGCGATGTCGCGATCCTTGCAAACCCCCCAGGGAGCACTGCTATCAGGATCCCAGGTTGAGTCAATTTCCCGCCAGCCTGCTGAATCTTCAGTCGGTACGCAAGGTACACTGCGATTAAGGGCCGAAAACAACCCCTCTGCTAGTGCAAATGGCTCGGATAGTTCTACATCCAGACGCATACGGTGGAGTGAAGATGTTGTAGATAATGAAGGGATGGGCAAGAAAAGCTCCAAAGGTGTGTGAACCCCGAGTTTACGCTTTTTCGATCTAGTCTTTCACTGCCAAGGATCAAATTGCCTCTAACTTTACTGCACCGGGGCACTCGTATCAAAGTGTGTTGCATCTACCATAAAACCCGCCCTGTCGGCGAAAGTAGTTCGGAGTCGGAGTCTTCAGATTCGAGCTCTGATGATTCGGACAGTGACTGCGAGAGAAATCAACGGCATGCTAGACGCGACGGTCATGATCACGACCAAGAACGCCCGGATCACTCTCAACAGACAAATAAGACGGCGCAGTCAAAATACTCCAAACACCATGGGAAGTATAATCAGAGAAAGCGAAGTCCCAATGCCTACGAGAAGATGCCTAGAACGAATAAAGGTCAATGAAGACGTGGTCGCTCGGATCGGATAATTACCTTCATCGGGCCGAGTTGAAGAAAACATACCTGAATGTCGGAATGGTATGTTACAATATTTAGAAAAATCGACCCTCAACATGTATGCTCTCATCAATCATCTTTCGTGCGCTGGCCTAACCTTGGACATAAGCCGGGTTTAATGAATATAGCTAATTTGGGCGATCTTTTTTGTTCCAGTAAATCGTATCAATTCCAAGATGGCAAAGGGGGTATATACGTATTAGGCGCAATGAACCTCGGATGGAAAACTTCACTTAAATACACCAATTCTTGGTCAATTTGACCTGCTAACTCACAGCATCATGCTTCTCCGTCTGGCAGACACCCGTTTGGCTCGCCTTTTTTGGCCTGGTCCGATCTCCAATGACGCTGTTGATTGATTGTGGGGGTTTCCTGAGTTAGGCGCCTGGAGGTTCGCTGATGAGGCAGACGTTTCATCCATCACCAGGTCGCTTGAGGGAGATAGTATAGGCGAAAAAGATGGCGACGCAGCGTCTGGTGATTCTCTGCTTGAGACAGCCTTACTTTGCTGAAGTGGGGGTTCCCGCAAATGGGACCTTTGATTCGTGGAATGACGCCGAGGTTGGGTTTTTGTACATGATGCTGTCTTCCACATATCCCCAAGTTCCATCGATGCATCGCTCATGTTTTCGAGAACTGGCTGACGTACATGTCGTTCCATATCTGTTTGTAGCTCGGTGATACTCTTGCGCTCTGGGTGCTTTTCATAACTGGGACTCATCATAATGGGTGAAGCTGTCGAATCATTAGAGGCATCACATTTGCCGGATACAATCTTATAGTCCAAAGATGGGGAGATTTTGCGTTTTCGCTGTGATATCGAATTCAACTGGTGCATAGAAGACTCTTCTGAGAAAAGTGCTGCCGCATCCATGTCTAGCGACCTGGAATTGGCCCGGGGAATCGTGCGTCCACTGAATTCGTCACCCCTGTCGGTTTTCGGTTCCCGGTGACTCGATGCCCTTCGTGATTGGCCATTGCCAACTGCTGCTATGAGTTCGTTGTTGGAACGGCGCATCTTGTCTCGCAAGTTCGGTTCCGCATAGCTAACGACTGCTCTCTGGCGCCTGCTGGGCCGTGACGGCGGATCGGAAGGTATTGCTGATGTCTCGTTCGTCGTCTCGTTCGTCGCCAAAGAGATCAAGGCCGACGGAGAATTTACTTCTTCTTTCGTGCAGTCCGGTTTTGTAGTAGTCGACTTGCGTTTTCTCTCATTTCGATGATTTGCATTATCTGCGGAATCACATCTCTCTGTTGGTTTACTTTCTCGATGACAATTGTTTTCATCGGCTGTTGATTTTGTGGGCTGGTCTCCATCACTTTGGACATCGCCGGGAAAGGAAGGTATCTCAGAATGTTTCCCTTTCGTTGGAGTCCGACGCCGGCCCGAGGAGACTACATTCATGTTTGCGTTCTCTGTAAATCTATTAGCAAGCAACTTGATGCGATTTTGAACTCCCACGTACTTGGCTTGAGCGCCCTGCGCTTAGGTTGCCCATGGTACATTGAGTCACTTTTCACCTCCAACGACTCTTCGGCTGGTTTATCACCGCATGGTTGATCACGTTCACACTTTCCGAAGACAGTTGGTCGGCTGAACTTGAAATCATCATCTGCTGGGGTTGCCCCAAAAGTGTCGCTCTCCGTGCGACAATTCAGTAGGACATCGGTGCCCTGGGTGTCTTCCGAGGTATTGTGCGATTGAACTGATTCGGATTTCATATTGAAACGATCTTCTGACCAAGAAGCATTGTATTTTCGCTTTTTCCTTGTTTCAAGTGTAGGGGGAAGAAACGTATCATTGATGCCAGAATCGTCGAGTCTGTTGTCCGCAAAATCGGCTCCTGGCTGTAGACACAAAGTGTCCTCTTCGAGCTGAATTCGAGTGATTGCATCCTCACTTCTTTGCGGGTTTGGCGTAGCTGTGCTCTCCATAGACTCATCCAATTCACAAGACCTATTCTGTTTGAGTAAAGGAGCAAGAGGGGTATTTTAAGATATTGCTCAAGACTGACCTTGGCTTGTCCCTTGGGCAAGACCCGTCCTCCGGTATGACAGGGAGTCTCCAATCTTGTTCGGGCGCGAAGCTCCGCTCATATTTTGCTTCATCGTGTCTCAGGTCCCAGTTCGACTGCGCCAAATCTCTCTGCCTCCCATCATCAACTCTTTCACTATAGGCTTTATTGAACTGGCGAGGTAACGTCCCCAACCCGATAACCAGATTATTAAGTTCAGTCAACTTGTTTTCGAGTTTGTTTTTGATATCGTATACCCCGTCATGCAGTGATTTGGCCGCCTCATATCTTTCCATCTCCTGGCCGAGGGCAATCGTCTGCTCCCTCAGGGAGACATTTTCGGCAAGTAAGTGAGAGACTTCGGACTCTAAGCTGCGTATACGAAGTGACTGTATCGAATTCACCCTGGCAAGTTCGCGATTCTGTCTCACAAACCTCCTTTTCACTGACGCAACGAGAGAAAGCCCCACCAGGTTAGGAATTTAGAAAGGTAGAAGACATTTCAATGGGAATTTTCTGAGGGAAGGACTCACGGGTTTCGAGTGACTCCACAGAGGTTGTTGATTCATTCAGGCGGGCCATGTCGCATGCCGAGCTGCTTCCCTGCTTCCCTGTCTATTTTGCACGCCGATCTTGGCCAGCAGCCGCAATATGCACTGGAGGCCTCACTGTGCAGACCAGTGAGAATGAAAATGTCGCAATGTGCTTTGTTTTGGTTTTCGGTTAGAGGGACTGCAAAATGTTCGAGGACCATGGAGTGGTATACGGAGCAGAGTACGGAGTAAACAGAAAGAGTTCGGAATGTTGATGTTTGTCCTGGTTGGGACTAGTGTCAGCTTACATAATGACAGGAAACCTCATCGGGCAGCCGCCTAGCAAAGCGGCAGATACGGTTCAACTTGTAGGATTGAGCGTCCGAATCGACTAGTATCATTGGTATGTATCGTGTTTTCTGTCCTGTGTCTTGCATCTCTCAAATCATTATGCTGAAGTGTCAGAAGTTTTCGAAGCAATATCTTCTATCGGGTTGGCTGCGGATGAAACGGCTTTGGAGTAACCCGTCGAATTAAGTCGAGCTTGCCATCATGGCCTATTCAGCACGCGCTAACTCGATATTCTCGGGTTCGTCTGCTGCACCGAGTCTTCGCCAGCAAAGTAGTCATAATGCCCAGCAATCGTCAGCTTTGGCTTCCCGTATTGCATCAAAAAAGTCCGAACTAGATAGTCTGAGGCAGCTTCGCGACATGAGCAATGCGCTGGCGATGCAGATGCAAGCCTTGGAGGATAAACTGGGGACACTGAAGGACGGCACGGAAGGTTTGTTGCACTGCTGGATGCTTTTCCTCTTTACTCTTTCTTACGTCACAAAATAGCTATTGCATGTGTCCTTGCCAATTGGCATAGCGTGCTACAGGCAATCAATATGGCATCCAGTAAGTGACGCGAGTCTTTATGAAAAGCCTGTCATATATTTTCTCAACCCCATCTGTTACTGGTTATCACTGGCAGAAAAGTGCTAATGTTCTGTGTTTGTGAAATTGTAGCAAAAGCCTCGACCGTCCACGAGGGGGCAGTGCCCCGATCAAACACTGATAATCAAAGTGGTGTGTCAGCGATGCCTTCGATTCTAGTCCGGATCCCCGCAGATCAGCCAGAGGACGCACGAGATTAAGAGACATGGTTGCGGGCGGGAAACTGTTGCCATATTTATTGAGCAGTATATCTGTGCTTACGATTTGGATGAAAATTAAATAAAAGGCTCGGAGCTCAGGAATCAATATAACGACGTTAATGTATATAACTACCCTGCGTGGGTGAAACCCATTTATGTTGGCTGCATAGCTCACTAACCGGTGAAGGCGCACCGGATTGAAGGCAGTATATCATCATCTGTTACGTATACGGTACCTCGGAAAGACCAAAATAATAAAAAGGAAACTAGAAGGCGGGGCACAGGCAAGCGGCGGTGGCGTCATACGTGGGGAGACCGAGAGGGACGCAAGTGGCAGTTTAAATTACACAATCTTAGTATTCCGAGAACCCAGTCAGTTAGGTAGTTCCACCACTGCATTGACTCCCATTCAGCACATTTCTTGATGGCTAACGACACAACCTCCAGCAAGGATCTTGCACCGACGGGTCATGTAGCCATACCTTTCTCCGCACAACAGTGTTCGCAAGACGGCAAAATCCATATCCTTCTAGCAGCCAGTGGATCGGTTGCAACGATAAAACTGCCTTGCATCGCTGAAAGACTTGGACGGCATCGAAATGTTTCAATTCGCATTATTTTAACGAAATCGGCGGAGAAGTTCTTAATGGGTCAGAGTACGGAGCAACCTTCCTTGGAGACCTTACGACAGATTCCAGGCGTGGATGCTGTCTATCAGGATCACGACGAGTGGAAGAACCCATGGACTCGCGGTATGCCAATCCTACATATCGAGCTAAGAAAGTGGGCGCATTTGCTACTTGTTGCTCCTCTCTCTGCCAATACGATGGCGAAGATGACAATGGGCTTCTCGGACAACCTTCTTCTCTCTGTACTCAGGGCCTGGGACACAACTGGAGCTGTGGATTCGAGTTCCAAGAAAACAAAGCCCATCGTGCTAGTAGCGCCTGCGATGAACACTGCAATGTGGAATCACCCAATTACTAAAAAGCAGCTTACTATCCTACGAGACGAATGGGGCCAAGACGATTCAACCCAGGAGGGCTGGGTTTCGATCCTATATCCTACCGAAAAGACACTTGCCTGTGGGGATAATGGAATTGGTGCTATGATGAACTGGACAGAGATAGTCGGGGCCGTCGAATTTCATTTTGGTATAGGAGACTCAACCCTGAAGCATAACAGTTGAGATTGTCAAGTCAAACCATCTGCTCTTGGGTCGTTGCTGGTGAGAAGATCTGCGCCCAGCTTTGGCGTCCTCAATAGCCCACATATGGAATTTCGAGGCCCAAACAGCCTGGAGGTAGAATAGGGCACTAGCTCAGGGTACAGATCTGTAACCCAAGGATTACGCACCGGAGACCCTGAGACGGCAACCGGGAGAGACCGACTAATTCTGCCTTTAATCAATTTCCAGTGCGCTTATTAAATTGCTTTCCGCCGCAGCGTGGCTTCTCTAGTAACTACTCTGTTGAAAAGCTAGCATGAGCCGCATCGGTAGTGTCACTGGTCTGCAAACTGCTTTTCTATTTGCGGGGATTAGTTGGTAAAAACATCGGCATTGCTGCATATCTAAACATAGCGAGCCAAGCTCCCCGCAAATGGAAGCGAGGAATGAAGGCTTGTTGCTTAATGACCTTTTTCATATGAGCCTGAGGAGTGACAGGACAACGCTAGAAAAAATTACTATGTTTGTTTGAATTCTTATGTTGTTAGCTTGGAGACAATTGTATACCACAGCTTTTATACTAAAGGGACCCTGACATGTAATTGATACAGAGGGCAGAGCAAGATAAAAATGAAGTGGTGTGAAATTCTACTTGAAAGGATTCTAGCAGAGAGGTTGAAAGTCATGTGAAGTATGAAGTAAGTATAGCTAAACAGGGTAGTTGATAGCTAAAAAGGCACAAGCCCGCCAAATGAACCGAGCTTGGTGGTCACCATCATTACCTACCCACACGTCCCGAGTGAATGGACCACCTCTTTGAGGCCATTGGCACCACTTTCCTCACCTAAACCCTCCTGCTTAATATTCCCTTCGCTTTGCCGCCCTTCTGATCTACCTACTATTCTTATTCTCACCAAGGGGTGACCTCCGCCTTTGATCATTTCCAAACCTACGCCGCGCACCTGTCCAATCGCGCAGATACACACCTGTCTGCCTCTTTACCTTGGAAACAGTCTTGGTCTGCTGTGTAAAATTTGGAGTTCTCTCTCTATGATTTAGGGTGAAACATGTCTTTGTGCCCACCTCCCAATACCACGCGCCGGACTTTCTCAAATCACCTGTCACTATGCCGAATCAACGCCCCCGGGCAGCTTTCGAGCCTCTCCCCCCCGACTTAGACGTGCCGGCTCTAGTTGAATCAACACCGAACTTTCAGTGGGCGCCTAAGTTTCACTGCAATGCCATTGATGCAAAAGGCCTGGAGAGCTTCGAAAAACTAGTGCAGCTCCATGTTGTCTTGGGTGGTATGCCCCTAGTTGTGGGAGGGTTCAACGAACGGCTGGACAACTCCCTATTCTCCGAAAAGTGGCTGAGAGGGGAATATGCAACGAAATGTGAGTGGCTGTCCGGGCATTCTATTGTCTGTAGTAAAGATACAGATACACACGTCTGTTTGTTTTACAATCTTACTCTAATACGATATTTCATCAATGACAGCGGAGACTGCCCGGAATTTGACGACCAAGACCAATCTTCCACTCACGATTGGCCATTATCTCAAGAACATGCCCCTTCTTACGAACCAGTGGAACTCTTTCAACTACAAAGAACCCAATCGACAGCGCATATATCTCAAGGACATTGATTGTCCACAGCAATGGCATGACTACCTAAAATCAGTCCTACCACCATTTTTATTCTACCTAAACCAGCCGGATGTCGCCGAATCATCTTCAAACCAAGAACAGGCGACAGGAGTCGGAGATCTGATGAGCTGCCTTCCGTCGAGTATGCGCGCGGAGAATTTGATGTGCTACATAGGTCACGAGGGGACATATACCCCAGCCCATCAGGAAATGTGTGCTAGTCTCGGGCAAAATATCATGGTCGAAGCGTCCGACGGCTTGATGGAATACGGGAAGGTCACCAAACCTGGTTCCTCGATTTGGTTTATGACTGAGAGCAAGGACCGTCACGTCGTCTCAGAATACTGGTTGTCTAAGTTGGGGCACGATATTGATGTTGAAGACCATTTTGCCCAAATAAATGCTTGGAAAGGGGCGCCCTTCAAGACCTACATTGTCGAACAGAGACCTGGCGATTTCATCCTTGTCCCCCCTATGGCGGCGCATCAGGTCTGGAACCGTGGGACAAGAACCATGAAGGTAGCGTGGAATCGTACGACTGCGGATACCCTGAAATTGGCCCTTGACGAAGCGCTACCGCATGCAAGAATGGTTTGCCGAGACGAACAATACAAAAACAAGGCCATTGTGTATTATTCACTCGGCCATTATTCTAGTCTACTTGCCAAAGGTCCTGCGACCCACACACAAGCCACGAAAAAGCTGCAAGCAGACTTCGCAAAACTCTTTTCCTTGTATACCGGAATACTGCTATCGGAAAGCTTTCAGAATGATATGCCAGACGAGAAGGAAATTGAGCTGATTCCCTTTGACGGCAGTATCACATGCTCTTATTGTCGGAGCAATTTATTCAATAGGTTTCTCACCTGCCCGTGGTGTGTCGGTGATGAGAACGATACGTATGATATTTGCATGGAGTGCTACATCATGGGCAGGAGCTGTAGGTGCCGGTCTAGGCTGAAATGGGTTGAACAATTCACCTGGGAGGAACTGACGGGGAGGCATGAAATGTGGAGGCAACAAATTCGTCTATTCAGCGCAGGCAAAACCAGCTTACTTCCAGCATTTTCAGAGGCGAGAGCTCAGATGGTCAAGAAATCCCCGGCACAGATATGCCAGGAGCAACTGAAGAGGCGTCCGTGGGTGGACATATCTAAACCAATCTACGAAAAGATAGAGGATGAATCCAGTGACTCAGAGACATCAACCCCCGCCTGGAAGCGAAGGAAAGGCAATACTAACGAGGAACGTGGTCGGTGTCATATCTGCAAGTGCACAGAACCCATGTGGAAGTTGGCTTCATGCTCAATCTGCCACGTTCATTATTGCTACGGCAGTCTGTTCAGGGCTTTTAATATACAACCTCAAGATACCATGGAGACGGATGCATGGGTGTGTCCCAAGTGTGAAAAGAGGTGCAGCTGTGCTGCGTGTCGTCGAAACCCTACGATGAGCCCATCCGAACCAATGAGCACCCTACTTGGCCATGATACAACGGCATTCGCTGATCCGCGTAGCGTGGAGAGCTTGATTGACTTCAGACAGTCGAATATTCGGTGGTTGAAAAAAGCAGGCGATGATGAAATCGGCCGACTGATGAGGCACCAACAAGAGGCAGAAGAAACTCGCGACCAAGTGGTGAACAGTAGCATTCAATTAGAAGAGTACCCTCAGGTGGCGGCTCGGCCTGTCGCCGTAGTCCACTTAGAGGGACACGAGCCAGCCCGTCGCTCCACAGACTATGAAGAAATACCGATCGACCCTGCGCTGGAAAACTTTGATGGGTCTTCTCTGACTTTGGAATCGATCATTGGAATCAATCAATGAATGAATCCCCCAGCCTGGCAACATGATACTAAACGGCCTGCAGACAAGTTTGGGTAGCTCTGTAGATGCGAGGATGTGGCAATTGAAGCAGCTATACGACTTAATTCGTGTTGCTTGGTCAAGGGCAAGAGATCATGAAAATCATAACACATGTACCCTTATCTACACTGTGGGCCTTCACAGAGCAGAAGGAAGCTTAAACTGTCTGCCACTGTGTTTAACTCTCCACTTAGGCACCTTTGTATTCGTATCGCAGATTTTCGAGATGTCTTAATTCAACAGTAGCCATGGTATGTCGTACAACCATAACACTTGCAAACATGACTAGACGATTTCGACTCCGTTGGCTCATCATATCATAAATCGTTTCGAGGATTCCGAATGAAACAAGGATAGGGGAATAAACGCACCTCCAGGGACAAAGTATATCAGTAGTTGAACACTTAGGGTGGGTCTTGGGTCAGAGCCCATCATGCATGCCAATGCTAACAGTCCACATATAGCAGCGTTCATGGGGACAGAAAACCGCAAGATAGCTGCTAATGTTCGGGGATCTGATGACGAGCCCTTGTGATCTGAACGCTGCGGCGGCGAAGATATCATGATGCACGACGTAAAGACCAAGGAGAACAGGCCCAAGAACGAGAAAAGCCGTTCAGGTAGCCTCAATGTCCCCGAGAGTGCGAGCGGAACGAGCATGATAGCCGGAATTATTGGGATCGCACTGAATATGACCTGCACATCAATCCGATCAACCACTTAGTGACGCGCTGGCATGTTTAGAGAGGCAAGCATTTACACTGTATCCGGTATTTTGGCGGTCATTCTGTGCTTTCAATCTACTTATCACCAGCTCCTGCTCTGCAGAAAAAAGAGGTCAGATGGCTAGATGCTAAGGTATGTAGTTCATGAAGACCGAGGCCGATCGCCTGACAAACCTTCCTCATCCAGGTCGTCACGACCATGCCCTTCGCCCCCGGAATCATCAGGGTATCGAAATACCTTACGAAGCCTTGTAGTTGCCATGAGCACGGAGTAGGTATGTAGCCAACTCAACGGGTGCGAGTCGAGACAGCAGATACGTGGGCGGCGGCGGAGGAAGTTTGTCTTGTTTGACAGTTTCCCGCCGCATAGCCCATCGTCCGCCGAGATCCTTCGCATCTTCAATCACCACCCTCCCCCGGAGCTTTTCTCAACCCCCTCCTCGCCACAGCTTTCCTCGCTGTCCCTCACGCCTAAAAATCCCCGTCTCTTTCAGGTAGATCCCCGACATGTACGCGACAAGAGGCGTCCCGAGGCGGATTGCAGTCCCACGACTGCCTCGATATGGCAGCCAGACTTACGCTCGTCGCACTCTGATTCCAGCCCCAGGCTCCAACTCGGGTCCCCTCATGGAACGGCGGGCAGATCGAGAACTCCCTTCCGTGAATTCAGAGCGACGCTGGTTGCGGACGCTTCCGGTCTTTGCGGTCGTTGTAGGTGCCGCGATGCTCGGCATTTTCAACTATCAGAAGTCATCCTCGAGCGTGGTTAACAGCACCCTTTATGCGCTTCGCACCTCGCCCCGTGCCCGAGAGATCCTAGGAGATGAAATTTACTTCGCCCAGAAGATCCCATGGATCAGCGGCGAAATGAACCAGCTGCACGGCCGCATTGATATCTCGTTTTGGGTCAAGGGGACTAAATCTCAAGGCCGTATGCGATTCCGAAGCTTGAGGCCGGATCGAATGAGCTATGTGCGTGACTTCTCAGATTCCACCCTGCACTTCTATGCTGAAGCGCTCCTCCCCACCCCCTGCATCGTGCTTTGAAAATGCTCGTGCTAACGCCGTTTCAATGGCTTAGTTCCGTACCGATGAATGGAGCTTAGAGACGGAGGATGGAACGGTTGTGCAGTTACTTGATGGTACCGACCCGTTTCAACAAAGCGATTGAATGAGTCGTCAAGGTCTACACAACCACGGCCTCTCTATCGCGTGCTACTTTGAGATACCCAGCTTGTACATCTAGAAAACCGTTTTTTCCCTTGCATATAATGGGGCGTTTCTGAGCATGTGATCTTCGGGTATGATTGTTCTTGGGTCCTCCCCATCTTATCGGGCTTTCTTCATATTGGCTTTCTTTATTTGAGCCTTCTTGGCGAAGAGGCAAACGGGCCTCATCTTTTTAGCCAATCGGTGCCTGGCTGCAATCGCGACCGCCGTGGAAGCTGCCCTTGATGGAAGCTTCGAAGCGGCAGAGAACCGGGGGAAAGGAAAGAACCGAATGGTTAAAAGAGGATATCATTTATGTAGTATATACCGCCGCTCTGAATGAAATAATCAAGTTATAGTACATTTTCGTGTAGAAAGTAAGAAGCACAAGCCCAAGCAGTTCAGTCGCCTACTCAGGTTGGGGGGCGCTTTCAGGCCAGGGCTTCTTGATAGCATCTTGTATCTTGACAATGCATCCTTTAGGCCCACTGACAGAGCCTAGTCACATAAACAATTAGTCTCGGAGGGTCTGAAACAAAAGAAATGGCGGGAGGTAATATACTGACCGTTGACGACAACAATGCCATTATCCTTGTCAACCTTGAGGATCTTCAAGTTCTGTACCGTGTTTTGCTCATTTCCCATATTACCCGCCATCTTCTTTCCCGGGTACACTCTGGAACCACCACCCTGACTAGGGCCTGCAGAACCCATTGATCGATGCGTTAAACTGACACCGTGACTGCGATCCTGACCGCCAAAGCCATGTCGCTTCATCACACCAGCAAAGCCCTTTCCTTTAGAGTTGGATCGGGCATCGACATATTGGCCCGGCTCGAACCAGTCGGCGTGGATCATTTGGCCAACTGGCAGGAGACCAGCTGCGTCCTTGACCCGGAATTCGCACACATGCCTCTTGGGCGAGACACCGTTGGCGGAGAAATGTCCAAGGAGCGACTTCGTGATGTTGCTAGAATGCTTCCAGCCGGAACCGAGCTGAACGGCGAAGTACCCGTGCGTTTTCCACGTCTTGCACGAAGTCACCTCGACTCGGTCCAGCTGCAGGACGGTGCAGGGAATGCGTTTTCCAGTCTCCGAGTCATAGACGGCAGTCATTCCCTTCTTGATCGCGATAGCTCCGGTTCTGAGGGGCAAAGTATTGGCTTTCCGTTGCAAGGCCGCTGCCGGGGTCGATTTCAGTATAGGCAAATTAGGGCCGACATTGAATGGAGAGGGCTTGGGAGGGTTCAACGATCGAATGCCAAAGGCTCGCGCGAGAGGGTTGGTGGGAATTACCAGCACCGGGGCCCTGTTGAGAACAGGAAGCTGGGTGAGCTTCCCTGGAAGGCGAGGAGGCATGGTGGGAAGGGACTCGTCTGCTGGGGGGGGGGGAGCAGGGACGTAATTGATGTCGACGGTCTGTCCCTTCTTTTAGTCCGAGATTTTTACTACGGGAAGCTTTTCCTCCCCGGGAGGGAAGGCGGTATGGCATTCCGACAATCCGAGCCCGCAACAATCATCGCCTCGCCGTTTTTCTTTCCCATGCAAATTAGTTCTAACCATTCTTCTGTCTTTTGTCGCTGCGATCGGCACATTACTGATTCTCTTTCTCCCACCTGTCTGTATTCTCGTTGCACTGTCAATTCTTGCACCGGAGAATAAAACCGTCTGCCACCACCATCTTTGTGTCTGACACACGCAGTCGTTCAACCCATAAGCAATGCTTCCCCGACAAACGTTTGCCTCGCGCTGGCTATCCCAGTTCTCCGAATTGGTCCAACATGCGCCGGTCTCGCCTATAACCAAGGCCAAATTTTCCAGGCCCGGTCACCCTTCGTCGTCAATCTTCCGCCGGGGATTCTCCCTCACGGCGAACGCTACCCCCCACCTTGGCCGAAGCTTCCGGAGTCAAACACAGTTGGGAAAATCCGCGAGGCAGAACTTCGCTCGCCGTCCACAGTCGGCATCGTTCCGGCGATTCTTCAATTCGTCGTCAAAACGCTACTCGTCGCAATCTGGAGAAACGGGGTCGCTCTCGCAGCGACTGAAGACGCTTTCGCGTGAATACGGCTGGTCTGCTCTTTGGGTGTATCTGCTTTTGTCGGCGATGGATTTCCCCATTTGCTTCGCCGCTGTTCGTCTGCTCGGTGTGGATCGCATCGGCCACTATGAGCATGTGATTCTTGAATCAGTGAAGGGTGCGATTGATACCGTCTGGCCTAGTGCACCCGAGACCCCGACAGCTGAGTCGCAATCGGAAACCCCAAAGAGCGAGGCCTCTGATGCCCAGCCCAAGGAGCCTTCGGCTGAAGAACCCCCGAGCAAGGCAGATGCCAGTATGTCATGATGGATCCCCCTTCTCTCTTCCACCCCCCCTTCATTGGTTTCGTGCAAAGGAACACTTTTGACTGATCACCCTGCGCTTTTATCTGTAGGCCTATGGACACAACTGGCCCTCGCCTATGCCATTCACAAAAGTTTGATCTTCATCCGCGTGCCCTTGACAGCGGGCATCACCCCCAAAGTTGTGAAAGTCTTGAGACAGTGGGGCTGGGACATTGTCAAAGGGAAGCCCAGGGGCATGTAAACCTCTTCCCGCTTGCCCCCCACCCCATCAATCGTCCTGAGTGACACGACCTCATCAACACGAGTGTCTGTTTGCGAGCGACTACCTCCGCTTCTGCCTTGTCTTTTCTTACCCGTCCGGCCCTTCGCCTTTGGTGGCATAGCGATGTGTAAACTATATAGATGGTACTTGTAACTTGATGTATATTAATGTTAGATCTAATTCACAGGGCACATAGCCATGTGCCTATCTCCTCTCTTATATTATCTGCCTCTGCCGCCAGCCATTGTTCGAATGAATGAATCGTCGAAGCAGAGGTGGACAAGAAGAATATGCCGAACCCGTCGGTGGAAAAGAAAAACCAAACCAATGACTGATGAAAGAGCCGGCTGTTCGTTTGGCGAATACGACGTTGTCGAAGACCACTCTTGTTATCCGATTGACATCATCCCGGGTACGCTATATAATATCAAAGATCAACAATATGACGAAATAATCAGAAGACATGTGCATCATATATCAATCATATCATTAAACCTGAGAATGCCACTGGCCTTCATAATCCCATTGACGCCATCAGGCATTCGATAGGCCCAGTCAGCTACATCCATGGTGTTTGTGTTTGTCAAACCCTCTTGGGGCGCTGGGGGTTCAACTTCGTCGGAGGTGTCTGCCACAAGCACAAGGCCAAGCTCCTTGATCGTCTCTACCAGAGCCGGTACAACATTCTACAATACCACGAGAATCACACATTAGTATAAAATTCCCAAATATTTTCCCCTTCACCACAAAAACTACGGCCGGAAGGAGTGAGGAGGGTACGCACCAGGAGACTAGACCGGCATATCAATCCCATGAAATTGTTGCCCTGTGCAATTCTTGCCGATTCTTTAATAGACATTGACACACGCCCACTGCTATCAATGCCTGGCAATGATCCAACGTCACGAGCCAAATCCCGAATTTGCCCCAGATCGTTGCAAAGAAGGACGGGATCTTTTGAGTGCCTGCGTTAGCAAAAGCCCGTTCCGCTTCCAGTTCCCTGACTCCCACGAAGGATAGCTTACAATTTGGTTGCTTCCAATTCAAAGCAATGCAAATATTCGAATTGTAGGAGGTAAACACCACCGAGCGCATAAAGTCGGGATTCTGCTCGCGAGCAATACGGGCATGATCGAAGACTTCGGTAAGAATGGCATCGGCGAAAGTATTGACATCTGTCAATGATGTCATGTTAAGTGCCTCTCCTTCGGCCACCGAGGGGTAAAGGATAGACAGATTGACATTGATGCTCAGGGGCAAATGTTGAAGCACCTCCTGCAGAGAAAGAAATGAGGCAGCCAGTAGGCGGTGAGTTTGCGCCAGATCATCAACGGCACGATCCTGTAAGAATTGTAATACTTCCGGCCGTTTGGCACCTACCTCGGCGCCTACGCCCTGGAACTGAGCGTAAGTAAGATGGCAGATGGGGATACCAACGCCGTGGTGATTAATCGTAAATCGAGGATGAAGGACGGGGACTCTATCCCTGGTGAGCTGTACAAAAAGTTGAATGTGGTCTCCCGAAAGGCTAGACCCGGTTACTAGGCCATTGTGTTCCGAGTCAATAGCACTTGTCGCTTTCCAGTATGTGGCGAAATGTGTGATCTCCAACGGATCGCCATGATAGGGTTTGATAACCTGAAATCCGAACCGTAATTGCCCGATTGACCGTAATCGCGGATCAAAGAGTGGCAAACAGCAAGATCCCATGCTAGAATGCTCGTCTCTGAAGACTGCTGGGAGGGCAACAGTTTTGGCAATCACCTTCGAACCAAAAGTAGGGAATATCTCGAAATCAACGGAGAAGGTCTCCAAGTTATCCACTTGGAATGATATCAGCCGCGAGTCTTCCTGGATTGGCAGCATGATGGTGCGCGGTATCAAATCAGACAGTTTCGATGAAATAGTTAATCGGGCGGCGGGGTGGCGACCAGCTTGATCAAAAGAGATCGAGCCCGAGCTACCGGGATCGAAAAAAATTTGAATGAAAACCTTCTTGTCCAGGAAGTTGTGGCCGTAGCGTCTTAAAGGTATGATGGGTGGTGGCAGAGACAGATCGGGGATCCCATCTGCTGTTTCGGCGTTGTCAAGAGCCACCGAGTCATTCATGTGCGAGACTCCGGTGAAGCCTAGATCGTGAGACTGCAAGCCATCTAGAACGCCAAATGGGTTGCGCGTTGACTGACTATCGGTACGACGGGACCAAAGAAGAAGCATGCACTCCAGATGACCTTCCCATGCTGCATAGTACATGGCCGCAAGACCCTTTTCGTCCACCGCGTCGGCATCGACACCAAGCTCTAGGAGGGTACGCAGGCAACCAACACAGCCCTCACTGGCGGCGTGAAAGAGCGGCGTCCATTGATACAACTTGTCGCGCTGGTTGAGGTCCGCACCATGTTGCTTGAGCATTAATAGTAGCTGCGGTGACTGCGAGGCACGTGCGACCATGTGTTGAGGATAGAGGCCCTCCGCATCTGGCAGTAATTGGGCGTTTCTCTCAAGAAGCATTTTCACTATTGGAAGCGACCCGTGCTGGCAAGCCAAATTCAACGGAATGTGGTCGGATTCGGAGGCTGGATCTATGCGCGCATTGTTGTGCAATAACTTTTCAGCACATGAGAGATGATTTTTCACGATGCTGTGGATCAGAGGGGTAAAATTGTCATGGTCCATAATGTCGACAGTATGAGGACCCGCCGCAAGCAGCTCATGAGCCATTTCGACGCGGCCATGCATACAGGCGTAATGTAAAGGTATTCTGCCGTACACATCAGATCTAGAGACGTCGATGTCGGCCGCCAGACCCGCCTTGAAAACGAATTCTCGACCTGAGATAGCCGCCTCGTGTAGGCAATTGCGCTCGTTGATGTCGTCTTCTGCGTAAATGTTGACTAGGCCGCTATCAAGGAGCACCGCAAGCACCTCGTCCGAAAATTCGTTGATGGCAGCCAGGAACGTTCGGGTTGCGCGATCTTGGGCATCGGGAGAAGTCTGTAATTTCGCAGTCCATTCGCGCAATGTCTGTAGATTGCCCGTGGTGGCAGACTGCAGGATCTGGAGATCGAGGTCCTCTTCATCGGACCCGAACGGCTGGACAGCTCCGGCTCGGTCAATGGGCCGAGTCGTATCGAACTGGATGTTTTCGCCCTCCGCCCATGCTTCAAGTTCCAAACGCGCGGTCGTGGCCCGGTCAGCCAAATCACGTAGAACGTCGCGGTTGAAGCACGGTTGTACCTCCACGGCTCGGTGTAGATACAGTTCCTTCATGCGTGACTATTGAAATATAAAGATAAGAGTATGTAAGTAAAACTGGCACGATCAATCGTAAATGTTTGTCTCTCGGAGAGTTCGGTGGAGGAATTCGGACCTTTGAAGTTTTGTCCCACTAATCATCTTGTCAGCTACCTAGACAGAAAATCCGTACTACCATTCAACAAACCTTTTTTAGAATTTTTGACATGGCAGTCTCGTTAATCTCAACGAATTGCTTTGGGTAGAAAACAGGACCCATTAGTATATGAAAATATATGATTAGATATGAGAACCCACTTGTAACTTATTGAGGTCTCCATCGAATTGCTGGAACCCTTCAAAGAGAGTAACATAATTCGCCGGTGCTTTGGAATGGGTTGCTGCCCTTGACTGAATGACCCGTTTCTTGTCGATAAGTGTTTTCAATCGCAAAGAGAACTGTATTCCTTCATCAGCTTTCTACTGAGTCGAATGGTGTATATGGAAATAGCAGACCTCTGCTTCTTTTTGCAAATAGAAGGCGTTGACTTTCTCTATCTCGCGCTCCTGTTTATCTCATTTGTCAGGTCAACGGCGTTTCCCCCCTCTCAAGGAGCGCGGATTTATTGCATACCAGCCTAAAGAAGAAAACTTCTTTGTTGGCGCGAAGGGCCGCCTGTGCTTCGGGCACATCTTTAGAACCATCTGCACTGTTTTGGGCTGGTATCCTCGGAGTTGCGCTGAGTTGTTTGATAAGCTGCCGCCGTAGCATTAGCTAAGAAGGACAGGATTTCGTAGAAACCAAGTTGACGGACCTTCTTTAGAGCTTTGTAGTTCACAAAACTGGCGGCATATTCGGGAAGATCGAGCTGCCTGCGCTGAATTTGCTTGCCAAACTTCCTGTATCCGCAATTATTCAGCATGAGACGTCAGGAGAACCGAAAGCAGACCAATTATCCGCCAATGGTCACTCAAGGCAGCTTCTCCGGCGTCGGGGGTGAGGCCGCAGAGCTTAGAGGCGCACCTACATAATGACTGGATTGGACGCCTAAACACACCCGATACACCTGCGCTGAGGGGAATGAGAGAGGGAGACGGGGAGAGAGAGAAGAGAAAAGAGAAGAGAGAAAAGAGAAAAAAGAAAGGACCACCACCAGATCGTCTGGGATCTGGGCAGGAAGAGAGGATGTTTCGGAAGCCCTGGAGACACCGCGGCCGGCGAATTTGCAGGCAAGGGGCAGAGAAGCAAGACGTAAAAGAGCACGGCACCTGCCCCTCCTTGAGCTCAACAGGACGGGACAGGGGGTGCTTCAACACTTATATAGAGAGCGAAGCAACCCGATGTGGGGCAAGTTAACAGCCACTGAAGGGGTGGAATAGCCAAAGGTAGTTTGTTGACCGTAGTTAATAGATTGGTAGTGCTTTCGTGGTACACCTTTAATCCAAAAGCCTCGGACCTTTTCCGGGGATTTAGAGGTTAGAGGCAAGCAAGAAGAACATCTGTGGCAGGAAGGCCCCTCGTTCAGGAGGAAGAAGCAGGTACTGAAGTGAATGAATGGTCAAGGGAGACAGACAGCTGTAAATGATATTTGGACGAATTGAAGACTCCAGACAGAGTGCGGGGCACTTTTTTGGGTCAGCCCGGACGAAGGAGGGGGGCGAGAGAGGCGAGATAGAAAAGAAATCGATGGGGGTAACTCGAAGGCGACTTCCGAAGCAAGTAGAAACGACTACTCGGCAGACACGCAAGGGGTTGGGACTCGTGTCGGGGCATTCAAATCCATGTCAGCGAGGAAGACTTATGGCAGGTGGTCTAGTTCGTTGGACTAAGGCAAACGGCGAGGGAGTCAGTGGTGTATGGAGGAGGTAGTAGTTCGTAGTCCCAGTTGAACTTGACCAGGGTCGGTGCCAAGTGGGGAGCTTGATCTGGTGGTCTGCCGCCAATCACCGCCTTCCATCCGCCCACGTTTTTCCCCGGGCCAGCCAGCCCGCTTAGTCATGCATCACTTGACCGCCCAGCACGTTCCGCGGAGATTATCTGCGACTCCGGTGGAGATGCGCTACTACAAGTACTTAGGACCCAGGTCAGGTAGCTATGTAATTGTCTGATCTCTAGACATACAGATGCGAGCCGGATCGCCGCCAAGCAGCGACCTCGAATATCAACAGTTGAAAATGCGAGCAATATACCCTTGGTACCACAAGTTATCCAGTCCCAAACAAACAATCCAATGTAGAAGAACCATAGACCAAACTTAGAACAATTATGTCAGAAAAAAGGAAAAAAGGTGAAAGAGAAAGAAAGGACCGATGTTAAGAGAAGAAAAGACGGAAAGGGGGAAAAAAGAACACTTTATGCATGCCATTGGCAGGTCAGAAGAGCATCACTATACAAGCAAACCATCGGAAACGAAAGAATCGAGAGAAGATAGAAAAGTGGGGGATATATCAAAGTACTGAACAACAACGCGCAATAAAATATACAATTTCAAGGAAATAGACCAGGTCTCGGTAAATCAGACACAGCGGGAACCTCAAGTCAACAAATAAAAAGGATAAAAGGAAAAGAGAAGGTGCGTATGATTGGAGAACGAGAGTGTAAACAAGTAAAAGAAGGTCACGGTTAGTGCCCGCTGGTTCAAGCCGATCAAAACCATTCAGGGTCGGTTGTCTTCAGGGATCAATGACAACCGACCTAGGGGAAGAGGTAGCTCAAGTTTCGCATGTATGTGCTACAAGCAAGGTGGGCTTGGTTCCTTCCTGGACGACAGCTCCAATCAATATAGATCAGAATGAATCTTCGGGCTGTTCTTAAAAGTTCTGAGCGATACCAGCGTTTCCTTGCCGAGGGAAAACAGCCGGGTTCTCAATGCGTGTATTGCGCCGTGCCTGGACGTCTCGGATCACAGGTTGGTTGCCGCTATAAGGACCATCGCTATAGGCCCCATACTGTGGTTGCATGTCATTATAATAGGGATTATCATCATAGAACGCGCCATTGTGGTGAGCTGCAGACATGTGGCTCTCCTCCGAGGCCTCCGACCGGTTTGCTGCAGAATACGCTGACGAGGCGTTCGAAGGACCGCGATGGATGTCTGTGTTTCGGTTGTTGGCCGCCGCCACCGGAGCTGCGCCTAAAACCCCAATTGGCTCGGTCTCTCCAGCGGCCTGCCCTTCAGAATACTGAATAGTCCCGTCACTCGGGGTGGCGGCATGGTGGTAACCAGGCGCGCTTCCAGCTTCCGACATAGCCAACCCGACTCCAGCACTACTGGATAGATTTGTCGACGCCTTGCGACCCGCAGAAGTCGTTCCCCAGCCTCTATATCCGGAAGTATTATCGTCCTTGGGTTCGTAGGCACTGCCACCCATTACCGGTGGAAGCGTCGGGTCGTTGTTCGGGTTGAAGCCGTATTCCTCTACCTCCTTCCGTCGTTCCTCTTCGGCCGCCTTATTTCCCTTCCATTTCCTCCAGAAGTACAAGGCGGCGATGATAATCAGGGCAACGGAAACAACAGGTACGACGACGGCAACGGCAATTGTGCCACTAGGCGAAAGCCCGGAGCCTCCGGCTGCACTTGCAGTCGTGGTAGCCGATGCTGCAGCCGACGATCCGCCCGTGGCTGACGCGCTGCCTGCTGAATCTCCGGTGGAAAGAGTTGGGAGAGAGGTTGCGGTGGATGTGATAGTTAGAGTGTGTGGTCCGGTGGTCCCATCGGTAGGTGACTCCGTGACTACCGAGGTGACAACATGGGAAGTGGTGGGAGCCTCAGTTGTGCTGGTAGTCTTCTCCGACGTGGAGGATGTAGTAGGGGTGTCACTAGAGGTTGTTGGCTTAGATTGGGTGGTAGTAGAGCTCGACGAGCTTGAGGATGTAGATGAGCTTGACGACGTTGACGTTGTTGAAGACGTTGACGATGTTGGGGGATTTGAAGAGGTTGTTGGCTCGGCCTCGGACGTCGTAGAAGTTTCAGCCGGCGGTGCAGACGTTGTCTCGGCTTGTGTGGGCGTGGCAGCATCATTGTTGTTGGTTGTGGGCGCCGGGACTGCAGCTAGAAAACATTTAGCCTCCGGGGAAAAGGGGAATCATGCATGGGTTGGCTGTACCTGATGATTGTGGCATCATGAACGATTGACCAGATGCTCACTTGTCCCGACAACTAAGAAAGCCTTGTAAAATGATATTCAAGCGCTTCCACTACGTTGCAGGTAAAAGGCGCCGCAAGGGTGGTGTAAATTAAGTCGAAACGGGTCCGCTACGTTCTCTTAATATCGAACGGTGCGGCTGGAGCCGGAATGTTGATTAAAGTGGACTGAACGAGGGATCGAGCGTTCCTCAGGTGTTAGATGATCCGAGGGAACGAGAGTCAATTGTTGTAAAGATTGCGCGCAAAGGAGAGTGTCGCCGAAACATTCCAGTGGCGGGATTAAGCGCGTGAAAGGAAACCGGTTTGACGAGGGTCGGCCTGTGGATAAGAGTCAGGGGGGAGTGAGAACAACAAATGGATGAAGAGGTCAAGGAAAACCATTCATCCGGGCGGAGCGATCAAGAAAAGCAACTTACGCAAACCAAAGAGGATGCCATGAGACAACCGAATGTACGATTTACAGATTCCAAAGGCAATCTAAGATGGTAAGGGTTGAAGGGGGAAATGGGTCCAGAGAAGAAGAGGAGCGAGAAAGAGAGAGCGAGAGTGGAGATGGAAAGAGAGCGGCAGCCGAATCCTACCCAAATTACGCAGTACACCGAAAGCGGGCAGGGTATTATTGAATGGTACTCCGTATCTTCTCTCGGATTCTCAGATCTCGGTCCTGCAAGCAGGAAAGGGGTGGGGGGTTTGGGAGTTTTTGGGGGTTTTTGGGAGTGAAAGCGGAAAAACTTACCACTACTTACTACCGAGTAAGGTGTACCTTACCCGTCCGTCACCCTCAGGTACGGGTACGGCGGTTCCTTGGTCAAGGTCCTGCCCAGGTGGTACGGGCTTGTTTTTGAGACTCGGGTACTGTTATTCTGATACCGCTACCATCATAGACAGGTACCCCGTCGGTACCCCGTAGATACTCCGTACAAAGGTACTGTACCTACAATACATATTTTATCTAGGTAGTATATGGCCATCCAACCATTGACCAGTAAATTCTCGAACGATTAGCCTTCTCCGTACAGTAGGTGCCTGTGAAGCGGAGAAATAAGCAGCAGTCACCTAGCCCTAACTAGCGGACGAAGAATCCGTGGGAAAACAGAATTCGGTACCAGTAAACCCCGGCGTGTTGTTTTTGCCACCAATCGTTGTTAATAATAGTAGCGTTGCTGTCAATAACCGCGAGCCTACGAGTAGGATAAGGGATCTCATGTCATAGATATGTATAGCCCCTGGGTGATCTGAATTATGGATTCACTATTATTTCAGCCTTCGAGCATGGGTAGTTGACTTGATGTGCAGAATACTCATCGACCCGCCTCGCCTACCTAACAAAGGGTGCCTCCAAGGGACGATCACGGGCATAACGGACCAAATTTGGCCTCGGTTGCAAAAAAAAAAATTTCAATGTAGAAAAACACGCATATAATTACCTGACAGCACTGTCAGGGTGTTAGGGAAAAGAAAATGACCAGGCAGCAGAGAAAAATAGAAACTACTGGAGAGCAGACAGGTGGATGGGTAGGAGAAAAAGAAATCCACCCAAACGCGTTCTAGAGGCGAGCCCGTGAGACGGCAAGGGCCGTATAAAGCTTGGGTAGATTGATGGAAAAGCTACCAGGCCATGCAAACGCATTCACCTTCAAGAAATCAAAGATTCTAATAAGTATCAAATAATAAAAAAAGAAGCCCCAAACCCATCATGTTATGTGCATGTACTCCACCGAGATCCAAAAAAGAAGATTGCGGATCTGGCTCGGCTCCCTTCAAAGGACTGCCAGTATGTAAGATAAAAACAAGAGGTAAATCGTAATGTGGTGTCGGGTTACCACATATATGGTGACAGAAAACAATCATTACAGCAAGAATTGAAATGGAAATGCAAAATGCAAATGGATACATGTATATTTACTGCCGCATGTCCCAGGTGGGGCGAAGGTTCGACCTCAAGTCATCCCTCGTGCCTACGGTATCCGCGGGTAGGCGGCTGACACGGTACGCACCAGTGCGAATATTCTGCAAATGGGTGGTTGAAACCCCAGTCCGGTTGCTACGGATGCTGCCAGCGTCACTTGCAGTCTCTGTATTCCTAAAGCGAGGTGGGGGAGCAAAGTCCAAGTTGTCGTATGTTCCCGATTTGCGCAATGCGTGTCTAGAGGTTGTCAGTTCTTAGGTTTCATCCTTCTTTCTGGGTCGACTTTGTAACACTTACGGGCTTGGCATTGCCGAGAGCTCATTGAACGCAGAGACAAGCGGAGTGTGAGCTCGCGTACCGGGACTGAAAGGCCGCAGCCCACCTAGGGGAGTCTCTGGTCGACCATTCGCCTGGTCTCTGAAGTTCTTTCCGGGCGCGTAATCAATAGCTCCCATGAAAGAATCGTCGTTTAACATGTGAGGGGTAGGCAAAATCTGAAGCGGTGCGGGAGGCGGGGCGGGCTTGCGAGGTGCGCGAGGGCCAGGCATCCGGTTAGACGCAGAAGAGAAGGCCCGAGGACCCTCACTGAAGCCGCTGACCGAGCCCGATGCCATATGCCTGCTTGCTCCTTGAAACCTCGGAGGCGCGCGTGGCGGTGGGGTCATAGCACGACGAGTCACCGGCTCCGCAAACGGTGCGGGAACTGGATCGTAGTCGTACATATAATCATCGTCATGGTACATTTCCGGGCTGAAATCTCCGTAGTAGGTCGTCTCCCTTGCCTTGCTCTCGTCGAAATATTCCTTGTAGAAAGACCGAATCCGATTGGCACGCTGTTCGGGATTGTCTGAAGGATCCTCTGGAGGCAATGGACGAAGGCCGAGGGTCATCCGGCGAGTCTGTCGACGAGGGTCCACACTGAGACGCTGAGAGCGGGCAATATCCTCAGACGGTGCATTCGAGACCGAGGGGTCTAATTCACCATCCGTGGTATCCGCAACTCCATGGATATTCACAGCTGGAACAGAAGGCTTCGGTGCGCCATTGATCTCAAGATCGCCTGGATGCGAGCCAGCGGATTCGTTGTTCGACATTCCACTGGCAGTTGTACTATTGGCACCGCCTGCAATCTCCATTGGCTCATTGATTGTTGGAGCACCGGGGATGTGGACAGGACTCGGACTTCTTGGCAGATCCAACTGGAAGCCCAGGTCGTGTTCAGGATGATCACCAATTGTGCCATGGTCGGCGGGGAGAGAATCATATAACGGTGGAGATGAGCGGGACATTCTCTGGGCGTTTCGAAGCAGACCCTGATTCATATCTTCGCCCAGAGCACCTTTGCCAGTCGAACCTGCGAAGCTCGAGGCATCGTCGTGCAAGGCCTTTTGATGCGACCTAACAGATACACTATCACCTGGGCCATACGAGGTCGCAGAGCGGTACTTGTCATCAGCCACGCCGATAGACCTTCCTAGAGAGTGGAGAGACTCCCTGGATCCATGGAGGCCCGGGGGGAGCAGGTACGGGCTTGGCCCAATATCGAGCGACACTCCTTTGGCATGGTTATATGCTGCATCTGGTTTTTCTGTCTGGCGCATGGATTTTCCGCCCGCGGTAGGCTCCAAATCCAACCCAAAATCAAGCGATTTATGCTTGTCATTGGCATCTTCATTCCTGAGCTTTTTAACATTGCGTCGGTGGAGGTAAATCAGAACCAGTATGGCACACACAATAGGAACTCTGCTACGTGGTCAGCCGCGGCGGGGTAGAAGAGGCGGGAACGAGTGGGCCAAATGGTTCTGTAACATACACTGCTCCCAGAACAACGGGTAATGTAGTTGTTGTCGTTGTGCTGGTGGGTTTTTCGCATTTGTCTCCTGATCCACATGTCTGTGTACTTGAACTTGAACTTCCGGTTTCTGTGGAAGGCGCTGGTTCCCTTTTTACCAGGGTCGGGGCTTCGGGGTCCAGGAAAATTGGCTCTCGGTGGTGAGGGATGCTGGCCCGGCGGCGAACCATATGCATGCCATGGCGTGGCAGTTGCTGATGTTGATGGTGATGGTGCATGGTCGTCCTGACTGTGATTACGAATGAATCGCGAGTCGGAGACTCCAAGGGAACCCAAGCAGTTTGGATATGACGAGCGCTGGATTTGCTAGTGAAGTCGGACGGAAAGGAAAAAGACAGCCCCTGAATGTTGATGCCTGAGGATCATTTAAACCGAGAAAGCAGTGTCTTGTCAAGTTGTTTCATAAGATAATTAGTTGGATATATTATCGGATGATTGTATCAGTCAAAGAGGGACATATGCTAGTCGAGGAATGATGGAATTGCGTTGATATGCGGTCTCGCGATTTGAAAGAATGAATATATGCCTGAGTTCCCCTAATGAATGGCAGCGGCTTGGCCTGAAAAAATCTATAAAGGATTGAAAATTTAAAAAGAAAGAAGAAATAAAGAATTGAAAGCAGAAGATAAAAAACAACAGATGCCGGAAAGGGGGGGAAACAGAGCAAGAAAAGAAGGTAAAGAGTGGGTGGTGATGAAATAAAAAAAATAAAAAAGAAAAGGAGAGATAATTTTGGGGGAAGAAAGAGAAGAGGAGAGAGGGAGAGGAGAAAGACGGAGTAGTTGGTTAGAAGGAGCTAGGCTACATAAGCAAGCGGTTCAGCGACTTAGCGGTCTAGATGGTCTGTTATGTTTGTAACTTGATGTGGGGAGGCCTGACAAGCCTAAGTTGGGGGCATACAGTCGACACTAAGTAGACACCTTAGCCTAGATAGGACGATAGGATCTAAGTATGGAGTCGTATCTCCTTAGCCGCTACTACGTGATCAGGAGTATGGCGCGGTCGATACTTGCCTCCGACGGTCTCAACAGCCAGGGTGTATATCATGGATGATAGGTACTCCGTACGAGCACCTACGGTGTGTGTAGATAAGTCCCGAGCAGACATAATCCATATGCAGGTACGGCCGTCTAATTCTACCTACAGGTAAGAAGGTAACTTTGGAAATTGCAGCTTACGGTGTGATCAGTTTTAGACCCTCGGGTTGGACAATCCCCCAACAGTACCTTACTCCTTGGTAACACTCTGTAGCTAGAACAACTTATATTAATCTAAATCCAGGGTTGTGGATATTGGAATCCGCCCATTCTATGGCAATAATCAATATACGGATACGAAGTACCTGAGTACTGAGTTCAAAGCACTGTGTAGCCTCTTCTACATTGATCTCCCTCTGGCTTTGGAGGGAGGTAGGAAGGGAAGAACAGACTTTAACCCTGTCCCCATCTAAGTTAGGGGAGCAGATCGAGACATTGAAAAGCAAGGCTCCGGAGTAATACGTACTCTGTACTGTAGGTAGGCTCTGCTGCCATCCCCTGAATAAAAATCAGGCACGGTAGGTGGGGCGTCAATCTCTTCTAGTGTCAGGAACCCGCATGGCCCCCATCCAATGTACAGTCTGGAAGGCCTCCCTCACTCCACCTGCCATGTCTGACCACTGCCTTAGCTGGTGGGTACCTGGTAGTACTGGTCCTTACAACTTACGGAGTACACTGTAGGTATCGTACCCTGGTTACAGACTTACAGTACCTGTTGTTGGATGTCTTGTTCCTCCTTACTGAGTACGCCGCTTGCGTAGTAGGTACCTGATAGCCAACAGAGATCCTACCGAGTCCGGAGTAGTGACTCCGTAACAAGTAGTGATTAACCACCCGGATTTAGGGTACTCCCCCAATGGCAAGGGACAGGTCCTGGTTGTTTGGAGTAGACGATAGCTCCTACTGACGGTGTATAGTGTAGTGTGTACACTATAAATATATAACAATCCAAATGATGCTCCCATCAGATACAGATTAGCCATAGGAGGTGTTGGCTACAGTATCACTGAAGGAGTAGGATCGGATAGATACACCTATATGTATATATCTACGCAGATGTATACATCTAACTATGTCTATTTTCACATACATCCTGCTCGCGTGGTAGTCCTGTACACATGAATATGGTGACATAACTACCTAGGATCTAACTACTTACTACATCATCTGACCATCTAGACCCACAAAATCATGCGCATGAACTAATGTCGTGTCGAGTGCCCCGTACTCTGTAGAGAGGGAAACAGTTGACCTTACGAGTCATTAAATTTTTTTTTTCTCATCATATTAGTCTCTTCTATGCGTTACTGGGCTTAAAATCATATCAGTTGACCCATCAATGCTCATGCTGTAGCGCATGCTGATATCCTGTGTGCCATTCTCTTTTAAATGCAAGATAGAAGTGCATGGCCACACCTTTGTCCACCAGTCGAGTACAAAGAATAGCCGGGAGAGCATGACTGTAAAACAAAAAGAAAGGAAAAAAAAAAAAGAGAAGAGCGACAAAGATCGCCAAACATTGTAATGCTCACACAAGAACCGCCAAGGTATGCAAACACAAGTCATAAAGAGAATATACACCAACAATCACACCTGTACAAAAAGAATTCTTTTCTGACAAACAGATTCATTAGCAACAGCTTCCCAACAATGACAATTAAGAAAATAAGGAAAAATATGCGTGAAAAGAAGAGAAAGGAGGGAAGTCCATGAGGATGTGGGCTTTTTTTTTTTTTTGGCTTCTCGGGTCATCTCGTACACCCAGGCACCAACCAGTGCAGGGCGGGTAGGTATTTCTAGAATACATCAAAGGAAATGAAGGATGAAGACATGAATAAAAACGGCAGGAAGTCGAAGTCAATAATTGAAGCAGGGTTGGAGCGGCTTCAAGCAGCACAGCGAGTTTTAAAGTTCGACAAATGCTCACTTGAGGGTTTCTTGAAGATCCGACTGAATGGCGGGTTGGGAGCATGGATGATCTCGCTGGGGTCGAGGGCAACCCCTTCTGCTTTGCGAATCACTTCTTTCAAGGCACGTGTGACAACGCCAGCGCGAATGACTAGATCGCGGAGAGACTGCGTATCGAATGGGAGCTTCTTGGACTTCGGCAACTGAGTTTCGGTCAAAGTCGGGTCGGGGGACACTCGTTGTCGGTAGATCAAATCTAAAACAGAGTTGGCCTTGGCGGAGATTTCCTTATCATCCGCTGCGTGGGAGTGCATGGAGTTTGAGTGCTCTGAAAAGGAAGGCTGCCAGGACTCTCCACTCGCCCGCTTGAAAGTGTCGTTTGTTGAGGATTCGCCCTCAGAATCATCAAAACTGAAGGTAAGAGAAGAGGGCGATCCCGGAGGCGAGTGGTTTGCATCCTCGTCATCAAGTGTGGCAAGGTCGACTATACCCTCTGCTTCCTTCCATAGCTCACTCGACGGGCCACGAACGATACCGAGAAAGCTAGCTTGATGTCGAAGGCGTTTGAGTTCTTCAACCAATAGGGTCAACTCTTGCACCTGTCCAAATTGCCCATGGAGACTCGCTTGGCGGTCCATTATCGCCTGGGGCACGAGCATACCACGCTGCGGAACATCAGGATTCCTATTTGGCTTAATACTCTCGCCGGCGGTGCTGTCGTTCCCATCTTCGAATTCAAAGTCACTATCCCAGTCCTCGCTTACCCCTTTACTCCCAAGGCCCCAAGTTCCAAATTTCCCGGATGTTTGACGTGATTCGTTAGACGTGGGGGGCTCTCTTGACACGGGAACACTTTGGCTTCGTAGATGCAACGTGTTTGGCGCCTTCCGACCGTGGGGACGACTGCCCCGAGCTTCAGGCCCGTGTTTGCCGTGAACAGTGCGTGGTCGACCATCGGACCCTGGAGCTTCGCGATCGTTTTTTGGCTGTTCGGACCAGTCGAATATGTTTACTTTCGGGTAACAATCCAGGGACTCGTGAGTCAAGTCCCGCGCATTTGATCCGGCGATCCGGGGAGGGAATGTCGGTCTTTTTGGCGAATCGCAAGGCTGTAGTACCTGCTCCCCTGCTTCCCCGGGCAACGCACCGACAAGGCTGAGAGCATCCTCATCGTCCGTAAGATCGGATGGAAAGGAAATCTTGCTGTCGCCATCTTCCAGGCCATCGGCCTCCCGGGCACATGGACCAGAGAAGCGAATGGAACCCGTATCTTCGCCGTGACCATGAGGACCGTTTATCATGGCTTGGGGATTACGGCTGTTGGTTTGGTGGGGATGGCCGGGTTTGCTTGACTCGGGATTTCTGCAGTAGGACGGTATACCCTGGTCAAAGATGGCTTCAATCCGGGGCGCCTGGAGGCCGGTGGTACTGTTGGCCGTAAGATGCGTGCGAATGGAGTCGAAAGCGGTGTCACTCAAAAAGTCCGTGTCATCTTCGTCACCAGATGTGAAGATACGGGTATCATCAGATCCGATAACCGTGGAGGCGGGATCAGAGGCGGCGATCGAATGTCGCTTAGAACGAAGACGTTCAGAGCCATACAAACTAGACAAAGCTACCGTGTCTGATGGAAGCGGATATTGTCCGAAGTCTTGGGAGTGACCTGTATTGGCACGAGAACGGGAGATTGTTTTGTTTCGTGGCGCCATGACTCCCGAGGTCAGTGGCAGGAAGGCTTCCACCCGGGGTGAATGGTGGGAACGATTAAAGACGGTTGGGTCAGTTATATTCCGTCTCTCACGAGATCGCTGAGCATGAAAGGGGGCTCCTTCCAATTTGGATAGGTTAGGTAGAGGGGAAGAGATTGCTCTGCGTTTGGGATGCGCGATAGAGTCATTATCAAGTGCCGAGCCGTCCGCGAGTTGCGGGCTTGGTACTGGCGCTTTAGGATCTGTTTCACCAGTCAACGATAGTTGGCGACCCTTAGTCTCTGCCGAGGAATGGGGTTTGGGCTCCGGGGATATAGTTTGGGTGGGCCCGAACGGGTTACGAAACTCGACCGGGGAGCTAGGGACAGATTCCTCGGGGTGAATACTCTGTTTAGGTTCCTTGTTGCTCAGAGAGGTCGCCAGAAGCAGAGCCGGCAAAGTGTCCACTCGAGGGATAATTCGCCGTAAACCTTGGTCTCTGGGTTTTGTTGTAGTTGAGAACCTGCGAATCGGCCTGTCAGGAAGCATGGATGGGTCCGCGTTTAAATATGGCCGCCAAACCCCATTGTCTGTGGAGAGTCCGACCGGAGCCTGGCTTGAAGAATCGGGTGCCAAACCGGGCTCGAAGCACAAACTCTGAGTCGCCTTGTGTCCCCCAGTCTCGCGCCGTTGATAGCTCGTCGCCGGTCTGTGTAGTGTAGATGTAGTTGGAGAGGGAGGGTGCGAGAAGAGAGGATTAGCGGCTGAGTGCTGTGATGGAGGTCGCTTAACAAGTTTATTCGGCGCTCGACGCTGGCCAGAAGGACCAAACCCCGGGCTCGCAGGACCGTTTATCGATGGAGAATGAGGGGATTGGCAAGAAGAACGGTTCTCAGGTTGGAATGATAAACGTCGCATCCAAGACGAGGATGGTTGCCGGCTATGGGAGACCGGCGACGAATCCTCCGCGATGCGCAGCGGTGGATTTGACAGGGTTTGGCCACGGCGACGTAATAGTATCCCTGCAAGAGAAGATTTCCTCCGCGAAGTAATAGGTCTAGGGTGGTCTTCATTGGGTACGCCATTTGATTTTCCGGGGCTGGACTTGGGATTCTCGGAGGGATCTTCTGTCGCCACGGCGGGTTGAAGAGATATCGGGCGAACATTATTAGATAACGGAGATTCGGGCGAGTCTATTGTATGCGCGCATTGATTATGCAGAGGGGAGGGTTTTTTCCGAAATCGTCCGAGCTTGGGGGGATCTCGGTCGACGCGACCGAGAGCAAGGCCGGCTGCTGCAATACCAACAGTGCTAGCTGCACATAGCTGAGAATCTTGTCAGTTCCACGGACTATCACGTACCAAAGCCACCACTAGAGCAAAGCAAATCTGGGCCAACAAAGGCCGTATTATGTTCTTTACCCTCTCTGGCCCGTTGAGACCACAAATGCACAGAGTTCGTTCGGGGCACTCACCGTTGATACATGCTCCATCTTTATAGGTGCCGGGAATAACAACAAGCACCATGAAGCTTAGATACGCAACATCGATAACACAGTTAACTGACATCCCATCTGCATTATGATGCACAAGGAAAATTAGCTGGCTCGCCACATCTAGATGGATGCGACTCGCAAATGCTTAGAATGATGCTTCGCGAAAGAACCACGGATAAGGAAAGACACCGAGCAGAGCAGAGTAGAGCAAAGCGAAGTGAAGTAAAGAATGCACGGGGGTAATGTGGGTTTGTCTTCGATAACAAGCGCGATGCAAAATTGCGTGAAATGGTCGTTCTGCAGGTGAGGGGGAGGAAAGGGTGTTTAGAGGACACCGAAGGAATGGAGAAGGTCAAGGGAAGACCGAAAGGAATGTGGTCAAGGGCTGGGGAAGGAGGAAAAGACAGGGAAACAGGATTACAAAAGTAGAAAATGAAAATGTAAAAAAAAAGAAAAAGGTAAGAAGAGAAGAGAAAAGAAACGACTACAACGGCGACTGAAGCTAGGACTGACAGTCGCAGAGAAGACTGACTGCTGCGAGTTTAGTTATGCAGAGCAAGCAGCAGAAAGACAACAATAAAAACAACAACAACAATAATGAAAATAATAAGACGAGGAGGTCACCGATCAAGCAAGGCCAGCCAGAGAGAGAGCGAGAAGAGCGAGCGAGTGGGACGCGGCGGCCACCTTCTTTTCCTCCCACGGGCGATGTTCGTCTGGTTCGAGTCGGAACTAAACTAGACTAAAAATTAACTGGAGAGGAATGAATGGGTCACGCTAGGAGGTTCCCACCCCCAGCACACCACCGCAAGGTACGACGGAAATTACTGTAGAAAGAAAGAGAGAGAGAGAGAGTAAGGAAATTGGGAATAAGGATCCCTAGGGAACTAACTCCAAGGTTAGAACTCCACCTACTTAGTAGTCTGGAATCTGGATACGCAAGAGGCTTCTGGAAGCACGACGGGCGGAGATATTTATTACAGGGCCTATGAAGTATTCTTCTTATCATTATTATGTAGGTACTTGGTAGGGTCGGTGTAGATATTCTTGGAGGCCCATCTGGAAGGAGTCCCTAAGGGGGGGGAGGGTGTCTCCACCTTGTTTTTCTACTGATTTCATTTTCTATTTACAAGAGGAGACCGGGTTGATAAAGGAACAAGGGAGGAAAACAGGGAGAAGAGAACCAAACACAAGAACCACCACAATTCACAATCTCACACTTTAAAATCTGGCTAAGTACTCCCTGGCTTAGTGTGCACGATCCCATGGAGATGATCGGATTGCCGAACGGGTGCTGGCCGGGGTTATGTAAGACTGTAAGATTCATCCTCATATAAATAGAATGATAGATCCTCCTCGCGAAGGGATACAAGGTCGAATGAATCCCTTGCCAATTACCGGTCATGATTGAGGATGATTTGAATTCTAGAACGCGCCCTGGCCCCTCCGTCCGTCTATGTCATTACTCCGTACAGAACACTCCGTTACTCTTACTATCGTCTTCGATTCGATTGCCCTCCGTAATCCGTAGCTGGACAGCTAAGCGCTAGCTGAAACGCGGCTGGCCCGATCCCCCACTTGATAGTAAGCATCTGCAGACCGGGCTGGCTGAAAATCCCCCCTACCTAGGTAACTAGCTCGCTAATTAGTTACTCCGTGGTTACTCGGTAAATAAATAAACCAGAATCACAATCAGAGTCAGAATCATGCTCTGTGGTAGGCCTGCCAAACCAGATATCCGTTAATCTATCATAAATTATGGAAATCGCGCGTTCCAAGGAACCACCGTCGAGGGAACGGCCGGGATGCTCCAGTTTCCAAGCTTTGTAAATGTTTATCCAATTTAGTTGGTCATTAGCTTCCCATGCTCCGGGTCAGGTCCTTGGAACCAACTCCCGCGACCCCCCAAAGATGACGACAGAAGACCGGATTTCGATTACCCACTCGCTCTCGGGCGGTTGCCAACGGTATGTCTCGCCCGGTGTGTCGTTGATACTGTAGGACGCTCGTGATTGGCAGCGCCCGGGGTCGATCGCCAGTGATCGATCCGATTTCTTGGAGGAGAACGTGGCCTGCTGCCGCAACTGCAAGTCTCTCGGTCATGTTTTGGACCGGGGATCTCTCGGGGGGTCTCTTGACCACTCATCTCCACAAATCGGCCAAATCATGAAACTTGAAGCCTACCCGGGAGGTCTGAATTGGACTTGTCGGCCACCCAGAATTTCTCCCGCAAGCCACGTCAAGGCAAGGTTAGTATGTTCACCGCCCCTCGCACGTGACCATACGGGCTGGTCCCGCATTCTTTGTCCGATAGATCTGATCATCGTCATCTAGAAATGTAGTTACGGAGTTCGCCGGACTAACGGCTAGTATCAACGGGGAACTATGTACTACGCCGTAATGGTGGTACAAAACCAATAGCTCCGATCTTAAAATCCATTACCTGGTAACTATGAGTACTAGCACCTACCTACTCCGTACACTGTACGCGGAGAACAGTCGTGGCGAGGGGCGGTCGTGAGCGGCAAAATTGTGCCTTCCCTTACTCAGCGAGATCTCAATGTGCACATAAATAATAATTATACATACCCAAATGAATCCTGCTGGCTTTGGGGATTTTGGGGCAAAAGAACTAGAAAGAGAAAAGGATAGAAAAAAAAATAAAGACGGTAGCGCCAATACATAGTCAACAATGGGTCTACCGGCCATAGTTCGATCGGAAGGGGCAGAGATACCAGAAGAACCGTTCGGCTGGCGAGTGCAAACCTGACAATTACTAACCTCAGGCATACAAGATCCATTTTTACCGCTTGAACTCCACAAACCGCGACTCTCTCTCTGTCTTGGTAATAGGCTGTTCAACAGATTGTAAGGAGCCCTGCTTTGGCAGTATACCGACACGTGTGAGCTAAATAATTATTTGCACACAATCATTTTTCTTCTGCCCCCCTCCTAACCGTTCTGCGATCTCTTAGAGCCCGTGCCACCTCTTTTAAAATGGAGGCGGAACTCCAATCACAGATTCCTGGTCTTGACCATGTGATCTCCGAGTATTCTGTGGTAAGGGCCCGGGAGATTCAATTGCATTTAATATTTTTCGATCATGGGGCTGATCTAATTGATTATAGGGATATTTGACCCATGCCTCGAAGGCTTACGTCGAGGATGCTAACGCTCCGTCCCCTGTGGCGGAAGCTGCTGATATGGTCACTGAGCTTTTGCTTTCCGCTTCCGGGGATTTCTCACCTCAGAATGAAAGCTCTATCAGAAATCTAGTGGAGAAGTTCATATCTTCGCTGAGCGCTTCTGATGACATTGATGGAGAGCGCCGGCAGATGCCATTCACCGCGAAAAAGCTGGACCAGGCCATCAACGTTGGCTCCCAGAGGAACATGTCTTCAACTCTAGGCCTTGCTGGAGGCAATGTGGACTTGGAATCCGCCAACTCTAGGAAGGTGGAGTCTCGTGTAGACCGCAAGAAGCTCGAAAAGGCAGAACGTAAGATTCGTGCCAAGCAGGAAAAGAAACAAATGAAGACCGTGCAGTATGAATCGTCACGTCTTCTGAACCAACCGGATAGTACCATGTCTTACGAAGAGTTCTTCATGGCTGTCAATCCTCTCCAGCTGGGTTCCGACTCACAGGCCAAGAGCAAGGATATCAAGGTTGACAGTATCGATATTTCTGTCGGTGGCCTCCGTATCCTAACCGATGCGTCTCTTACTTTGGCCTATGGTCGTCGCTATGGTCTTGTGGGTCAAAACGGTATCGGTAAAAGTACCCTTCTGCGGGCGCTGAGCCGCAGAGAGGTGGCAGTTCCTAGCCATATCTCAATTCTTCACGTCGAGCAAGAAGTAGGTCACTTGTTCCCCTCGCCCCGTAACTTTCTCCAACGAGCTCATAACTGAACATCGACATTGTGAATTTAGATCATGGGCGACGATACCCCTGCCATCCAGGCAGTTTTGGATGCCGACGTGTGGCGCAAACGCCTACTGGCCGATCAAGAGGTTAGTATCCCGTTTCTGTTATCGAATTTGCCGGCATATGCGTGCTAACCTTCCCCACAGAATATATCTAAGCAGCTGGCCTCCCTCGAAGCCGAAAGATCCTCAATGGCAGACACCTCGCAAGATGCAGCCAAACTGGATCATGAGAGAGAGGGTCTTGATATTACCTTGAGTGATATTCATTCCAAGCTTGCAGAGATGGAGTCGGATAAAGCAGAGTCTCGTGCGGCCAGTATCTTGGCGGGTCTTGGTTTCTCGCCCGAAAGACAGCAATTTGCGACGAAGACCTTCTCTGGTGGTTGGCGGATGAGATTGGCTCTGGCCCGAGCTTTGTTCTGCGAACCAGATTTACTTCTGCTGGATGGTAGGCCTTCTTTTCATCTGTTGTTGTCTTTTATTTTATTTAACTTTTGGAAATGCCTAACTCTGTACAGAACCTTCAAACATGTTGGATGTTCCGTCCATTACGTTCTTGTCCAATTATCTCCAGGGCTATCCTAGCACCGTGCTGGTGGTTTCTCACGATCGAGCCTTCTTGAACGAAATTGCTACAGATATAATGCATCAGCACTCCGAGAGACTCGATTACTACAAGGGCGCCAATTTCGGTGAGCTTCCTGCGGTATGATGTCGAATGACCCGAGCTAACTTCTTTCACAGATTCCTTCTATGCGACGAAGGAGGAGAGGAAGAAAAATGCGAAGCGTGAATACGAGAAGCAGATGGCCGAACGGGCACACTTGCAAGGTGCGAGACCCCGTAGATCAATCGATTTTTCAAATAGGCTGACAAAATTCAATTCAGCGTTTATCGACAAATTCAGGTACAATGCGGCCAAATCGTCCGAGGCACAATCAAGAATCAAGAAGCTCGAGAAGATGCCCGTCTTGGAAGCCCCGGAGGCCGATTATGTGGTTCATTTCAAATTTCCAGAAGTCGAGAAATTATCTCCGCCCATTGTGCAGATGTCCGAGGTTGCCTTTGGATATACCAAGGACCGTCCCCTTCTTAAAAATGTTGACCTTGATGTTCAGCTTGACTCCCGTATCGGCATTGTGGGACCCAACGGTGCTGGTAAGACAACTGTGTTGAAGCTCCTCACGAACCAACTCCAGCCCACCTCTGGTCTTATCTCCACAAATGCTAGGCTGCGGATCGGATTCTTCGCCCAGCATCACGTGGATGCTTTGGATCTCACTACTAGTGCGGTGAGCTTCATGGCAAAGACATATCCCGGAAAGACGGATGAGGACTACCGGAGACATCTGGGCGCGTACGTTTGAGACCCATTTCCTGATCTAAATTGTGCTCGGCAGAAGGGTGACTAACGTTTGGTTTTCCTTCAATTAGGTTCGGCATCACTGGCACGACAGGTCTCCAGCGAATGGAACTCCTGTCTGGAGGTCAAAAATCTCGTGTCGCTTTCGCCTGCTTGTCCTTGACAAACCCTCATATCCTCGTTCTCGACGAACCGTCCAACCACCTCGATATCGAAGGTATGGACGCATTGTCCGAAGCTTTACAGAACTTTGAAGGCGGTGTTGTCATGGTGTCTCACGACGTGACGATGCTGCAGAATGTCTGTACTAGTCTATGGGTGTGTGACAAGGGCACGGTGGAGCAATTCGATGGCACTGTCGATGCCTACAAGAAAAAGATCAGTTCGCAGGCCAATGAAGCTGGTGTTGCGGTGGCCCACTAACCAGCTACTTGTAACTACCTCTAGTACTAGCCCTCAGACTGGTGGTCAATTTGAAATACCTCATCACTTCAGTCCATCATCATCCATGAAGCTCAATCTAATATGCTGTACGGAGTAGAGACAGAATGGTTCTCATGTAGACGTTTCTATACTTCGTACGGGGTACATCAAGTGGGTCGGTGCCGTGGGCGGCCTGCCAAGCGCCACCGCCCCGGGCTGGACGTCTATCCTTATCTACCCCGTACCTTACTCTGTACTCTGTACTTTCCCCGATTCCAGACTCTCCCCAACCCTACCTGCTTGTTTGCTTTGGATTTTATTCGTCCTTTCTGTGGGGTTACCTGTCTTACCGAAACCCAATTGTCGCCTGTCCCTGTCAACTGTCTAGAGGGATGGAATGAGCGCAGATGTTTTGATAGAAGCAGAGGAACATTAAATCATGACGGAACATTATCCATCTGACGCGAATGCCCCCTTGCTCTCGAACGATGCGGTCACCAACCATCCACATCAAGACTATGACGATAATATCCCAGATCTGGAGTTAGGATACTCGGGAGGCTGGTTCATCTGGATCTTAACATTCTCAGCCGGGATAAGTGGGCTTTTGTTTGGATATGAGTAAGTGTCACCGTCACCCGTTAGAGCTGCGATCTTACGCAGACAACTAGTTGACATTTACATCGTTAAAGCACAGGAGTTATCTCGTCCACTCTCGTATCCATCCACTCCGATCTTTCTCATCGTACCCTTAATACGTTGGACAAAAGTCTGATCACGTCTTGCACGAGTTTATTTGCCTTGATTGCAAGCCCGGTGGCAGGAGTCATGGCCGATAGGCTCGGCCGTCGGAAAGTCATACTGGTTGCAGACGCACTGTTCGCTGTCGGTGCATTGTTACAGGCCGCTACCAGCGAGGTATCGGGAATGATCGTTGGGAGGAGCATTGTTGGCATGGCTGTCGGCGGTGCTAGCTTGGTGACTCCGTTGTAGGTTTGGTCTCTTGTACATGCTCTCGATGGATGGAATACGCTCTGACCGGTTCTTTCTACAGGTATATATCTGAACTGGCACCACCGCATGCCCGAGGACGACTAGTTACGATCCTCTGCCTGTTGATCACCGGGGGGCAAGTCATAGCCTATATTATGGGCTGGCTATTTTCATCTGTACCTGGAGGCTGGCGTTGGATTGTCGGTCTTGGAATGGTACCCGCAGTGCTGCAGTTTGGAATCGTACTTGTGTTACCAGAAACCCCACGCTGGTCAGCGCAAGCTGGGCTCGAAACCAATGCTATACGCTCTTTAATGAAGGTATATCAAGGCCACCCCTACAGAGAGCGCGTCGCGAAGCAGGTCCTGCATGATATACAACGGGAAATAACTGAACAAGATGAGGAGCTGAATACATGCAACGATGCGCCTCAATTTCGCATGCAGTGGCTGCAAAACATGACGCAGCGTGCTCGTGATCTATTTCTTACACCTGGAAACCGGAGAGCATTAACAATCGCCATGATGCTGCAAGGATTACAACAGCTATGCGGATTCAATAGTTTGATGTATTTTTCGGCAACTATATTCTCCCTTCTTTCATTCTCTTCGCCCACACTCGCTGCACTATCAGTGGCCATGACCAACTTTGTTTTTACAATGCTCGCATTTGTCTTCATTGATCGGATTGGCAGGCGCCGCATACTCCTCTATTCTATACCCTTCATGATAATTTCTCTTCTTGCCTGTGCCTTAGCATTTCCTTCTCTGGAATTGCCGAATATGTCCGACGTCCAAGCAAGATCAGACAGTAACGTCACTGCCCAGGCTGGCTCCTTGCTACCAATGGTGATCCTTGTTTGCTTTACAGTATACACAGCATCCTACGCATTTGGGCTCGGCAATGTTCCTTGGCAGCAATCTGAACTCTTTCCCCTCAATGTTCGCTCGCTTGGGTCTTCAATTGCCACGGCGACAAACTGGGGGTCAAATTTTGTTGTCGGGCTTACCTTTCTGCCTATGATGGAACTTCTCTCTCCTGGTTGGACATTCGCGGTCTACGCAGCCATATGTATCATTGGCTGGTTTTGCGTGTGGTCAAATTACCCTGAACTCAATGGTCTTAGTCTCGAGGAGGTCAAATGGCTCCTTGCTGCCGGCTGGGGGCTAGATAAAGGTCTTATCAGGCCTCAGGACACCCCGTCGAGGTGAGACGCACAGTATCATGGATTGAAATTTGCGCCGATTGAATCGGTCAAAGGTCTCCCAATGTGCTTGTTGGTTACGATTTCAGGAAAATCTGTCCCAGCAAGAGGTCGGTGGATTATGCTCTTGCTCAGTATCATCTCGACATCCTTAGAAGGAACTAGCCTACCTACCCTGGCCTAATTCATTTCACCTCGATATATAAATCACCAATCTTACTTTGTCTCATCTCGGTATAAATTTAAGCCACTTGTGATAATCCTGTATATACATATTCTTGACCGCTAGCATAGGCCCTGCCATGTTTGGCCTTCATCAATTCCAGTACCTTTTTGGTTTTCTTGTATCTCGATCATTTTTTCCGAAATAATCCGGCATTTTGCTCTGTTATAATTAAAGAGGCTAGATACCTATGATAGTGGTGTGACTGCCAACCGATCATGACATACGACTGGATGCCCATGTTTAATCGGTACATGTAGGTTCGTGGCTAATACCGCAAATTTAAATCTCAAATAACTGCTGGGCCCCTCCAGGCACCTAGTCGTTTGCTATTTTATCGGTGGCCATTTTAGCATACACCGCTGTATGCTTTGCAAAAAGACGCGATGCGTCTTTAAGGATACGAAATTATTCATCAAAGTTAGACTACTCCTATATTGAACATGGAAATAGAAAAAAAAGGGCGATTCCTATTTTTTAAAGATACATAGCAAGATCGGGAATGAAAAGAAAGAGAAAGAGCAAGAAAGTCTACTCCTCAATGTCCTTTACCTTCTCCCATTGTCCCTTGAGGTTCTCTTTCCACAAGCTGACCTTATTGTCGCCTCCGCCTACGGCAAGGATGTTCCCACTGGGGCTCCAGCTGACTCTCCAGAGGACAGTGTCAAACTCGAGTTGCTGGCTAGTCCACTGGCCCGGGTTTGATGCATCGGAAGTCCAGATCCGAACGGTTTTATCTTGCGAAGCGGATGCGATGTAGGATTTGGACAAAATACTCGGCGACCAAGCAACGTCTCGGACCCAGTCCGAGTGACCCTCGAAGGTTTGAGTGAGATTGTAGCTTTTTGTTTCCGGGCTGCAAAGGAGACGTTTATCAGCGAGATGAAAGAGGGCGACATCAGGCTTGAGATACGTACCTGTAGTCCCAGATCTTGAGTAGGTTATCACTACCGCCAGTGACAAATCTTCGCTGCTGGCCGGGTCCGGGATTTGAGCTGATCAAGCTGCCAGGAGACGTCGCAGGGGCCCAGCTGATAGAGTTCACACCCATGCCATGAGCGTGGAAGATCTGGTGAGTCCAGCTGTTATCACGGAATTCCAAGACACTGACGTGGCCGTCCGAGGAAGCGCAAGCAAGCAAGCATCCGCTCTCGTGGGGAGCCCAGGAGACCATGTTCACCGATGCGGTATGGAGAGAGAAATCAAAAACTTTGGTCCAGGAGTTTCCGGCCATAGGGGATGTCGAGTTTTGATGCTGTTCGCGCCAAATGAGCACCTTTCCATCATACGAAGAAGAGGCCAGGATAGTGCCGAATTTAGGGTGGGCCTGCAGAATGCGACGGGAAGTTCAATTAGTTAATGCTTGCACCGCCGAGAAGGCTATCGAGCTGATTTTAAAGAGTAGGAAATTGCGCACCCATGCAACACACCACACAGCACCTTCGTGTCTGATTCACTCGAGGTCAGCGACTGGAGGGGGAAGGCACACATGACGGAACGAGGCTCACCCTTTCAGAGTTTCAATTAATCGATGCGTCTCGCCTTCAATTTCGAATATCTTTATTGTCTTATCCGACGAGCATGTTGCCAATCGTCGACCGTAATAATCCAGACCGGCATCGTGCTATATCAGGTGGTCAAATTAGTAAAGGGGAATCGGTGCATCGGGGCGTATTCTTGACGTCGGAGGTAAGGATGTAGGCAAGACCATAACATACAATCATATCATCATGTCCAGAATTTGAGATGACCTGAGCAGCCGCCTATCGACCTCGAGGGGAAAGGTTAACAATCCAGCGCTGACAGCCAGTTGAAAGGAGAGAGCCGCACCATGTTTGCCCAATTGAAGGACCTCCTTAGGGGTGAGAATAGAAGATAGCAAGGTCTGAGTTAGTACACAGAGAGGAAGCAGCCCACAAGCTCAAGTTGCTCTTGTGCAATGATTAAAGCAAGCGGTGGTGGTAGAAGAGGGACAGGCAAGCAGGCAACGAGCAGCGGCAAAACACCGCCAGCTTGTCTGTTTCGCTAGCGCAATCTTATCTTATCGGCCCGGTCACGTTGGGTCACGCCTGGCACGTGAGATAGACCTCGGTCGGCTTCGGTCGATTTACCCCACGGGTCTCTCTCTCTCTCTCTCTCTCTCTCCCTCCTGTCTCTTTCCTTTGCCTTCTTTTCTTCACTATCCCCATTCTTGCTGCGCAGAGTGTCCTACTTCCCATTTAGCAGTCCCCCGTCCCCTTCATTGCATCTTCCCCAACTTCTTTCTATGTGTCTATCTTGACAGTATGTGCATCTCTTCCCCGCCCGTTGTTCCTCGTGATCATGTCTTACATTATGTCCATACACTAATCTGCTCTCTTGGAGTTACAGCTTGTGGTATTTGACCATCATGAGTGACTCAATATGTGGGCCATCCAATGCTCTCCAGAACTTTCAAAAGAATGCCTCTGTCGATAGGACTCTCCAACAGGATAGGTTGGTTTCGCGACAAGCGCATACACAGGTAAAATCCCAGTTGTAGCTTTGAACAACCGAGAACCTCTCATACTAATACACTCGGCTGCGTAGGGTTTCCGTTCCCAGGCTCCCAGTCAAGGAGTTCTAGACCCCGAGTTCGCCGCCTTTGAGTCCAATTCAGCCGGCCCGTCATTTTCGAATTTACAGCATGTACCAGGCCCCTTCAGTACTCATGCTCCGCATCATGCGGTGTCCCATCCCGCAGATCAAGCAAACTGGGCTGCAGATTTCCAACGATTGCAGCTGTCGGGCCCATCGCACACGTTCGATCAACGCACGGGTCCCTCCGCCGTTTCCCACCAGGGGTGGCAAAATGAGTTCATGAACCAACAGCAACAAGGTCCCCAAATACAGCAGCAGCAGCAGCAGCAGCAGCATCCGCGATTTGCTTCAGGCTTCCAATCGCTTTCACCGGGGTATCACCTGTACGGAACACCCATGAATATGAATTCTTTCCCCACTGCGGAGTCCATGGCCACCCAGCAACCGCCAGCAGAAACGTTCGATGAAACTGCGTTTGAAGCCGCGTTTGAGCAGGCCAGTGCGGACATGATGTCACATAATATCGAAGAATCCCAGACAAACAAGGAAGAACTTGCCAGCAGCACTGCTCAATCGGACACGCCCGTCGCAGATGAGCCCCACGAAGCCATTAGAATCGGATCGGACACCATTCCGCAGACCAATAACGACGGTACGCAAGCGCGGGTCAACGATGCGGACGAGCTGGCCAGGACTGCAGGGCATTTACTAGAGAGTGTCAGCCATGACCAAAGCCAGAAATTTCGAGAAAGTAACTTCCTTGCCCTGATGCGCCGTATCCGGGATCGCGAAGTCCATGTCGAAGGAGACGAATTCCGCGAAGTCAGTACCAGTTCGTGATTTATTGGGATTTCGACTGGCGTGGCACGAACGCTGGTAAAATCGAATACTTGACACCGACTATTGTTTACGCTAATCAATATTCAGACTTTGCAGCCTTTACACCCTGGCGGCAAACACTATCCAGAAGGCCCGAAATCGAAACAGGAACGAGCTGCAGTCTCAGCAGACCAACACAACTACGCTTTTGTACAAAATAACAGAGGTTAGCCTAACGCAATAGCTGTGAAGAAAAATAAAGACGCTCGCTGACTATCCGAAATTATCTAGATACTGCGGGTGATGCTTCTGCTCGTCCGATGGAACATAAAACCAAGGAAGATGAGATATTGGATGATGATATGCTCCATGCATCTTGGGCGTATGGCGATCGTTGGGCTTGAATAATTGTCTAGCTTGATACCCCTTTCTTTCTTTCTTTCTTTTTGTATTCATTCTTTCCCTCTACTTGTTTATGTCAGTTTGAACATTGCCAAGGCGCAAGGATTGGAACCAAAAGCTTGTCAGTTTTTGTGATGCTTTTGCTTTGCCGGAAGGCCGTCCTCTATTGACCCGGCACGTGACTTTATTCAGGTATTGACGAGCAAGAACAATAGCAGTCAATAAGGGGGCGAGCAGCATTGTTGCAAGGCATCATCGCCCTCGCCCACCGCATTGGCCCCTTATTGTCTGGAGTCCCTGGTCATGAATAAATGCCCCGGCGAGGCTGCTGTGTTGTCTTGCCGGTTGATCGGCCTATTGTCGTTGGTGGCTAGTCTATTGATGCACGGCTCCTTGTCCTACTCTACCACTTCTATCTATAGACGGACACCTTTCCATGAGCATGTATCGATTGTCCGGATGATTTCTGCTCTGTCTAGGTAGCCTAGTACAAATATCAACGACGTCAAACTTCTTTCCATCTTCCCATCCCACTCTTGGTTCTCGATGCTGCTGATAGTCTGACAGTCTGGTTAGCCAAAGCTGAACGAACAGAACCCCCAGGATGATTCCGCCATCGGATTCCATTCTCCATCACTCGCACAAACTCTCCGAAGTACAGAACTCTGTACAGCCGACCCCTCCACCGCCGTACTCGACGGCAACCCAGCACAGCGACCTCCACGAGGACGTCGAGAGCGATATATTTAGTGATGAGGATCAACAAGCTCCCATTGCGATCCACATCGATGCCTCCATCAACATCAGGGGAAATGACAATTCCATCGTCCTCCCTTCCTCTGCATCCGAGTCCGCAATCTCCGCGTCTCCCGCATCTTCCACCCCGACTGCGAGCGCTGCGCAGCATCAGCGCCGGACACGGCTCACCGACATGACAACCTCCATCCTCGCGGCGTTGCACCGGACCGGGGTCCTCAACGCAGCGCGGACCTCCACCCCGGTCGAGATCCACATCGCCACGGGCATCAGGATCGAGGGCAGCAGGAACACCATCTGCTCTGGCTCGGCGGTCAATCGTCCGCTCGTCGGCAAGCAACGCACATCCGGGGATGGCACATCCTGGAAGAAGCGATCTCAGTCTGTAGGTTTTCCGTTCCCTGTCTCATCCATCTCCTTTCTCGTATCTTTTTTCGTCTTTCAACCTGGAGACACCTGGAGAATAGCGGCCAACGAGACGACGAGCAAAGATTCTCCCTTCTCTCTTTCTCTTCCTTATCGTTACTAACCGTCGTAAAAACCATAGGAACCAACTGAAATCTCTAGATCACTCAAACGACACTGCTCAATGTGATCAAATAGATACTTGAAAGGGAAGAGCACGCAAAAGTCCCCGAGAACGAACAATATCTTCTTCTCTCCTTTTACATCGATTTTCTCACCTCTTCATTTATCTACTTTCGTTTGCTTTTATCTTTTTTGCCGACATGTCATCATTAATCTGAATGAGCCCTGAGAACGGATAGTGACGATAGATGGCCCCTATAGAATGAAACAACTCGTTTTGCGTCCGTTGCCACCAAAATATAATTTGGGTTTCGAACCAAACTAAGAGCCTTTAACATGGAATAGAAGACCTGGCGGAAAGTATTGCATGTGTAGGACCTTCAACGCAGGTTGCATTCTACTCAATTATGCATAGTATGTTCGATACTGTAGTAGGGCAAAGAAAATAAACACCTTTATTTGAGCCCTTTCACACCAGATCTAATCATACCTCCCATTCAAAACCATACATATTCTCCACATAAAAGATAAAAAAGAGAACCCCTCCTGTCAATCATTGCAATCAGTATACAGACCCACATATCAAAACATGGATAATTTCAAGATTTGAAAGCCAGCAAAAAGATTCGATAAAAAAGAGATCTCATCGGTCGAGAATACATTCGGTATACAAGGTTTTCTGAAAGGTTCAAGAAAGAAGGGGAGTACATTGATTAAAAGACGAAAGAAATAAGAGAGGCAAGAAAAAAAAAAACCATATCGAATACGCCGAGTATTGACTATAAGGGATTCATTAGAAATATCATGGCCATGTTTGAAAAAAAGTACATGAACTGGGTCGAGAGGGAACAGGGGCGACTGATGAGAATAGGGCGAATTGATCAAGTAGATCGGTCAATCTACCTACTTCCAAAAGACGGAACAGTTACGGTCGTCACCGGCCAATTGGGAGATCATGTCGGTGCAAATCCCTCGACCATTCCGGAGCAACCTTGTCTCGTTCATATAGAAGACCGCAGTTGTGGCAAAGTGTCTGGACAAACGGTTAGAGAAATTAAGTCTGCGACGAGTGTAAGAAATTCTTACCCTAGGACCAGCAGGCCCATCCCGCACCGCCCAGACCGCGGTGCCCCAGACCATACAGTTGCTGCATCGCCAGTTTTGACGTTCCCTAGAGACAAAGAAAACAGACAAGGTCAGTCATTCGGGTGTAAAGTGGCTTTGAAGGAGGGAAAGAAAGACATACCATTCAGAGAGTGTACCACCACCGCCACCGTAGCCAGCCCCCGAGCCGGTATCCGGAGTTCCTCGCCCACCGGGGGTGCCTCCTCTCGCGCCTGGACTGATACTGCGGAAGCGTCTTTTTCGTTTGCTGCGCTCGCCTCGACCCAATGGGGTTTCGCTATCAACATCGAAATAACCCCCGCTGCCTTGTCGGGACACTTCAGGAGTGATGCCGGTGGTAGATGAGAACCGAGCCGTCTCTCGCCGTAACCGGCGGATCTGTCGCTCGCGGTCACCTTCTCGTTTTTCGATCTCTTCTTTCGATAGCGCTTCCACCTTGGGCTCCCATTCATCCCCAAGCCCTTCGGGATCATATCGCCAGCCGGCCTCGGCGCCATTCGCCGCTTGATTGTCGATCTCGTTCCCGTATATACCGCTGATGAGCCCGCCACTTTCACAAACCTCCTTCTTGAGTTTCAAGACAGCTTCGTATATGCCATGCGATATGGCACCAACCCATTCTCCGCCCAACCCTAGGTCGGCGCAAGTGATCTTGGCAAATTCTTCGGCCATCCCGGCAGGGTGCAGCAATGACCATTCAAACTTGTCAGTGTACAGTTTGTTCTGCAAATTGATGTTTAGATTGATCATGCACCGATACGCATCATCAGGATTTAAAAGGCTGTCGTTGATCAGGGGTTCTTTGGTGACAGTCACTGCATTGGCCCTGCTGTCGGGGGTGGCCGCATGTGTGAAGGCCGGGGTCATGGACACATCGCGCGACAGCCCATTCTGGGAGGCGGAGGGAGGCTTGTGTTGTGTTCTCTGGAAGAGCGGATGCAGTGCGACTCCGGCAAATTCTTCTAATTGTTGGCGGATTTGATTACTGATCGCCATGGTCATTGCCTGCGGGCTGGGGAGATCCATGTCACGAACGAATCCGACGGCAAACTCCTCCGGGGTTGCGAGAGCTTCGTGAAGGTTCCAGAGAAACGTATCCTTGATACGATAGGCGGGCAGTGGCTCGGGTCGTCTATACCCAGGCAGCGTGAGATTGAGCCCTGGGTCTATGACCGTTCGCGGCAGGGGGAAAGGTTCCAACGGTTGATGCGCCGGTATTTCCAAATCAATTCGAATCGGTATGAGGGTTAAGGGCAGCTGTGCTTGGATCTGTAGCTGGTCTGCGCAACTAGAGAAGACGGTACGGATTAGTGCTCATTCGCGAATATCAATTTAGAGTCCGCAGTCGGACCCAGGACAACAGAACATACGCAGGCCGTAACATCCTCTTGATCATCCAATCCCGAAACACCCCTTGGACCTCGACTGGGGCATGGATCTCTTTCCCCAGTTTTTCTGCCAAGGGAACTTTATCGAAAGTTGACTCTTCTCGTCGGAGGCTTCTCAGGCCGGTGGGCCGCCGAGGTCCCTCGCTGTCATCAAAATCATCATCATCATAACCGTCTTCGGCGTAGTTGATGGCAGCGGTTCCGCGTTTCGTCGTGCGCGGCGTAGGGCCGACTTGAGTGGGAGGGTTGATGGGAGTGAGAAGCGCGTTCCCATATTGGCGCACCCGCGGGGGGTAGGATGTGATATAGCCTCTAAGAGGGGACATGTTGGCTGATTAGGTAGACAGGAACATGTCCCTTCCAGCGCTGGTTGGGAGGCTTCAATTTGCGAACAAAATAAATGAATGGATGGGCGTTCGACAGGATGGATGAAAGGGTGAATAACAGAATGCGGAAATTGAGCGACCGAGGGGATGAGGCGCAGGTCAGAAGTGAATGCGCCTGGCAGTATTGGAGGCGTCGACCTTGCACAGATACAAAAATCCCGAGCGACTTCTGGAGCAAGCACGAATCCAGCCCAAGCGCCTCTGACGGTGATCGCGGTCGGTCGACCTCCGCCTTTTTCTGCTTCTTCGCGTTTTCCCAGCGCCGCTCGCGCTAGTCCCGTTCTGGCCCCCATAGCGTCACGTGATCAATCTGGTATGGACAGGCCTCAGGCCGCAGGGCAGCCAGCGAGCGCTACTCCGTAGAGACTATATTCACCCGGGGATAGGAGGAGAAACAATAACAAGAATGCTATGGGTACAAGCGGTGATATATATACTAACAACCACTTAGAGTCAATGCTAAATTATAAACAAAATGATTCGAGCACCAGTAATTAAATACGCCATTCCCCTTTTGCCTGCATCGGAAGATTCGCAAGGAGTAAACTGGGATATCGTCAGTAACGCAAAAGATTGACTGAAAAGAACCTTGAAGGAAGAGATGTGCTGCAGTGCTATGTATCTAGCATAGGCCAAGGGCGGATCGGAAATGCGAGAACGGCGCGAGAAAGAGTAGATGAGAACAAAAGCGCAAACAGTAAACAAGAAAGACCCCAAACCAATCCCATGGCTATCGCAGCCCAATAACACTCTGTGAAAACGATTGGTTAGCTTATTCGGTTGTCTGGGCATAGGCGCAGTTCTCTTACCATCTCCAAGGTCCATACTCTCCGAATCCATATCTTGACTTTGCCCTCGACGCCATCCACGTTTTCCAGCTCGATTCCCTCCCACCAGCATCTTCTTGCTGGTTTTCTCCAGAAAAGAAGGAGTTTTTGTGCCATACCCACTGCGTTGTTATTGGACAGATCCCCGCGAATGTCGGTACGAAGTTTAGCCAACGCAAGACTACAGATCACCGCCTTGTTGGGTTCGGGAGCACGATGACCCCAGCGATCGTCACGGTCAAAGCCACTAATAAATATTAGCATGATGTGAGCCTCGTTCGCCTTTTCGGAAAAGAAGAGGCCTACCCTGCTGTGAGCATCTCGATTAGGTGCTGTTCAGTCGACCCAACCTCGTCGCTTTTCCGTAGACCAGAGAATATTCCGTCCTGTTTCAACAGTGCTTTGGCTGCCGCACGCTTGACCTCAATCATCTCTGCGTGGTCAATCTCGGGGCGGGGCGGTATCGCATAGAAATCGAGGTCCTCGCGCAAGACGATAATCCCGGCCCGGTCCTGTAGCATGTCTCTGGCAGACCCTTGCATTGAATCCGACATCTCTAGGTCTGGGGAGGTCGATGCGGAATGCGAGGACGACGGTATTGATTGGGCGACGGAGCGAAAGAAGTCCAGCATGTATTGAAGTGAGGCGGGGTCATACTAGCGATTAACTTGATTAGACATGTTCGGTAGGTGAGGCAATCCAGACGAGGTTTTAAGGCAGCTTACGTCGACGGGATAGATGTCGCCTTCATGGAAAGTGCCCATATGCCCATCAGGAAGCAGACCGTTCGGGAAAAGGGAGAGAAGAACGAATTCTGGCAGCGTCAAGAGTTCATCGCGAGAAAGCGTAAACCGCGTCCCTCTGTTATTATGTTAGAACAGCGCAATTATAGAACCGGCAGAGAAAGTTGTTACCGCAGATCCAGAGTAATGTGCTCGTCTCCACCGATATCTACTCGTAAGGGAATTGTCAGTTAGTCAGAATATTCCCTCGGAGGGAAAAAGGTATCGCACCTCCTAAGGTATTGATCGGGGGCCCTCCGGCCTGTTGCACCTGAGTAATAATACTCGACGCGCCTCCTGCCGCAGCCATCACGTATGTAAATGATTCGATGGGGCTAGAACCTTCGGTGTACGGAGGAGGGGGCTCTCCGTCGTCTGCTGCTTTGCCTTGGGAATCTCCCTTGGAATCGGAGCCGAAAGAAGCTTTGGTCTCTGCGACTAGAGATGCGGAGGATGGGTCCGGTTCTAAAGGTGCTTCGTCGTCGGATGGCGGAGAAGCTAGCCGGGGCTGAGGAGCTGTTTCCTTGGCGCGATTGGGATCGGTCGCAGGGGGGAAGATCAAGGACGAGAATGGTGGGGGACGGGACGAATGGAGGCTAGAGGAAGAAGCCTCAGAGGACGGGGAATGCGGCGGCGGCGCGGTATAGAAGTCGTCGTCCTCCACTGCGGAGTCCGTCTGATGATGCGGCCGCGCCGTGGGAGGCGAGCCAGGGGAACTTCGATGCCGCGACAAGGTGTCGGGAGGTGTCTCGAATTCGCTGCGAGCGCGTATGGCTGAGAACTCCTGTTGGAGATCCGTAGTGTTCAGCTGCGAGTGGCGTCTAGGTGATCGGACGAGACCTAGACTCCGGGTTCCCTTGGTCGATCAGATGTCTAGCTATCCGTGATCTCTTCCAGTAATTCCAGGGTTAATTAAAACATGAGAGAGACCTGCAAGGAATATATCAAAGCCCACTGCGATTCGAATAGCGAATAGGGGGGAATGCGGTAGCCTCGGCAAGAAGGGAGTTGATGGAGCGAACAAAGAGGCAGGCAAGAGCGATGAAAGAGGAGAAGAAGAGGATGGAAGAAAGCGCTTAGAGAAACATTGGCGGCGGGCGACTTTCAATGCGGGAAGCTTTGGAGTTAACGTCGACTAGTGCACTGTATTGCTCTTACCGTACCGACTTTCTCTCTCTCTCTCTTTCCCTCCTTCTTTCTTTCTCTCGCTCTCTAGTTATATATGTTATTTACTCATCCAATCTCCCTTTACCCCTGACCCGCCCGGGGCCTTGTTTTGCATGGAAACAGCCTTGGAAAGGTCAGCCGTTACTTCTCTACGCCAACAGCATCCTCCAGAGTATGGGATTGGGAGAAATTGATTGATTGCTAACTATGTGCACCGGCTAAAATTGTCCACTTATTCTCAAAAAGTTCGACCGAAAGAAGGCGCTCCCTGCCTTCGCAATGGGGTCCTCCCATCTAGACATTACGCTCGGCAAAGCTCTGAATCAGGCCTTCAATGGTCGGCTCGTATTCCTTCAGCGTGACCTCATCGCCATTCAGGATAGTATTGCCCTGCACGAAGACCTTGCGTGGGATCTTGTTCTTCAGGACGATATCCCGAACCTTGGTGCCCCACCACTCGTCGACCGAGGTGATTTCATCGTAGAGTTTCTTGCCCGCTCCAACGTCGGCGGTACTCTTGTAGACATGCAGCTTTTGGAGGTATTTCTCCACGGCGGGCCTTCCATGGCTCAAGATCTTGGATCGGTCGAGATGGATCTCCAGGTCGGAAAGATCATCCTTGCTATGAGAAAGTCGGACGAAATCGCCACCCGCCTCGAGGAAAGTTCGCAAGATGCTGTAACGGGCCTGCATGTGCGCCTGTCCCCATTTTTGCGTCTTCGGATCCCAGAACTCTAGCGCGACCAATCCCGCGCGTGCCATTTGAAGATAGGCCACGAAAAGGACGTCGCCGGCTGCGTTCGTAAGGTTCTCCGTTCCATCGCCAAAGCCGAAGATCTTCAGGATGTCGAAATCACAACTCAACGCCATCGCAACACATTCCGCGCGGCACTCTTCGTAGGACGAGGCGATGGCTCCAAAAACTGAACTCCAGGTCTGACCCGGCTTGTACCAAGTAGATACCGGTTTGTTCGTGACGGGGCTCACAGGGGGGTTTGAAACATCAAAATTGTACTCTCCCGGAGCAGTTTCCTGGAGCAACTTACCCGTGCCATGGCCCAGAAGCTCATGGATACCAACCTGGACTTCGAACGCGGGATCGCGGCATTTGCGATACACCTCCAAATCTTTATCGGCAATAAAAGGAACCGGTTCGTTGGGAGCCTTGGCCCCGAGAACGTTTCCGAGAGACACATTCTTGAAGCCCAAATTCTGGCGAATATCATCGTAGTTAGGGAGGTTGATACCAGCGGGGATACCGGACGATTGGAAGCTCAGGACCTCAAGAGAGGTGAAGTCTGGACTGAGGAACTTGTCTTTTTCGAAGTCGTCGCCCCATGGGAGCTTGGGGATCATGGTCTCGGCACTGTCAACAAGCTTTCCGAAGGCTCTCGTGCGTTCCATGTTGACCTGTTCAGGTTATTAACACCGCTCGCATGAATTTGGTGGTTACTTACCAGAGCAACAAATCCCTCCCACTCGCCTCTTACGCCGTGAGGGTCCCTATATGTCTCGACGAACCCAATGTTTGTTTCCAGAGTCGGCTTTTGGTCCTTCACCCAAATACGCTGGCTCTCTTTGAATGCTTCGATCGACCCTGCGCCAAACGAACGCGCATACGCGTCCAACATCCGCTTCTGGTTGTCGTTTGCTGCATTGAGCCCTGCGAGCTTGATACAGTGGGCTATCTTCGCCATCTGTTCCAAGTGATCTCCAAAGACAAGACGAAGCTTCTTCCCTTGCAACTCTCCACTCAGGTCGAAGGAGTCAACGTCGCCAAGATCCCGGTCCCGGGCTGGGGGCGAGGTGACTCCGGCGGCAATCAGTAGCTCGAAATCGCCGGAGGCAGTCTTCCTTAACCGCGTATTCTCCAGGGGCAATCCCTTCTGCTCCATAATGTCGCCAACGGCCGTGATTTCATCCTTGGTGATAGACGGCGAGTCGGGATAATAAGTTGTCATGTGCTTGCCTTCCGGGTAGCCGAGATGCATGAGGGATTGCTCCTGGGTTTCGTAGATGCCACCTCCGACGTTGCTTGCCTTCTCAAAGGCGGCCTTGGCTTCTGGAGTGATCGAAGACAAAGCCGCGAGGGCTTCCAAAGGCAGTCGGGGAATGAACTTCGAGTCACCGAATCCCTTGTAATTGCCACAGTTCCCAAGGAACTGGCCAGCATATTCCAAGAAAAACCGGACATTTTCGTCACTAACCCCGGTCTTGCGGGCAAGCTCAGGCCAATTTCCATCGCAAGCGCGGTGCAGAGAGATGATGAGGTCGTAGATGGGTTCGGATTCGGGAGAAACTTGACGTAGAGTTATGCGAGTACCTTCGAAAGCAGCTCTAGAATGGGGTTGAATATCGGTTTCGCGTTAGCTGGTTAGACCAAATCGGGGAGCGCGAAGATGGTTGGAATGAAGCTATAGGGAGCGAACCGGCTCATGTAATGTGCGTATTTCCTTAGCTTCGCATCCTTCAGAGTCTCGAAGTGTGATTTAACTTCCAGGCGGACCACCGTAGGCGGAGAGTCAGCCAGGTAATGCTGTTTGATGGAGGCATCCATGGTTAGATCTTTATGGGAGGTGATGGAACTGTTGTTGATCGGAGATGAAGAGAAGGTACGTTGGGTGTGACGTAAAGAGCAGAGACGACTGAGGGGTAAAGAGTCCGAGGGGCGGTGGAGCGAGACAGAATGAGGCCCCGACGGCAAACGCCTCAAAGCGCGAAGGGCGAGCATCGTGGAGTATCTTGATTCTCGACTCTCGACTTGATTCCTTGCCTCGACTTCGGTCCGCGAGGCGTGTTTCGCGTCCCTTGGGCCCGGTGTTCTTGGGCATGGATTTCTTGGCAAGAGTGGAGACCTTTTACTACGGTGTATGTACTCTGTACAGAGTAAGCTTGGAAGCTACGAACTGTCTATTCCTTAGCATTGCAGGCTATATATTCGTTGAACTTGGTCTTCTCCCAGTCAAAAGGTGTCCATAGATGATAGACCAGGTATTCTGGATTCATGATCATCCCCGGTTTAAATCCAATAGATATATATAAGATATACAGACAGGGAGATTTGCACGCTTCGTGATATAGTTATAAACATGAGAGAGAACTTTTGCATGGTATTCAAATTGTGCTCAAATAAAATGGGATATAATGCATGAACATGTAGATAGATGCATATTCAAGATGTCGAGCTCCTAGATTAGAGCAAAGGTTCCTTCATGTGAAACATCGCGAAGGGACAAAAATTGATCAAAAACCTCAACAAAGCTTCGTTCAACTCGTCAAATCCCTCCCACTTTCCATAACAGGATTTCATAGCAAGCTTTCGTATTTTTCAAGCCCCTGTCTTTGGGGCGCCTGTGCTGGCGGTGTACTGTTTTGCAAGAAAGAATTAGATGGCGTACCCCTACCGAAGGGGGGTCTCCCGGGATTTGCTAGTCCACTTGTGAATGACGGAGATGTTGTTTGTGATGACGGCGGTGGAGGAATTGAGAATGCAGAGTAGTTAGAGGCCACAGGCTGTGAGATAGTTCCGGCCATGGTATTGCCGGCTGTCTTCATGCTAGCTAGTGAGCCTAGGGAGGGTGACATCTGATTGGGAGATTGGCTGTTTGAAGGAGGAGGGGAGATGTTCCATAAATTAGACGAGGATGGTTGCAAGACAGGGAAAGTCGGTGGGTTGGGTGATTTCTGTTTGAACGAGGCCGGCTCCAAGGATGGAAAGGAGCTCAGGTTGTAGTCCGGGGTAATAGAGCGCACATTAAAATTGGATCGCTTCGAAGGGGTGTCAGCTCTACCAATTGTACCAGCAATATTGGATGGCCAGGGAGTTGCTGCGGCTGCAGGCTGCGGAGTAGGCTTTTGAGCGGCTGGCGTTCCGGCAACGAGATCGTCGTAGGAATTCGTGTCTTGGTCGGCCGGGCCGGTATGTCCTCGCCCGAGGACAAGCCGTTCAAAGTTATCTCGTGAGGAATCTGTATCGACCTGCATATGATGGGAAGCTTTCGAAGAGCTGTCGGCACCGTTTTGGAATCCGCCTGAGCCCCCTCCGGAAGAGAGCTCCTGCAGTTTCTTTGTCTGCTCGCGCTCGATTTTCGAGGAAATGGTCTTAATCAAAGCCATGAAACCCCCAAACTGGCGCAGGTCCAGGAGAGGTCCCAGGCTGAAGCTCCACAGAACCGGAAGAACTTCCAATGCCAGGAAATCAGTGTCCGCAATCGTGCCGACCTGACGGAACACGTTCAAGGCGGCCATCATGACAGCCGGCTCTTTCGTCTTGATTGCCTTCAACGACGGCATGAGCTTTTCCTGAATGGTGTACTTGTCCAAAATGGAAGACTTGATCGATTTGTCCTTCTGGGCCATGCCTGACAAATCATCCTCTATCGTTACCTCCTCATTCACAGAGCCCCCGCAAAGCACAGCAAATGCATCCAAGCAGCGAACCTTGATGGCAAGGCTGCTTGTACGGCTGAATGTCGCAGAAATCGGTGGAAACACCTCGTTCTTCACCGTGCTGAAGTCCAGGGTAGGCAGAATGACAGGAAGGCATCGGATTGCACCATCCGCCAAAGAATGAGTAGGCGAGTCCAAACCCAGCCGCACCAAGGGAAGGATGTCTGAACGGTTAGCACGTCAAGTCAAGAGTTGCTGGAAGGAGAGACCAACCTTCTTTGAAATCTTTGCCGGAGCAGTTCTCCGCCAGGACCTTCATATTATCGAGCACGGCCATAAGACCCGCATCTCTTTTTGAATCACGGTCGTTGCTAGATTTGCCGGTTGGAAACACCTCCTTGAGTCGAGGTACCACCTTCTCCGGGAGTATTCGTCGTGCATTAGGGATGCGCTTGAGGATGCCGAATACATTCTGCAAAATGAGAGACAACAGCTCCCGGTCTTTCATCTCTTCCAGGAGTGCACCAAGAACCTTTCTCTCCAGAACTGACACTGGGAACTCGGGTAGTACTCGCTGTAGCCCACGCATAAACTGTGACTTCTCGTTGGGATTCTTCGCGGGCAACGACTCCAAGAAGCGTATCGTTGATACCAGGATGTTATCAAAATATTGAGACTGCTGGAATTCTCGCACATTCAGACGCTGTGCTGGGCGTCTGGTAATCAGTCTGGGCAGCACGTGGGCAAGAAGATCTTTCGGGATAACACCGGAGCTGAGGAAATTATTGCCCTGTGACGGAGTGGTCGATGGTGAGTTGAGCAATTTCTTGTACGTAGATGCATTGGAGTGGGTTTGCAGCGGGGACGTATGAGGCGAATTATAGAGAGCGATGATGATAAGTCCCAGGGAGAACAGGTCAGCAGCCGGGGTCACATTGGAGTCCAGTACAAAGTCCGGAGACGTGTAATCCAGGTTGAGTTGAACTGACGCCGGGAGACGGGGATCTTGGTAGAGGACTTCCGACAGCGCGAGCGGCGGCAGCGAAGAGCGAGTCTCCGAAGAGTCGTGAGGACCCGCGAAGCCAAGGCCGGAGATTTTCCAGTCGGATTTGGCATTGATATAGATGGCCTCGGGGTTTAGGTTCCCGTGAACGAGGCCAGCCGACTCGTGCAGGAACTCCAGGCCTTTGGCCACCTGCAGTAGCCCCTTTTGCACCTCAAGCTCATCGATTTCGAGGTCTCTGCATCTCCGCGTTCCATCGGGCTCTTCTACCATGTAGCGCGTCGACCTGGCAGCGTCTCGTGAAGAGCTCTCTTGAATGTCTTTGTCCTGCAGAAGTCCTGCGAGAGAAGCGGTGATTTGTTCGGTAGCAAACATGAGCCCACCATTGCGAGTTTCTTCTACGGGTTCCAAAACTTGAAGCACAGAGGGATGTCTGAGTCGGGCCAGATTGCCAGCTTCCCGCTTCAGGCGCTCAACAACATCCTCCTGCAGTTTCTTTGTGGAGGAGCTGGAGCTCTTCCCCAGGCCACTAGACCGCAAGTCAAGCGTTTTCTTGTCAAAGATAAAGATTGATGCTGTGGTACCCGTGGACTTTTTCTTCCCGTCATGAATCTTCCAGGGTCCGGAAACCACGGTGGCATGGGGAGAGATCTGGTAGTTCGCCGAGATGTTCGAACTCAGGGATTTCAGCGCCGAGGAGAACATATTTTCTTCCTGCAGCCACACACGATCTACTAAGATTAACCCAAGGCAAATAAATAAATATGCGAATCAATGGCTCATCGCATCCACTGCAATCGCATGTGAGGCTGTCTCGGCAAGCTGCAGGTTATAAATTGGTGTATGGCCACAGAAGTGGACAAAAAAGAGAGCAACGAGGAGGGAGAACGGAAAGAAGACAGAACGTGGTAGGGTGGGTGGATCTATACACGGAGATGCTTATTTTGCAATGAACTCGAGTCCCTCCACCTCATGCATATCTCTCGTCACGTGAAAGGGGCGAGCTCGATGCCCCAAAGAAGAGACCCTCTCACCGCCTGCCCGATCGGCTGTACCCATCCGAGGTCGGCCTTCCTGCGTCCATCAGGCCTGTTCAACCAGCTCGTGGCTCTCCGTTCTGACCGGATAATCGGCTTATGGCTTATTGAGCTGCCAGGCAAGTTGAGGAGAAATGAATTGAATGACTCTCTTTTGTGAGTCAGAATGGAAGATCTGCTGTAGGAAGGCCAGTCATGCTCTGATTGGCTTGCCGTCCTAGATCGGCTATCGGCTCGTCCGGAGTTGTCTCCGGGGTCCGTGGAAAAGAGTCACCGATCATCAACCTTAAAACTCCGCTGTCCGCGAGTTCATCATCTTTCACCTCCCCCAATTCTGCCTGTCTACGCCTTAAGGATCCAATTGTTCTTGCCTTGACGACCCTTACCCCGGATTAGAGCTCCCCACATATTGTTCTCGACCATGAAATCCGTTCTTCATTTGACTCGCCGCAGGGCGTTGCATAGCTTTGCCGCCCCGCGTGCCTTGCCAGTTCAGTCCTCTGCCAGGTTCTATCAGCGGAACTTCAGTGCCTCTTCGGCTGCTGCGTCGCAATTAGCTGGCCTCGATCCTGCCAAACTCGCCGTGACGAAATCAACCACGCCGAAGGAATTGACGGCGTCCAAAGACCTTGTTTTCGGAAAGACCTTTACCGGTATGACCCCTTGGTCGGTATCTGCTCTGCTGTCGAGATTCGATAGTCACTAACGCGTTGATCACATCCTAGATCATATGCTTTCCATTGAGTGGTCCGCGGACAAAGGCTGGCACGCTCCTCAGATCGTACCCTACCAAAACCTAAGCTTGGACCCCTCGGCATGCGTATTTCACTACGCCTTCGAGTGCTTCGAGGGCATGAAGGCATACAAGGACAACAAAGGTCAAATCCGCCTGTTTCGTCCGGACAAGAACATGGAGCGTTTTAACAAGTCGTCGTCGCGCATTGCGTTGCCAACCGTCGACGGCGGAGCTTTGACTAAGTTGATCGGGGAGTTTGTGAACCTGGACAGCCGATTCATTCCCGACGCTCGGGGATACTCGCTCTACCTCCGGCCCACGATGATTGGTACACAGAAGACCCTTGGCGTGGGACCCCCGGGCTCTGCTCTTTTGTTTGTGATCGCAAGCCCAGTTGGCCCTTACTACCCCACCGGGTTCAAGGCGATCTCCCTGGAGGCCACTGACTATGCCGTCCGAGCCTGGCCTGGTGGTGTTGGTGACAAGAAGCTGGGTGCCAACTACGCCCCCTGCGTTCTGCCTCAGCTGAATGCCGCTTCGAGAGGCTTCCAGCAAAACCTTTGGCTCTTCGGAGAGGAAGAATATGTGACGGAGGTCGGTACTATGAACCTCTTCGTTGCGTTAAAGAACAAGGAATCGGGACAGAAAGAGCTGGTGACTGCGCCGTTGGATGGAACCATTCTCGAGGGTGTCACCCGAGACTCCGTTCTCGAGCTCGCCCGTGAGCGACTCGTGCCGAAGGGCTGGACCGTGTCCGAGCGCAAGATCAGAATGTCGGAGGTTGCCGAAGCGGCCGACGAGGGAAGACTTGTCGAAGTATTTGGCTCCGGCACTGCGGCTATCGTGAGTCCCGTGCGGTCTATCAGCTACCGGGGTAAGTCGGTGGACTGCGGGTTGAAGGAAAATGAAGAAGCTGGTGAGATCGCACTCCAGATGAAGAACTGGATCGAGGGAATCCAGTACGGTGATGAGGACCATCACTGGAGGTGAGTTTATCTTGTACCTTCGTCCCCTGATTCACTTGCGCTAACTGTCTTCCTAGTCATGTTCTATGAACGACGAATCTACCCCGTGGGGAGGTCAGTCGACATTGATTTTCCCCTGTTATGGTCTTTAGGGCAAAAGAGGGTGGAAACATTGGTTTCTTAGTCGTTTTGTTTACTACCCATGATGTTAAAATGAGCGCCGCTGTTACAGGACGTGGCTTGGAATGTGTCACTCAATCCATTCATGATCTGTTGAAACATCCTTGGTTCCGTTTGTTCCGTTTGGTCATTCTGGGAAGGAGCCAGTTGTGGGACGACTCGATCGTCCTGGACGCTCTGCTGTTGACCGCCAGCGGCCCGGCAGTGCGGCCTGGTAGTATCTACAAAAGGCAGCACTTGCAAGAGTGTACGCACATTGTCCAGATTTGACCACAGACTTGGTCGGAGACTGGCGACCCCGACTATCCCGTTCAAAAGCGATTAGCAAATCTAGTACACATGTCACCGTTGATTCTTCCATGTCCTCTGCAAACCCATATACTACATACTATCCAACATGACCAGCAACCAAGAGCAGGGATGAGCCAGTATGTGGAATATTCTGGGCACGAAAATGATCAAGGCGGCACAATCTACATCTGCTGGGTAGGGCAGCATATCGTCATAGAAACGCACGCAGTTGTCGTTGGCCGGCATGAATTCTGCCTAACAGAGACGCAAATCCGTTCGTCGACAAGAAGGCAGACCAACTAGACCCCAGACCATATTCTCCATACATGCGCATTAAATTCCGAAAACTTCCTCATGTTGCGCGCTGCACGGCACTTGGGGCCAAATCAGTTTCATGTCGGAGGCTGGTAGATTATTCCGCTTGCGCTGCAGAACTCCCGTACGATATGGTTAGCTGTACGGAGCCAGAGTAGACTCCGTAGACCGTGCTACTTGGGGCTCCACACTAGGTATCGTTATGATGATTCTATTCGTTTGTTATTTTTTTTGGCCCCTTCAACAAACAAGCGTGGAGCGATCGAGGAAATGACAGCCATTCAGTTGTTCGGGGGCGGGACGGGAACGATCAAAGTCCCATACTGACCCGTACTCCGTGCTCCGTAGTTATTCACTGTCATTATTATTCAATAGTCAATACGTGAATAGTGGATCCCCTCCTCGACAGAAAAGAAGACTAAAACGTTGATCCCGGACGGATGATCAAGGCTGTGTCAGTTGCCAGTGGGCCCTTAATACGACAGAGGACACTGCACGCAACTTGACTCACCAGTCAACAACCACCCTTGCGGGTGAGCCGCAATCCACCCCCTCCCCTCATGGTGCAATCATCTGTCTTAGGGCTCCAATGGTGGTGCCATGATCTGAACGCATTTCTACGTATGTATTACAGAACATCCCCACCCCAGTTGGGACGGAGATCGGGTTTGAGGAGTCCGTTGTCCGAGCGCTATTACCGTCGCTTCCATCACAGCTAGCCAACCGACTAACAGTTGCCTACTAGGTACTAGACTAGACGCATGCGCTATCATGGATACTACTGTGTAGATACCGTTTCCCTGAATCCAACCCCCAAGAGGGAAACTACACGCCGTACGGCTGCAGTCTTGGTCATCGCGTATCGCTCCACGCTAAGGCACCTGAGGCTCTTGGGATCCTGCAGCTGAACAGGGAAAGGTCGCATGGATTCTTGCAACTATGGTGCTTTCGTTACTATTGTTATCACCCATACTGTCATTGTTTCCGAGCTTTCGAAGAGCAAAGAGGGAACAAGACAGCAGGCAGAGGAAACTTAGCGATCTACAGAAGATCATGTTCTGAGCCCCCCATGGAGTACTCCAGAGTAAGTATATAAAATAATAGGACATACGCGCCGTCAAGTATCAAGTAGGTACTCTGGCTGAATAATTCAAAATTCTTCAGACTTCAGTTATTACATTGGTTTCTCTCTCTCTCCCTCCCTTTTTTGCTCCCTCCCTTTTTTGCTCTCTCTCCTTTTTGCCACGACTGGGATCCAGATTAGGAATATGGTGTTATGTGGTAGAGAAGAAACTCACCCAGGAAAACGATCTCAACGGAGTAGAACGCCCGGCCGCTTTGACCGCCGTGGCTTCGTCCACTGGGACTGAGGTCCCGGTCCTTGTCGATTCCAAATACTTAAGGCCAGCAAATAAGGCGACCGGAGAGGCCGGATAAGCATGGAGACGGGAAGTTCTAGTGAGTGAGCACCGCCCTGAAGGCAGTCCAAAGTAAGATGTTTAATTGATATCAGATTAGTATTCCGTAGCGTCAACTTAGAGAGAATATGCGGAGCGATATGTTCGTCAAGGGTGTAGGACGGACATACGTATGTACTGTGCACCTACTCGGTAGATTGAGGGTAAGCTGCATCGACCGACTACTGTACATGCTCCATGCCACTCTGTGTCTGTCAGGTGGGACTCGATCCGTCAGTCCCGACCGAATCCCAAGAAGCGAAAATAGAAAATAGAAATGAAAGAGACTCAGGCCCGGCGGCTCAAAAGAAGCCAAGCCATTTCCCGTCAACGACCTGCCGTCAGCCAGCGAGTCTGACCACGTGTGTGCCCCGTCACTACCCCATACCATCTCCGCGGCTGAAATCCGTAGTCTTCTGGAATGCCCTCCAGCTCGGTTCGCAAAAATTTACGCAGGAGGTATAGCGGCTCTCCGGGGTCGACTCGCGACCACCGCAGTTTGTGTCTCCCCCCATCATGGCACCACGGAACTACGGAGTATGTTGGTCACACCAAAGTTACCTTCTCTTTTTGTTTTTCATTTGATTTCTTTTACTTCCATGTTCCCATCTGGGTTCATCGCCGGGCTCAGTGACGTTATGCATTCCTCGTGAGACCTACGGAGTTCACCGTACAGTACTCCGTACAGTCAGTACTGCAGATCCAAGCATGGGAGCAATAGGGATATTATCCAGGGGACCAAGGAATTACGCCCACCATCATGCCTCAGGGGCCAAATGCTTCCAGATGTTTGCTAGAATGTTCGAGGAGTCCGTCTGATACGCCTGGAGAGTCATGCCGGGCAAACCAGCGGGGACCAAGCCCGCCAGGGCAGCGACATCAGACCAAATTAGATGATTACTATGCACCATGCAGAGATGAGCTGTTTCTGCACCCGGCATAGGCGTGCATACTTTAGTATAACTCCGTATGTAATTTTCGGACCGTGGGGCCCAAACGGGAAAACTGCGGAACGCTCATACGAGATAGGGTTACATGGTGGTTCCGTAGGTTGCGAACTGGAGGAGGATGAGTGGATGTGTGCCCAGGCCAAGGGAACACAGCCAGGATCAACAAGACATCCCCCCTCTGTCAAACTCGGTGATTGGCGTGAAACTGGACCCGCGGGGGGTTACACTAGTCTGCACTGGGCCAACCTTTCTTCAGCCCTACACATGGGGGGGGCCTTGGGCCAGCATTCCCCCTTCGGGTTAGCCCACTCGCCCGGTGTTCAGCAGAAGATCGTATTATAAATCATGCCGTACTGGACATGTACCATGGGTATTTGAGCCTCATGCCTAAAATCAAATCCATTAATCAATATATAGATAATAAAATAGATTAAAACAGAGGAAAAAGAATAAGGCGACTCGGGATTTCGAGGGCTAGCCAGACACCGTCGTAATGACACTCAGTCCGTACTCCGCACGCACACCCTTTCCCACCCCTGCAAGGGGGGAACCAAGATGGGAGACCGTATGTAGTTCGGTCACCCTCATTTCTAAATACAGACCTCTTCAAGGCCGCGTACAGGCAATGGCCTAATCGGGCAAGAGTCTTGATGGTTCTAACTGGTTTCATGTTCTAGCACAGCATGTTGCCCTCATAGCCCCTTAACCTAGACAGGGTGCCTGGGATGTTGGGTCAAAGGTGGGTGGGGGCCTTTTTTTTTTATTTATCTTTTTTTTTTTTTTTGGTGTGGTGAAGGTATGTTATTTTTTCTTTTCTTTTCTTTCTTTTCCCCCGCGTGAAAGAAAAAGGGGGAGGGGAAGCAAGGAGATGGATGATTGAAGGGAAATGATAGCAAGGCTGGGCTTGTTGTACCAGGTGCCCTTTAGGCTCTCTTAGTTTCCCCGAACAAACAAACAAAAAGCTCATGTCAGATGACTAGCCGGTCCACCGGTCCACCGGTCCCCCAAAGGTGGTAGAGATTCTCAGTTAGTTCGTTGCAAATCAAAAAGGTCGTCGGGTCAGGATTCTTCAAGTCAGGATCGATCTGAGGAATTACGAGAGAAGGATTGATCCGAATAAACTAATCACAGCTACCACCAAAGCCTACCCATCCATTTGGAGACAGGTGAGATCTTTATCCTTTAGTGTGTTGCCAAGATCAAGGGGTGCAACGTGGTCGAAGTCGAGACCGTGCACCTTCCGCCGCTCAGTTTCCAGCCGCTTCCTCATGGGATTATCTCCTTTTAGATCCTATCTGCAGACGACGGGCGCAGGACGGGAGTCAGTTGGATGGCCCGGGGCAACCGCCTCCATCATGGACTGGGACATCGAGGAATGTGACTGGACACGAGAGAAGCAACACCCCTCCCGGTGAGGTAGGTAGCCTCCTGTTCGGTTGGTAACACCAACGCTAATATAGCCCCCAAGACGCTTGTTATTCGAGATGGGCGGGCTTGCTTGGAGGATAAAAATATAGCGATGTGCAGACAAAAAGTCTATTCGGCCGAGCTACGCCGTAAACGATTCAGTACATGTGACACTCCCGTCGCAACAAGGTAGCTTAAAAGAGATAGTAGGTACCAACTACTAATTCCCGTCGCTACTTTTACCTAGAAAACATTACACTATGGAGTCCTTCGTACGCTAAAACAATTTGCTCAGTCGCTCCACTTGCTACATTCTAGACTCTAGTACGGCAGTACGTAGGTAGCCTAGCCTAGGACGGAAAACATGGATCCGACTGCCACGGCTGGGCGGCTGGAGCCGAGACCCAAAGGCACTCTCCGCTCTGGGCTCCGTGCAAGTGGAATGCCAATGTGACAAGAATGGGGAAGCTGTCTGTAGTCCCCTCCCAGGAAATACACCCCCGAGGTCACCATCTAATCTATTGTCTATCAATTTGTAATTGGTATCACAATAGGTGCACCCTGATAGCCCAGGCGTCCGGTATAGATTGACCCGAATGGGGTGTGTGTGACCAATTGACAATACCTATCTACTAGTGAGACGGCCTGATAACTGAGGTACCTCCGGATAGGTACTGTCAACTAAACCCGCCCGGAAATGTTGATGTAGATCGTCGAAGGACCAGCATAGGCAGGCAACAAGAGAAATCAAAACCAAAATCAACGAATGCTACTCAATAACTACAGTATTGTGTAGACTCTCTCGCCAAACCGGATGTCCAGGAGTACCAGGAGAGAGCGAATTCAATTCTGTGTAACCCAGATACCTAAGGTCGGAGGTATGTTTGCCTGATGATACCGGCGATACTGGTATGGTACGACCAACTAACCCCGGAGGCAAGAGTCACGACACACTAAAGCGAAATTCAGCCCCCTCCTTGCAGCAACATCCTGTCAAGCCACGCACCCATTCTTGCCTGTTTCATGAGTGACGATGGCCATTGGTTCCCTCGTTTGTTTTTGCCCTTGGAAATCAAACCAACTGGGATCCACCCTCAACAGCGGGCAGTCAAGAGCATGCTGGTCCGGTCCGGTCTGTCTTCCCCCCTCCTCCTCTTCCCCCCCCCCCACACACACACCTCGTGCAAGGTCAACCATTCATACCAGCAAGGGCCTAATGTATGATCACGATCCATCTGGTTTCTTTTTTCAATTTCTCTGTGCCCACGCTATTCCCTTTTCATGCTGAACTCGGCCGGCTTGGGAGGCAACTAGAAACACTATGCACCGATTTGGAAAATGCCCGGTGCTGCACTGCAGATGTTTCAACCCTTTTGCTGCAAGGTGAGGAATTCAGCCCATCATTGGCTTGCATCGTTTATACCACTTTGGGCAATCTGTTCTTCGCGGAGTCTCCCACGGGACACTATCAGGAAATTAAACCTCCTCAGTGTAGAGGGCCAAAAATACGGGCTTGGGGGGCGCGGGGGCGCAAAACGGATGGCGACAGCTTCTTGCAATCGAGGGAGCAAGACCGTTGTGGTCCGGTCAAGGGATACTTGTACAGTGCAGGCTCTTCGATGGCTGTAGGCAGAGCGATTGAATGTCACTGTTGGATGATTAATTGATCATCATCAACCATAAATCATAAATCATCAATCATCAATCATCAATAGCAGACACCCATATAGTACCGACCTAGCCGGCGGGAACCACATGGTAACCGACCCCGGGCTGTGGGCTCAGCACTGCCTGGTCCGCTCCTTGCTTGCTTTTCTTTTTTTTCTTTTTCGATATATCTATTGTTTGATTTCAACCAGAGCGTATTTTATTTTACACCACAAATGCTCGCTCTTTCTCGGCCATCTCGGCCATCGGGGTCCGTTCGACAGCCTCACATTCTGGGATTCCTTCAGCCCACACCGGGCATTAGTGACGCAGCCCTGCACATCTGTGCATCCATTCGGGAAAAGTTCCCTACCAACACATGGTTTCGCCATGCATACGCTGCGAGGCCCTTCGCCAAAGAATTCATAGATTAAGAATAAAATTAAAAGAAAAATTAAAAGTAGAATTGGATGACGGTGGTCAGAACTAAACTAAACTAAATTGAATCGAAAAAAAGAAAAAGAAAAAAGAAAAAAGAAACCGAAATTCCTCCTGGTTAAATAAAAAACCAACATTAATTAAAATAATTAAAATAATGTAATTCCTCGGAACACGGACTAGGACTGTTATCACAACGGTTCACTCACTCGTCCGTCACATCGGAGACCGGGGCTTAGCAGGCATAAGCTACAGGCTCTCTCCAGCTGATCGACCAAGGCTCCGTTTTTTGTTTTAAATACTGACCGATTCCTGGCCCTCGTTTTAGCTTTCGTTTTATGGAACGTGCTGATCATATTGACGGGTACCTAATCTACTTGGATCTAAATCTATATAGTCATCCTTCATCTCTCTTTCTCCCCTCTAGATTCCAACTGCTTTCCTCATTTCTTCAACATACCTGTCCATCCTTCATCCATCTACTCACCATACACCTTGCCATACACCTTGCCTAGGTTCATACATTGATATCCTTGTCCTATCACCCTACTACCGTCACCTCGGTTTCACTTCAAGATGAACCGCTCCGCTAGTTATTCGTACCACCAATCTCCTAGCTCGAGAAGCTCGTCGAGTCATGGCACGAGTAGTGCTTTCAGTCCCAATGCCAACCCTAACGAGGATTGGACCAAGATCTCGGATCTTGCTGAACGACGCCGCATCCAGAATCGCATTGCTCAGCGGAACTACCGTAAGTGGCACCTCTCAAGGACCGTCTCTAGAATCGTGGATCTGACCATCGGTGGGTGCAACAGGCAAGAAGCTAAAGCGGCGCTTGGAGGATTTGGAGAAGCGGGCTGCCACAGCTTCGGTGTCTCCGGAACGGACCCTCGAGAAACCAGAGCCACCAAAGACGGTGCACTCTACCAAACCTCGCGCAAAGACGCAGCGCACCACCAAGTCGACGGCCGGGGATGCCCATAACCGCCACACCACGGAACGAGCTGCTCCCTATGACAGCTACTCAAGCCAGGAGGAGCGGGGGACCCTGTTCTCCCACCAGTGCACACGCCAGCTTTCCGCATCGCCGCCACCGGTCTTCTCTTACCCCTCGTATTCACACCTGGATCCCTACGGACAGTCGGGATACGGGCAACCGCACCCATACCATTCCATCCCAAACTCCTACCATGATATGTCCATCCACGGAGAATACGGAACACCGGTGCCTTCAATCATTCCGGTTACGATGGCCAATTCTGGGCCGACCAAGAGACACCCCGCCTACGCCGACGAAGATATCATCAGCCCATTCAGCATGAGCTACGCGTCTATGGCCGGGATTGACTTGTGCCCACCTCCTCATCACCACCACCTTGCAGAGCCCAATATCCCGGTACATACCCTTCCCCGTTCGTTGAACCGGACTGTTCGGAGCCTCCAAACCAGCAAGCGCTAATGCCATGCCTTCAGATGCCACCGCTGTCGCAAGTGTACAGTGATGATCGCTCGTCGCCATCTACACCGGCAGAGCCATCGCTCATGGCATGTCCTCTCACACCGGAATCGGGCCCATGCTCACCTCATTCGTTCCCTCCGCTGTTGTGATGAGAGGCACTGGTTCCTGGCGGGGCTCCGTGCTTTGCGCGGTACCTTTTGATTGTTATTTATAATTATGACCGATACGATGATTGGTTATGGGCTTCTGACGGTTAAATGGCCTATGTTTTATTCTCTTCTACATTTTCATTTGTTTCCTCTATGTTTGAACTACTTTCCCCTCCTTGTTTATTATTATTTTGTCATTGTGTTTGTTTCAACAGTTATTGGGCAAAGGAGCAGCGGGCAAAACACGGCTAGCTGGGGTTATGGATGGGTATTTTTGGCGAGACCGATAGAAGCATTATTCCTACGGGCGTTTTGGCAGCGCTGGACCGAGGGTGTCTAGTTTTTTTTTTTTTTTTTTTTTTCATGTTTTATTTATTTATTCTTTATCTTTTTAGTTATTTGTTTAGATTTATCACAGCGTTACAAGAGTCGAATCCATCAACCAAATCAATCAATAAGAAGCCTCCTCCGACTGCCCATTTAGTAGATTATCGCGACGCATCGACAATTGGCTGGCCCCCAACCGGGGTGGAACCTCGGGGGCCTGAAGTGAACGACGCTAGACAGGGAGCTTTGCAGTCGAGAATCGACGAGATGGCTCGTGTATCGTCGTGCGCGTCGAGAGTCCCACCGAGCTAACGAAGTGACTTCTTAGCGATGCCAGTCGCTTTCTCAAGTCTTAACTTACGGAGTAGTATTGTGTACGTACGGAGTTAGAGGAAGAGGACGAGGACGAGGAAGAAGAAGAAGCAGCAGTAACTAGCAGCAAAAGGCCTACCACTGCTCCGTACTCCGCACCCGCGGATGGAAAATGGACCCCAATCGCCATCGGGGCGGATGATGCGAAGGATCTCCAACCTGGTCGACACCTGCACGTGTTTTGTTGCTGGTCTCCGGAGTGAACTTGCCGGAGATCTTTTTTTCTTTTCATGTCTTTCTTCTTCCTATTCTTGATAATAAGACAAGGGATCAAAGGATGGTCGGGACGATCCGCCGTTGCCAGTCGATGCTTCCGGTGAAACCTTCCTTCTCATTCGTGGACTTTCTTCCTCGTTGCCTCTTGCTCCCTCATTACCTCTTGTCAACTCCCATGTTGTTATGATCATTAATCAACAATGATCGATCTTCGAGTCTGTATTCGCCATCGCCAGTACCGTCCCCGTCACCACCGTTTCCTGCAGTGGGGCTCTGCGCCGAGGGAGACCTCGAACGAACCTCCGGCCGTCCAGAGTCCAGGATATTTCTAGATTAGAGACCGCACGAGTTAGTCCGTACGAGCTGCGCCTCCACCGAGCTGGCATGACGTGGTACCGTGCATGATCATTCGACGACCATCTGCAGGCCCTGGCCCGGGAGCCGCCTTTAGCCTGTCGACTATTGACCCTGTGTGACCCGGACGAGGTTCACTTGCTGCAAATCCTGTCCCTAAAGAATAAGTAGAGTCCTACTCCGTACGGAGCACCCAGGCCGGTACTTTGGAGAGAGGCGATGCGAGGAGGTTTCAAAGCCTTCTTGCCCGTCTCAGTATAGACCGTCTTTCAACTGTCTTACTTGACCTTATCTCTGTTAATTGATTTCGTCCCACCCCACTTCCTGAGTCATTCGGGATTAAATGGTGTTTACGGCGTAAGGCCGAGTTCAGCCTCCCGGGATGGATTGCAACTGCCTGGTTTGCTCTCCTCCTCCTCGCTCTCATTAATCTAATCAATTACCTTTTTTCCCTTTTTTTCTTTTTATCTTTGGGAGAGGGATATCCTCGGGGGCGTATCGCTTCCAGGGTTGGGTTGGGTAACACTAACAGCTAACAAACCAGCGTTTTCCCTTTTTGTCTAGACTCTTGAGTCCGGACATTCATCACATCCATGGGTCTGTTCCCTTCGAGCCCCAGAGATTGGGTCCTTACTCCTTAGCGGGGGGACCAATGTCCGTCGCGCTGGCGGTCATCCCGGCCTAGGAAGCCGAGCCAGATCAACAACGAGCGGGCCAATGACGGGCGGAGGTCGGAAAACTGAATGCTGACAATCGGCAGCGTGTGGAGGGGAGGGGAACGGCTAGTTGGGGGGTTTTGGTTGGCCCCTGGGTCCAACTGTTCAACATTCCATTTGCACCCCATCGTCGAGGGGCGTGCCGTTTGCTGGCACTAGCTGGGCGCCTAAAACATCACCAGTCCATGTGGCGACTCATTGCGACGGTAATTAATCTAGTCGCTAGTCTCTCCCTCTAGTCACCCTCCGGCCTCCAATGTTGCACTCTCCCCAGACACAAGGATATGGTCGGACCCGGAGGTATCGCTCAACAAACCAAAGGGCCGCCATTCATTTCGATAGCCTTGGTGATACCAGCCGGATTGACCAGAAGCTCGTATCCGCCGGGCGTCGATTTCCTGTGCAGTAGTCTGGCATCTCGGCGCTGGGCTTGGATTCGTGAAGTAAGGTTGCACACACACGCGGCTCAATCAAGCCAGTGATTGCGTCCAATACCGGCGAAATCCGAGAGACACAAGTATTTGACGGGGTTGCATTCTAATCCCGCTGCAAAGTTGATGGCGATATGCTTGAGGGTTCTATCGCCGTTTGAAGGGGAAAATGTCGCAATATCGAAGGATACGAAGGCACCCCTGCAAGGCATGACAGAAAAGAATGGCAGAAATGAATTAATCAATCTTGCATCCCGACGGCCCATTGACGTGAGTCTATCGTCCGGTCTTGGCCCCCTTGGCTGTTTTCCTTTGTCTTGCCTTGCTTTTCCTCCGTACTCCGTATTTTTTATCTTGATCTTGATTTTTGTTTTCCTTAATTTCCCACTTCCGTGATACAAATCTTTTTTTTAATCGACTAAAATTAAAGGGCAGGATGTGTCCGTGAGTTCTGAAGATTACGGTCCATCCCTTCACCACGTGCGAGGGTCATTAGTGCTGATACCCTTTCCTAAAGCCCAGCTGTTAGTGCGCCTCTAGTCCCTGGGACTTGCTATGGCCTGTTTCAGCAACCGAAGGATGGCATGGTTGAGTGATTGTCACCGTCACTCACCTGCTCGTCCTTTTGACTCCATTGGGCCCCGTGGCGTCCCAGGCCAGACCCCACGGATAAATTCAACCATTCCAATATATCCGTGGGCGCAAGTCTAGATTGGGGAAATTAACATCTCACCCTGTACAGCTCACCAATGAACGGCGACAGGCTTTCACACCCGTTGATTGACCGCTAGCACCAGCCTCTCAGAAGCTTCGCGCAATACCTCGCCATTCGTGGGTTAATAACCTGAATTCGATAGTTACCGTCTAAGGTGTCCATGACGGCGGTAGTCTGGGGGTCGTGATGGAGGCCTACCTCCTAATTGATAACATTGACTGCTCCTGGCTCGAAAATAGCCACGGAATTGCTGTCGATGTGCTGGAAGAGTAACACCAACATCGAGCGAACTACGGGCGTTGCTACGTAATGGCCCTACAGCGCGAGGCCAATGTGTCATGTGTGTTTCTCATTCGTTCATTTTTTTTACGAGAAGAGATTCGCGAAGGGCCATTCTCACTTTACCCATGCTAGTTCCACAGCCTATGCAGATCCAATTCTCTTCTTTTCTCTTTTGGCCCGATGAAATGTACGAAGAGAAACTATCTCGTCCAATCGGGCTTGGTTTTAGGCGCAGGCCTGTTCTGGTTAGTGGAAGCAATCAAACTGCAGGACACTCTCAGAACTGGCAGGTTGAATAGAGTCAATTTCAGACAAAGTTACTAGTCGGGGGCAGCCTGTCTTGATATCTTCACGTAGGATCAAGGTAGATTGTATCCACTAGTCACGCCGGACACTCTCATCTCGGATTATTTCCAAAGATGCCGTCGATCGAAACTTGAGATCTGAACAATCAACACTACAGGCACTTTAGTATCTGAATAAGTTCAATTCCATGAATTCCTCTTTACTGTACTCAAACTTGAATCTGTACGCCAGGAAGACGAAAAAGCTCGACTCAACGACGCCTCGATGCAGCTTTTTTTTAAAAAAATAAAAAAAAAAAAAAAGAGAAAGAAAAAACAGATAAATGTAAAAAGATATTTCAAGTCGATCGTAGTGGACAAGGAGACATGCGTTATGAAAGGATGAAACTAGACGTAGAACTGGGGGGACGAGGAAACGAGACGATGAATAAGATGAACGGATTCAACAGGAAGAAACAGACGGGACAAGAGATGAAGGACGAGAGAGAGGAGGAGATCAAAAAAAGAGAAAAACAAAAAAGGAAATGCTGTTTGCTTCTTCATCTCCCGATCAACATCACATCACATTGCTTTCTCTTCATTTCGACTTAACGAGATCATTAAAATAAGGACCAGGAACAAAACATGTCATCACCTCGTTTATGCGGCATCCGCTCCATTAATACTCATCTGATCAGGGTTGTATCGCCGTCGTCGCATCGGCGCCTTCTTCCTCTTTGCAATCGCCGCGTTCTGTGCACTTCCGCCAGCGGCGCCCATCTCGGTATCGCCCTCGTTGTCGGCCGATCCGTGGAACGACTCGAAGCGAGTCAGCTCGTCAAGCTCGGTGATGTCGGTCGGTTTCATTCGCAGCCATTTCATGCGGGGTCCCGACCGAGACCGTTCGGACACGCGGAACCCGTAGATTCGGGACTCGTAGACCTTGCCCTTGCCGAGGCCCGGGCTGAAGTTCACCGTCCGCACGCCGTTGATCTCCACGGGCTGGTGGGGAGGAGGCACGTCAGGCGACACCTGGTTGTTCATAGTCGTCAAGGAGGATCGGGTGGGCGATATGGACAGGGGGTTGTCGAAGTGAGTTCTAATGTCCAGGTCAGGAAACGTCATGAAGAACAGGCATCCGAACGTGGTTCCGAAGAAGGCCCCGTCCACGGAGTGGAATCGACTGTTGGGCGGCGTGTACAGGTCCTGGCAGCTGGGGCAGAAGAGCTTCACGGTCTCCTGGCCGGGAGTATCGGAGCGACCCACGGGCAGAACTTTGCAGCCGCTGCAGTTCACGCGAGGACAGACGCCAAAGTGTTGCATCTCATACTTCTCGAGCATCTGCTGGATTCCGGGGCGCGAGGTGATGTATCGCTGGTGGATCAGTCCGTAAAGCAACTCGGCTGAGCTCTCGATCACGCTCAGATCACTGGCCACGCGCGCATGCCGACGATCGTTGGCCCTTCGGTAGCCAGGGGGCTTCTCGTCGCCCAGGATTTCGTCGTCGTCGTCCTCTTCCTCCTCTTCTTCCTCCTCGTCTTCATCCTCCTCCGGTTCCACGTCGAGTATCATTTCGAGTGCCTCCTTATACATGGGCACCTGCGATTGCAGGCCTGTCAGGTTGAAATCATCCTCGATGAAATCCTCCGACACCTCCGCGAAAAATTCATGGCCCATCAGGGAGCAGAACGAGGAGATCCACGACTCCGGGGCGCCTTCCGACGACGACATGTCGAACGAGTCGGATGCGGATGACGAGGGCGTTGATTCAGACAGTTGACTCAGATCCAGCCTGTCTAGGCCGTCGGCCAACGCCGAACCTGTCTCTCTCGACACGTTGCCGAGATGGTGATGAAAACCGTTTCGATATGCTCTCGGAAAGAGACTGCGCTGGTTGCAGACCTGTACCGATTTTCACGGGCAGTCCGGTATATCAGCCCTTTGAAGCTGCAGAGAGGGACAGAGTTGGTGGACACTTGTCGTAAGGTGCACGACCGTCGGGATTTGTCGGGAACTGGGGATGAAAAGCGATTGCGTCTATCCGGAAGCCTGAGGGGTCATGACAAGGTGCGGGCCGGCGGGTTATTGTGCGATGATGAGAATGACGGAATAGCAATGGCTGTACACCGGTGGCTGTCTTCAACGCGGCATCGAAGATACCGGGCAGCACGGACTTCAAGTGGCGAGGAAATTGCAGTTGGCAGTATTTTGACAGAACTGGGAAAGGTGGTGGTGCAGTGATCGATCGACGGAGTCGAGGGGTCTCCGATATTAGGTTTCGTGGGGCGGTGGGAAAAAAGTGGCTGGTGTAGAGATGGGACGAATGGCGTCGCGCAGCAGGTGTTAAGGCGCCGTCCGATGCCGATTGATCGGGGCAAGAAGGGCGAAAGGAGTGGATTCACAAGCGGTCGGTCACTAGTCGAGACAGAATGAGACTGACAGTTGGAAATGAGGAAGAAAGTCGAGTGAGGTTGCCGCCCCGTCACGTGCCCCGCCGGGGGAGGAGGCCTGGGTCTTCAGGCCTGCCCCTTCTAGGCCTGGGGCATCCAATCTACACAGATCTACACAAGAAGAACACAGGCGGAGGGGGGGGTCCGGTGCAGCAAATACTGGCCAGTTCAGTAGGTATATAAGACATGTATATACAGACAACAAAGAACCAAACGCCCTTCAGAAGAGATCTCGGATGACCCGAGAAAACTCGCCTTCATCCCCCAAAACGCCAGACAGCCCTTCGCCCGTGTTTTGAATCTCTCCGTCGTGTCCAACAAATCCATTTATACCGTCGTTGGTGGCGTTGGACGCCATGAAATTGCCGAATCCCCCAACGGCCTCGAATAGATTGGTGAGCTCCTGGCTCATCTGCAACCCGTTCAAGGGACTATTCCCTAACTCCATCGCATTCACGGGCCCGTACATTGAGATATCCACAATTGGGTGACCGGCTAAGCCGGCCATAGCGACCGCTGCCGTCGAATGCGGATCGTTCGAGTCAGACCCGAATGGACGCACCAGCATACCTAGTCGCTCGCCGATTTTGCGGAGGCCTTTGATGGTCTTCCACAATCGTTTCGACACGTACGACTTTGTACTGAAGCCATTGACCAGGTCCAGCGCCATGTAGAACTCATCTCGCACTTGCCGGTTGAATTCTGTTGGTGCATGGCACACGGCTAGGAAAAGAACAGCCAGCGCGGCGACAAGGAAGTAGTTGAAGGTGATCTGTTGAGTGCGGTAGATGTCAGAGGTCTGGTTCAGCCGCGTCAGTACACGGACCGTGTCCTTGGCGACATCGACCACCGTTTGGGCATGTCCTTTGTCCTCGGCGATACTGGCCGCTGAGTGAAGGACCGGACGGTAGATGAGGATGCGAAGCTGGTTCATGCGTAGGTACACAAGCACCCGCAACCGCCGGAGACCCCGACTAGCTGACTCATGCTTGGGAGACTCCACGGGATAGAATTTGAGGCTGTCTGGCACTTGCTTATACCACTGAAGAATTTGATAGTCCAGATAACCAATCTCGTCCCGTCGCACGTCCGTCGTTCCCTCCGAGCCCAGTCCGGAGTACCAGATCTTAGAACTAATGCGGTTATACGAAATCATACATCTCAAGTAGGGCATGGATGCATCCTAGTCCAGTCAGCACAGTTACTTTCATTGTGGTATCTTATTCCAAAACTTACCGGCTCAGGTAGGTTGGGGTCGATGTCCTCATCCTGAATGACGAATGGCAATCCAGTTCCGAAGCTCCAGCGCCTGTCCAGGGTGTAGATAGCCCAGAAGATTCGGATGATTTCCGGCCACTGGTCCTCATCCGGAAAGGATTTAGCCAGCGCGTCTCGTCGGTGTAGGCCTATCTCGAGACACATGCGCGCTGCAAGGCCGATGATGCGGTAGGCCATGGCGTCATCGTCGATGTGGAAATGATACGTTGCCTAGCCGTCGCAGTCAGAGCCTATTCACCCCCAAATTATGAGATACATACCGCCATTCCTAAAAGTTGGATTGATTTGATGTTCAGCGGCTCCCAAAGTCTAGATTCGATGACGGGCTTCACGCTCAGGTACAGACGCTGACCGAGGTCGCTCTGCCCACCGCCCTCGACAATCAGCGTGGTCGCAATGATCATTTTCAAGATACTTGTATTATCATCCTGAAGACCGTCCGACCCAGGGAGTCCCCGCTGGGCAAATCCAGTGCGGGTTGCGGCCTCCATAAATGTGTAAAGCAGGTTAACCTGACGGGTAATCTTGTCGATCTCTACGAGCGGATACATGATGCCAATTTCTTCTTCATAGATCCGACAGAGACGCAGAGCATCCTCTCGATTGATGGCCCATATGGGATCTTTGGTTGGGTGTATAGAGGGGACCAATGGAGTGACACGAGGAGGCGATCCGGTGGGCGTAGCATGCGCGGCGGTAAGGTCATCCGTGATGACCTCTTCTGCGGGGGCGATGCCCATATTCTGCAGACTAGACCTTGCCACGTCAAAGTTGAAGGCAGAGCTCGTAGGACCTTGGAATCGGGGATGTCTTATGCGTGGTTTAGCCAGCCCAACTTGCATCGGGGTGAAAACCGATTGCGAGCCATCTCGGGAAAAGTTCTCGAGTCCTGGGGAGCCGAGGGAAGACCGTTGGGAGCGGAGATCGTTGAGGTTAGTGAAGAGGCTGTTGACCTGGTCTTGGAGAGCGGTGATTTGGTCTTTCATCGACCGGAATTCCCTGTTGGTAGTGATATGTGTGTTAGCTTTCGGGTCCGGACGCCGAGAGAGCAGATAATGGAAAGGAAACGCACTCGGAATCCTTGAAATTGTTGTTGCAACAATTCGGCGCATATCGGCCTAAGCTCGTATGTTAATGGCCATTTTTGTATAAGCGAGGATGCATTCTCGGATGGAGAAAGCATCGCCAAAGGGAGGTTGCGCACATTCAAGATTGAGATGCCCACAGCGCTGGCAGGGCACTTGGCCATTACACTTGATTTTGCGACGCTTGCATTCATTACTAAAAGAATCACCATTAGTGGTCAGCGCCAAACTGCTCTGGATATCCCACGCTCGGGGAATCTAGATCCGGGGTCATACCAGGCGATGGAGATGTAGCGATTCCGCTTGGAGCGCGTGTGGGTTCCGTTGGCTTGTTCCGCTTTCCGTTTGGCACTGTCGCCAGCCTCGGAGGGATTGGACTCGCCTGATAGCGGCCGGGACGGCGTGACGTCCACCTGAGGGGACTCTGAGGACATCGCGACGGATTCTTGGGGAGGAGAGAAGCGGAGATGGAGCTGAAGGTGGCAGCGACAGGCGCGGAGGGATTCCTTTCCCTTTCCCGTCCGTCCAGCGCCGCGCGGGGTTTTCCGTTTTCCCCATACTTGGCGGGTCGATTGACGTCTTTTACTTTATCGTTCCAACCTTTCTCCTAGGTCCCTCATCCCACTCTGAAAAGAATCCTAATCAAGGTCTAGGCCATCCAGACAATGCGCGAGTATCTTGGAGGCTCGTTCTTGCGGTGGAGACCGGATTGACAGCACAATCCCACCACCCCGATCGATTGTCTGAACGGGTCGCTTGTGAAGTCATGTCCCAGCTCTTCTGACAACCTCCCAAAGGGTTTCCTTCAATCGGTTCACCTCCGTACGGACCATCAAAGCAGTGAGTTGCTTCATCCTTCGGCGCCCGGAGCGGGAGATTTCCCGACTCCCGACCGTTGCCGAGTTGCGCCCGGATTTCTTCATTCCTTCGCGAGAACCAGAGACAGCAACACCAGCCAACGCCTTAGTTGGGATGCTTCACATTAACTCAAGAGTTCGGACTCAATTATCATGCCTAGCCGCACGATCATCCCCCTCCGGACGAAATTGGGTCACCACCCAACATAATCCCCCCGTGTCGGGTTTCCGCCCTCTCGACATTCTCGACGACGTCAACGTGAACAGATTCCGCGAAAGATGCTTTGCACCCGAACTTCCCATCGTCCTGCCCCGCGGACATTTCGATAACCTTCCGGCCGTAACACGTTGGTTCCAATCGTCCTCGTCCCCGCCATCAGCGTCGCAACTCAACACGGAGTACTTGAAACAACACGGGGGTGATGCTTTTGTCCCGCTGGAACTCACCCAATATGCTCAGCAGGGGCAGCCAGGAAGCGGAGAGGTAGAATTCCGGAAATTCCACGCCCCTCTGAGTCTCTTCCTGGAGTGGATGCGTGCGGCGGAGACCCAATCGCCGACTACACGTCTCTATATGGCGCAATGCCAACTGCTCGATCTGCCGCAGACCCTGCGGGATGACTTTCCGGTACCCTCTCTCGTGTCACAAGCAGGCCGTGGCGACATCTACGACACAAACGTGTGGATCGGATATCCACCCACGTATACACCCCTTCACCGCGACCCGAATCCGAACCTCTTCGTGCAGCTTGCCGCGCAGAAAGTTGTGCGATTGATTGCCCCTGATAAAGGTCAGGCCGTGTTTGCGTCGGTGCGACGGGAGCTGGGAAGAAGCAGTGACCATGGCGCGGCAGCGTTCCGGGGAGAGGAAATGATGCAGGGCCAGGAAAGGACCTTGCTCGAGGCGGCAGTTTGGGGTGATGGTGTGACCACCTCTAGTCCGTCATCGAGCGGGGGGGGCGAAGGGTTTGAGGCGCGCCTGTCAGCCGGTGATGGGTTATTTATTCCCAAAGGCTGGTGGCATAGCATCAAGGGTGTTGGGGAGGGAGTCACAGCATCGGTAAGTCTGTGAGACACTAATTGATGGGCTCTTCTGATGGACGCTATAGGTCAATTGGTGGTTTCGATAACCAGTCCTCGAAGTCGGCAACTGGCGGCAGGATTGTTCGGTGGCTTTCTCACTGCATCGGCTGGTGAGTTTGTAGCGCCCAAGTAGAGCTCGCTCGGGTCGTGAGCTTCTGGGCTGAATGATTGATGATCAAGAGTATTCCTTTCAAACCTGACTTTTATTCTCTATCTCCATCCACTTTACTATGCATATATTGCTGGCAGTTACTGGATATATCCCCTTGAATGATGCGGATAAATATGATGTGTACTTATTTAATTTAGAATAGTCCAGGGAAATTGAACCCACAGAGTACGAGCCTTGAGGACAAATAATTGCAGACACTGCTATTAATATTAGAAATTCAATCATAACATGAAATCACTCCAAACTATCAATAGATCAATCGTAGTTGCGACCAAATAAACCAAACTCAATCCAGCGCTAAACGACGATCGTTCTAGACCACCTGAAGAGAACAAAAAAAAGACACCATTTCCCCCAGCATTCAAATACGTCAGTCAGTGAACCGAGAACCTACGACCCCCTTCCAGCACCATCCACCACCAATTAACCCCCCTTCAACATAAAAGAGACTCATCAGGAATCAAGACATGTACATGTCCTTCTCTCGCGCAACGTTGTTCCACCTCATCCTCAATCCGCTGCTGGTCCCGTCCCGCGCATCCACCGCCCTCGCGCACATCCCATCGTCATCATCCTCCTCCCTCCACTCCATCCATACTCAATCGCCCGCCCGACTCGGAGCTTTCTCGATCTTTCATCCTCAGTGTCCCTCTGATCCTGCTGTCTACCGATCCCAACAAACCAAGTCCTACGCCACCATGTCGACCGATTCGTCCAAAATCCAAGAACAACAACAAGAGGAGGAACGGCACACCGAGAACAAGGACCAAACGCATCGACCGCTCGCGCTCCCCGACGCAAGCAGCGCCGACTCCCACACCCCGAAGCTCGACGTGAGCGGCAACGGCGATTCCACCGTGACGTTGGACCACCTGGGACCGATGGTGGTCAACCAGGACGGCTCGCTATCGCGGATCACGAACTGGGCGCAGATGACGGACATCGAGAAGAAGAATACTTTGCGGGTGCTGGGGAAGCGGAATAAGCTGAGATTGGACGCTGTGAAGGCTGCCGGAGAGGGTCAACAGGGACAAGAGTAATTGCGATACCTGTGGCGATTGCGTTCTGTGACTGCTGTATATACTAGAGTTTGGGTAGTGGGGATTTGCATTGTGTATGTAGAGTATTTGATTTCGTTTGAATTTTTATCTTGTTGGTTGTTAACCACGCTAATGAACTTGGTCTCGGCGTTTATTTACTCTATGCATACGAGCCTATCATCATCTTGTTCTGCATTTTTTACACGTTCAGGTCGTCAGAGCCATATCAGAATCATAGACAGGCAATTCCTCCGATCTCTAACATATCCAAGATACCCGTTTCCGTACCCAGGTGCATGGAGTTGTGTGCTACTGGAAGATCCAATCGGCGAACCTTGAAAACACATTGCTGCACGACATTTAGCTTTGAAACCCAACAGATAGATATATAGGAACGGGTCTGTCCATCTTACCTAGAGGGTTCCGGGATGAAATTGTCCGTATACGACTGGATCTCGTCAAGTCCCGTCACCAGATCAATGGTTTCAAGTTTTTTGATATCGGTGCGATGCCAGAACTTCCAGCAAAAGTAAAGGATCGGAAACACTCCGATCATGGTGTAGGAGAAGAAGAATGTGGGCACGTCCCAGTTGCCGGGCAAGAACACCTCGTAGCCACCTACAAACGCCATGACGCTGGTGCAGACAAGCGCGATGTAGGCAACGTAGGGCTGGCCTAGGCTCTGATAAGGAAGGGTATGGCGAGGAATGCCCTGTGCTATGAGCGCCTTTCTGAAACGGGTGTATGTAAAGGTTATGACTGAAAAGTTGATCAATTGCGAAGCAGTCATCTACATGCCAGGATTAGAAATCACCCCGGTATCAGCCGTCAGCGGACGGGGAAGCACGTACCAAGCTCACAAACCACTGCAGGACAACGGCCGCACTGTTAGACACCTGAAGGAAAGAGAGAAGCGCGATAAGAAGCACGATTCCCACGCAGTAGATGGGAACGCCGGTCCTGGTGCACCGGGTAAGGACCCGCGGAGCCTTTCCATCCAGCGCAAGCCCGTACAAACTTCTACTGGCGCAGTAGACATAGCTATTGCCAGCACTGAAGGCGGCCAAGAGAACCATGCCGTTGACGATGTGCGGAAGAATGGGAATGTTGAGTCGGTCCATAGCAATCACGTAGGGCGAAGCGGCGGCGCCAGGTAAATCGTTTTTGAACGCAGCGGCCATCTTTTCGTCGTTGTACGGGACCAAGATTCCGACGCAAAGGGCTCCCAGGACGAAGAAGGACGTCAGTCGGTAAAAGATACCGTTGAAGGCACTCGGCAGCACCTTGCGAGGGTTCACCGTCTCCCCGGCGGCCATGGCCACGTAGTCCGGGCCGGCGATGGTGAAGCTGGCCTGAATCAGACAGGCAAGGAAGCCTAGCCATCGACCAAGATCTCCCGTCTTGTAATACTCTGCAAATGCTCCGGGGTTGTTCCAGTATCGAAAACCGAAGCGGTCGCCCTGAGGGTTGCCCCCGACCATCACGATGAAAGTGAAGAAGATCAAGCCCACGCTGAGCAAGACCTTACTCAGGGAGAGCCAGAACTCTGCTTCCCCGTACCACTGAACCGCAAAGACGTTGAGCAGTCTAAAATATCACGAGTCAGACATGGAGGCACTGCCAGCGTGACCACTGCAGATGGGGAAACGCACACAAAAAGTACAAGAACGATCACGATGATTGCTGCCACCGGCACCGCACCACCCCAATAGTTGATGATCATACTACATGCGGTGATTTCAAAAGGCACCATGATGGCCTCGAAAACGAAAAAGTTCCATCCAGCCGCCATTCCGAACGCTTCATCGACGTAACGACTAGCAAACCGAATGAAGGGCGAGGAAATGGGTAGGTACGTGACCATTTCTGCCAGACCTATTGATCATCCTGGTCTCAGTAAACGCTACACAAGAAAAGGGCAGGGGCAGAATCCGAGAGGAGGGCAGGGAGACTGCATGGCTGCAATGGGATATTCAAAACAATCGAAGTAGGTAGAGCGTTGGAATAACAACGGTTCGTAGGTAAAGGCGCTTTTTGGAATCGTAGAAACCGCGAGGGAACCAAATACAAGGCTGCTTTGGGTATTCTTTCTGGTGGAATTGGAAATTGGGGCTTCGTACAAACGGTTATAGCCAGGATCACCGAGCACCTATAACTCAGAGATGTATAAGATTCCATAGGACCAAAAGAAAAACCACAAGGGCATAAGACAGGGGCTCCCAAGCCCAGTCGCAACGTGACAGGTCTTCGCAAGTTGCATAGGCTCTGGGACCAAGGATCTATTCTCCGCTCTCTTTTACGTCTGATGGGAAGTATTTGTTTCCATTTTTTGTCTTCTGATTTTCTTGTTCATCTCGGAGCATATAGACCCTGCTGTTTCCAATCTTCTGGCCTGGGTACTTACCAATGGCCAAGGACGTTCGCGATATTGCGGTGTCGTGGGAACCGGAAGAATAGCAAGCAGGAGCACGAGAATATGACGCAGATCGATAGAAGGGACGAGGACTGACCATATGACAAATGCCAGAAATAAGCTTCCAGGTCCGCCTTTTCCCAGACTCTTGCCAATCTGGACGTACAACGCCGTGCCAATTGTGCCGCCAATACCGATCAATTGGATATGTCTGGGCTTCAACTTGCGACAGGTGTGGTCGGAGGCCGGTTTAATCGACTCGTCGTCAATTGATGCTTCACGACTATCCCCTACCACATTCTTCTCCGACAGGTTGGTTGAGATTCCGACTCGTTTGGTCAGGTTGTCCGTTGCCAGACCAGACGAACTGGCCGCGGGGGATGACCCCACTCCAGGCGCACGCTCAAGATCGGAGTTGGAATTGACCATCGTGATGATCACTTAAGGAGAAGAGGATACCAAATGAGATGAGAATATTGTTTAAGAAAATAAAGAAATACTTCATTAAAACGATGGGGTCACAAACATGGGGAAGAGGGAGAGAAAAGACGATGGAGGGGTAAAGAAGCGAGGTAGCACTTAAAAGGGAAGGCAGGATCAAGAAGAAGATAAACGGGGGAAGAAGGGGGGCGAAGAAAAGAAAAAACAAGAAATGTGTAGACAGACTAGTAACTTGCTAGGCGAGATGTCATTAACTCTAACCAACGTAGTATTAGGCTGGACATGAGGAAATCGGAAGAGATGGAGGGAGCGACAAAAAAAAAAAAAAAAACAAAAAAAAAAAAAAAGGCCGAGAGATTAGAATGCATGCACGCCGCACTAATGCAGAGGGCAAATCAGAAGAGACAACGGCCCTTCTGCCTTCTATGGGAAACCCACCGTGGCAGAAGACATGCTGGGATTCACCAGTCCGGGGGAGTGGGGCCCTACGATTGCCTCCAGGATTGTAGTACACGACTTGCAGTCACTCTTGCATTTTTCAAGCACTAGAAGAGATCACCCGGTCTCCCGACTCTTTTTTTTGTCTCAAGGACGAAGGAGGCACTCTGGTTTTAGCGCTGCCTGGTTGTATCACCCATTTCAGACACTTGTCGCTGGCGTTGGGTCGGTGGTTTCTGTCCAAGAAAATTAGGCGGGAAGAAGGAATCGTTATCGTCGTAATGGAGATAATGGGCAAAGTCCGACTCGGGAGAGCCCGTTCTGAGATGGCCTCGTCCGTCGTCTCGGAGGACTTGACTCGAAGATGGCCCCGCGGATTGCGAAGGACGAGGGGATGACGACGGCTCTGAGGGATTTCTGTCTGACCGATGTAACGACGACATTGGGAGAGAAGGAAGAGGTTTGGTTTCTAGAAAGCCAGTCGGGCAGATGGTAGATGAGATAGTTAATTGAACAATTCAAGGGTTGAATTCAAAATGCAGAGTGACCTGGACGTTGACGTCACGGGTCGTGCACCACGCGAGGTTGCACAGGGGAGCCTGTGGAATGCCTTAGATCATAGATGCCATTTCCGGTAGCATCGAATGGGATTGACCCCGGAAAGGGCTGGATGCCGTCGTACTCTCCCCAGAACGAGTTCATTAATAATGATCCAGTACTCAGTAGGTACCGGACTCCGTAGTCTTCCTGCGACCCACGGTTAAGCCGACCTCCGATCTCCCCCCCGCCTGCCCCGCGTTGTTTTCTGCCGGGAAACCGAGCAGTCGCAATTTGGACAGTCAACCAACATCGCCTTTGCAATTGCCCCCCTGCACAATGTCCGCCCAGGATTCAGGAAAGAAGCGCTTCGAACCCAAGGTGCCGGTTCAGCTCGACCCTCCCAAGTACGACCCGATCTCCGTGGAAGAGTTGTCCAGATGCGATGGTCAGTCTGCGTTGCGTCCTCGGTTTCTTTGCGGGGTTCACCGGCTGACAATCCATCCATTTTCTTCACAGGCACGGATCCCAATCGTCCGACTCTGGTCGCTATCAAGGGAATTGTCTTTGACGTGAGCAAGAATGCGGCCTATAGCCCTAGTGGGAATTATCGGGGTAGGTAGCTTTGTTTTTGCTCCCCTTACCCGCATCGGGCCCTGCCTTTCGCCCCGTGTTCACAAGATAGATATGAGCTGACAAAACACACAGTATTTGCCGGAAAAGATCCTTCTCGGGCCCTGGCCTGTTCGTCCCTCAAGCACGAGAACTGCGTCCCCGACTGGTATGACCTCGAGGATAAGGAGAAGACGGTGCTAGAGGAATGGTTCACATTCTTCAGCAAGAGATATAACATTGTGGGAAAGGTTCAGGACGCTACGAATTACTGAAGTGACGGACGGAAATTTGGACGATGTTTGCTTTACCTTGGAAGAGCGATCCTGCTGCACTTTGGAAGAAGGCTCTATACCCACGACGGATGGAAATCATTACAGATGCATTTGAGGGTTCTTTTTGGATAAACTCGAATCCAACCATATCGGTTACTGATTTAATTACAAGAAAGCATTGTGCGCCATTATATCTCTCCAACTTTTGTCTTCTCATCCACTTGCTAAGCCTTCCCCTTGCGAGTCCTGCGTTGCATCCTCTTCTTGGCGATGATTCGGTTGCGTTTGGCCACCTTATTCTGCTCCTCGGAATCACCGTCTTGACCCTTGTCGTTGCTCTCAGATCGCTTTCTCTTCGTTCCATTTTGGGGTCCTTTGTCGTTCCTCGAATCATCTCTACCCGGCTTGCCCCGTCTGTCCGGTCGGCCTGGCTTTCCGAATCGGCCCGGCTTGCCGTCGCCTTTCTGGTCTTCTTTCTTCGCGTCGCGCGCTTTGGCTTGGGCTTGTAATTCCATGCGGCGCTTGACGACTTGAGCATTTTCGATGGCGAATTCAACGATGAGGCGCTTCTTCTTCTCCTTGTCCTCCTCGGTGGCGGTCTTGGGTGCCTCGACGGCGTGACCGTTAAGCCAGCGTAGTCCCATCAGGGCATGACGGTGAGTGTAATATTCGATGAAGCCGTAGCCTCGACTTCTGCCTGCTCCGCTGTTCTCTTCGACCTTGCTGCCATCCCGACTCTCGAAGACGATCTTAGCCTGTCTCACAACTCCCTGTCCCTTCTGTTTTCTCAATTTCTCCGCTTCTCTCATTTCTTCGGCGGCTCTCTGTTGTTCATCCTTGGAAAGGGGCTGGCGCAGGCCGGCTGTAACGTCCTTGGCAAATCCAACGATAGCCTCTCGAGCGAGCTGTTTCAAATCTTTCGAGGTCACATGACGTGGGAGATTGCGGACGGCAAGTCGCGTCAGACTGAGATGAAGTGTTGGGTTCTTCTTGATAAACGATTGTCGTTGTTTGTAGCTGTCTTCTCGCATCTTGATCTCGGACGGCGAGAGTTTCTTATAGAGTGATGAGTTCTGGGGAACGGTTCCCTCCGAGAGTAGATACAGACGGCGCTTATCGGTATCGCGGACAAGCCGCCGCGACACACCTTCGTCTTCAAGTTGCGTAGCACGCGACTTGCTGACAGCACGCGAGATCTGCAGCACACGGCCCTCGATGGTGTATCTGCCGGTCGGATCGGCGTTTTCATTTTGCAAGACCGAATGCTTGAATCCGGTGGATGCTTTCTTGTTTGCCGTCTTTTCCGCGGCGGCGTGGTCCTGCTGTTTCGGGGCATCGCGCACGCAGGCGGCCGCATCCTCGGGCTTCCAGAAGCATACAAACCCGGTTCCCCGGGGGCGCTCAGTCTCCTGGTCGACGACGATGCGTGCATATCGAAGGTTGCCAAACTGAGTGAAGTGGTCGTAAAGCGACTCGTCCGTACATGTAAACGGCAGGTTGCGAATAAAGATGGTAGAGGCGTTACGCTCGTCTTCCTTCTCTTCTTCGTCTTCCTCCACGTTCTCATCATTCATATCGACATCGTCTAGATCAAGGTCCTCGTCGTCCTCGTCGTCCTCATCATCCTCGTCTTCCTCGTCAGACTTTGCCGCCTTGGCATCATCTTCCATATCGACATCGCTGGACTTCCCGTCGGCATTGTCTCCCTGTTCCTGGTTCTCTTTCTGGAGATCCTCCCATACGTCTTTTTTCACGGACCAATCAACCGCCAATGTTCTCCCGTCGACTTCTTTGCCGTTCACGGCCTCCAGGGCCTTCTCGGCGTTCTTTTTTCCTCGCAGAACAATGAAACCGAATCCAGCGAGTCCCTTGCCCTTCTTCGGGAGGATGGCTTGTTTGACCTTGCCGAAGCTTCTGAAAAGGACCGCCAGGTCATCGGGTTCTTTAATACTCCACGGCAGGTTTCGGACGATCAACTTCGGCGGCAGAGAGGAGTCCTCCCTCTGCTTCTTCAGCTCGACGGCAGCGGCAGACGGGACACTCTTTCCCAATTTCTCGTCGATTGTTCGGTGGCGTGGTTGGGCGTAGTCGACTCGAATTTTCTTCCCGTCGAAAGTGGACTGGTTGAGCTCCTCCAAAGCGGCTTTCGCATCGTCAACATCGGCAAAAGTCACGAATCCGTAACCCTTGGACTGCTTTGTCTCCGAGTCAGTGACAACAGTGGCATGCTTGATCACGTAGGATTGCGAGAAATGTTCCGCCAACTTCACGGTCGTCGCTGAGGCGGGAAGTGATCGAACGAACAAAGTTCTCTTGGGTTGATTGGAGGTCGCATCCCCCTTGGTTGCATCATCTTTCGCGATCTCCATAGCGGTATCAGCCACCTCGGGGCTGGAGGTGTCTTTGGTGTCAGAAGAATTTCCCATGTTGACCTGATTGCTTCCAGCCAACACTGCGACAGAATGTAACTTTTTTTTTTTCCTTTCGGCAGCAGCAAAATCAGCGGCAGAAAAATTGCCGCCGATGTTTTGGGGAGGGAAAAGTGGGTCTGGGCGGTGAGTCCGCAGGCTGCGTGGGACTACATCATCTCAAGCTTGTTTTCCCTGTGCAAGGATAGTACTGATAGGCAACGGGTCTTTGCTGGAACCATGGCCGATGAAAATGAGACTGATTCAAACACCAGTCGTCCGTCCTCGACGGCGCGCCCTGTCCCTTCACGACCGTCGCAACCAAAGGTCCAGCAACCAACGCCGCAAGTGCTTGCCAACAGGAGCGGACCTTCCGCAATTCTAGTCTCGACCAGACAGAAAGGCAACCCCATCCTGAATCATGTCAAACTGATGCCGTGGGAATATGCCGATATCCCAGCTGATTATGTACTGGGGAACACTACCTGCGCATTATTTCTGTCACTTAAGTACCACCGACTACATCCCGAATACATCTACTCTCGGATCCGGCAGATGGCAGGGAAATATCTCCTTCGAATCCTGCTGATTATGGTCGACATCCCCAACCACGAAGACAGCTTGAAGGAATTGTCAAAGACGTCGATCATCAACAACCTCACGTTGGTCTTGTGCTGGTCAGCCCCCGAAGCTGCTCACTATCTAGAGTTGTACAAATCCTCGGAAAACTCTCAACCAACGGCTATCCGCACACAGCAGGCGCAGTCATACAAGGAGTCTTTGGTCGAGTTTGTCACCACACCCAGAACCGTGAACAAGTCCGACGCTGCCAGCCTGATTTCGAATTTCGGAAGCCTGCAAAACGCGATCAATGCGCAGCCGGAGCAGATCGGTTCAGTACCTGGCTGGGGTGAGAAGAAAGTCCGCCAGTGGTGCAATGCCGTCCGGGAGGATTTCAGAGTTGAAACTGCCAAACGGGCGACGGCTCCTGGGAGGGACGTTTCGCGCCCAGAAACTACACATTTAGATCAAAGCGGTCCGGCCATGACCTCGGAGGGTTCAGAAGAGAATCGTGCGCAAGTGGTGGAGGGCATCGTCGAAAACAACCGGGCTAACGAAACTGACCAGGGAGAAATGAGCGAAGGAATAATGGCGGCACTAACAAAGCTTCGAGAAAATAGTGGTTGATTATGACATTCTCCCTATTCTTAAATTCAACGAGGTAACGCGTCGTTGACCGAGCCCTCCATCGAGGCTCAAAGTAGTACGCGTCTTCCCTTCGTTTGTCTCGATGATACTCTGCAGATTCCTTCGTTGCATAAGGTTCGCAGAATATCTGTTTTTCCAAAGAGCTCTCGCGAGCAAATCGCAGGACAGTCCCTACGACTCGACCTCGTCAGAGAAACCTCAGTGGTATTTTCAAACACAGACATGCACCTTCTCTTTATTGCTTACAGGGAGGCTGGCATAAGTTAGGATTACCTTGATTGAGATTCGTGGAGCCTCGTCCGTGGCATGAAGAACGAGGCAATAGCCACCGGGGAGATGACCGAAGGGACTCGCATCATTGGAGAGCCGCGAGACGGAGAGAGCCAAGATCCAGTATCCACTTCATGGGAGGATCTGATCTGAAATAAATAACATTAAAAACAAGCAATGTGGAGCCTGCCATGTTTGTCGGCATAACGCAGCACTTACCGAGTCCTACAAGATGCCACGAATAGACCCGCAAGACGGAGTAGTTGAAACTTGACAAGCCCTGGGATATACTTTACATGTCGGACCAGCCATGGGACGGTTAATTCGGGCCTCGTGGCGATCGGCGCTGCGGTTGCATGGGAATACGAAGGTTACGAGCGTTAGACTGCTTGGCATCAGAAAACGTGTCTCCCTCCTTGCGTGCTGCCCTAGCTCGAAGACTCCGGAACGATGATCGCGATCGAGTACGGAGTATGTACACCGTAGATCTGACTGCTCGCCCACCGACTACGGAGTAAAGGGTCGCGTAATCTGCACTGGAGGTCGAACCCGTCACATCCACTAAACTAGCAGGCAGCCCTCAGGCCTACGATTGGCACGTGTCGCTGAGTCATATCGGTCACGTGTAGTCACGGTGGGGCGCCAGACCCAAAGGGGAAATCGGGCCAACGGCGAACATTGGGAGTCTCAGCCTTGGTCTCTCCCGACTCGCCTTCTCTTGATATGCCCCAGTACCATTTGACGCGGCCCTAGTCTGTCTCGCATCGAGGCAGTTTCTTCGGGAAAGAAGCAAGGCCAAATCCCCAATAAACAAATTAGATTCGGGCAAAAAAAGGAACCTTTCATTTATCCGACCAAGTCGGTACTCCCCACCGACAAGCTAACTGGACAAGCCTCTTCCCCACCCGACTACTTTCCAACGCACGGCTTGATCTGTGCTATCCATTCGCCGGTCCGAGCCGGATCATGAGACAATGGGGGAAGAGGGCAGCAGGGACGCCGAGCCAAGCATCAGGCCCGACGTCAACAATCAGGATTTGATTGATGCTGGTCCCTCGGGGGCTCCTCCTGCCCGCCGACTCGCCAGTACTCAGGCGGGCAACCCGAGATCGTCCAGGAACAACCAGTCCTCCATAGCGAATCAGCAAGCTTCCCAGTCGCGGAACTTCGAGTTTGTCCTTGTAACCGATAGCGAGTCGCGCCGTCAGGTCCGCCGTCATGCAATGCGCCAGTACATGCATCAGCGGCGCTTGGACGGCATTGCTCGACTGGGGACCTCTCGTGTACCGGTTAGCGGTTGGAGTACTCGTCCCGCCCCGAATCCCGCGGCTTCGGACCTATCTCCTCGGATCAAAGATGCGGAGGATGATTCTCCTTCGAAATCGGAGCGGGAGTCGCCATCCACGGACGAGGAACAAGGCACTTCCCCAGGATGGCAAGAGTCCCCCTCGCAGCTGTTGGTCCCGAAAGCCCAGATTATCAAACGAGAGGAAGAACCGTCTCCGTTAATGAGTAGCTTCCAATCTTCGGATCCCCTCGCCTCTCCTGGGAAAGGGGGCGTCCGGGACCCGTTCAGCTGCTATCCTATCCCGATATGCCATGCGGATCATGAATTGATCCAACACTGTAAGTTTTGTTCGCCCGCTATTCCACGATTGTGGGGTCCCTTTGTCCCGAGGGCGCAATGAGAGTCTACCTTGCAGTGTGCATTTAGAATATATTGCATGTCTTTTCTTTTCTTCTCTCGTCTTCTTAAGAATATGATGCTTCACAACGTCCTGGCTGGGGGCTTACGAATTATAAAGTTGTGGTGACCTATCCATCTATGATGTACAAGTTTGTCGATCGCATTACAGATAACCCGATGATGGAAATATTCCGGCAATTTGCCCTACACGACGGTCTTCCGTTCCAGGCTATGCTTGCTATTGCCTCCAAGCATCGTGCAGGTGTGGAGGGAAAGACTGAGTCAGTTCAGAGTCTCACACACAAGATGCGAGCCTTGCGGATGATGAACGAACGAATTCATGCGGACTCGACGGGGCAAAATGACGGAACCATATACTCAGTGGCTACCATGGCTGTTATCGAGGTTCGTAGGAAACTCCTACTTCTTGAGACATATTTTCTGACACCCACTAGAAATGGTCTAAAGATGCCTCCATCGAGCGTATGCACTTTCGAGGGCTGGCTTCGATGATCAGAAACCGAGGCGGGATGCGAGGAATGCGCGTCTCGAGTCCTTTCCTGGAAAAAGTTCTCTATTGGTAGGTCCTGATCATGTTTGTCCACACTGGGTCTGGAGACTGACCATTCGTGCAGGGTTGATTTCAGCTGTGCCCCGAAGGCAATCGTTAGTACCTCTCTACCCTGGACAGGCACAGTACCAGACATCCCACCCTCTGGGTTTGACTTTCTTTCTCATGACCTTCATTTTTCTATACCTCACGATTCCACAACGGATGAGGGGCCCGGAAGCGAGTGTGATAAACTACGAGCATGCGAGGACTTTCTGAGATTCTTCCGCCGCCTTCATGACTTGGAATATGCCGCGTTGAACGCCCCTCCTATTCTAATGTCTAGTATTCCGGGTCGGAGCACCAAACAATTTAGCCCCGGCACCCAGTTACATTCCATACTGACCATGCTTCCCGACTACGACCATGGAATCCGGGACATTCGATTCATCGATGAATACACGGGCATGGCTTGCCTCTTATTTCTCGCTGTCGCCCTCTACGATTGCTATATTAATTCCCTCAACTTTGACCGATATCTTGAATGGCTGGGCAAGGAAGTCAGGAAGTTGAATCCGCACACGAATCCCAGCATCACATCGATCCTCTGGCTCTTCCTGAACAACGGCGGGTATCCCAGGGACCAGGCCGGGGACACAGGAGACCGGTGCTGGATCGTGTCCCGCATGGTGCGGGTTGCCAAACGTCTGGAATGGAAACGCCAGGGTACCATTTGGGACCGCGTCCGCCAGGTTCTCATCGATTTTATTTCGACGCAACAAGAGTGCGGCCTTGGTTCGGACAGCGTTGACGAAGCAGCCCTCCTCGCTCGGCAGCAGAAAACCTGTCGAGCTCCGGGATATTTCTGGAGCGAGGACCAGATGCGTGAAGATATACTTGATCTCGAAATCCCTACAGCTACGACATACTCTGAAATGAATGCACCAGTTCTTACGTAGTAATCCTCCTTCATAGTCCAACACCCATCCATTCATTTTCGCTCTTTTGTTCTCGCTTTCTGCTCTCGGCGAGTTTATCGCACCCCATGGCTGTTCTTTCTGGTCTCTCTTCTGCTTTCATCTTATGACACATGACTGATAATGACGAAATGGTAACGAACAAGGGCATGAGAAGAGGCATTGCATACCTACCCACATGACCAGCTTTTGATCTTGATCTTTCTGGATATATATAACTATGTTATTTCATTCAAATATCGCTAGTTGGTTATCTCCTGGACGAATAATACCACCCACGGAGCACTCCCAGTCGGTCCATATACTATCTACCTCGCGTTATGAAAATGTGATGAGAAATATAGAGATTTACTATCGTGACCATCTCCCCCCCCCCGGTTATGTTTAGGGACCCAATGCCGTCCAATTGATCCGAGTAAGTACTAGGTAACTATTTAGTAGCCAGAGAAGCAAGGCGGTTCTCCACATCTGACCTGTCGAATGAATCTCGATTGATTGAAATCGTCCGGAGGCGATTATGCAAGGATCTCTCGGCTAGCTCACTAGTTATCTATGGTCTACGGGCCTAGAGTCCTGCCGGATTGGTTCCGGTGGACACATTCGTCCCCGCCCGGAGAGATAGGATATGCAAGGCATGGCAGAAAAGGCGGAATGTGGTGCGAATGGAGCAGGAGTGATAACGGCGAAGGGTGGCTTCGGGATCTCGGCAATTGCAATGCAATGATGCCCACGCCCATTCATGGATTCTCTACCTTCGTTGAAATCATCTTGCAGGAAAGAACGTAGATGAGAAAGCCATCCCTTGAAATGACATGGTATTCAATACCAAGTAAGGATATTGAGGATGTAAAAAAGAAGATGCATGATTGAAGTGATGCCTATCAGATGTAAATAATCAACGGGGGAGGATATAATAACAATGATAAGAGTAAAGCACGCGGCAATTGAAAAAAAAAAAAAAAAAAAAAAAAAAAAAGGCAAACATAACGCCTATACGATCGACCAAATTCATGGTATCAAATGCGGACACGAAGACTTGGAATAAAAATAAAAAAGGAAGAAAAACACAACCAGCTGGCATGAAAAAAATTTGAGGGTGTATCTTGTGTATGTGTATCGAGAGGGGGGAAGCATGGGAGGTAATGTTCAAGCTTCCCCTTGGTTCTGGATCTGGTTCTGTTTCTTTCTCGTTCTCTTTTGGGGTTCTTTTATTTTTCTTTGGTTTTTATTTTGATGATCGGTGACTTCGTCATTATCGGTCACGCCGCATGTCCATTCCGTATCCGTAAGAGCATTAGAAGTTCGAGCTGAAGAAAATTCAAGTGGTATATCAAGTCGGGGGAAATTTCAATCTAGCTAGGTTTGTCGCAGCCAATACGGCCCAGCAAGGCCTTGTGGTCACTTTGCGGGCCCAGTCCGACCCGGCCGCGTCCTCGAGCACGAACGTTTGAGGATCCGTTGGATCGGCGCCATTCGGCATTGGTGCCCTCGGCGGCGGGGGCGCTGCCATGGGTGTTATCCTTGCTCCCAGCATTGACCTCCTCATCTTCTTCGTCATCGCTGCGGCTGTCCTCGGCGTTTCCGGTACGAAGCACCCCCACGGCCACACGCACGACCATCGTAAACCAGATGATCGAGAGCACTTGCAGGGACAGGAGTAAGGAGAGGAAGATCCACTTGATCGTGCGGTTCATGCAGATAGGGCCGTCGAGGTTCAGGAACGGATAGAAGAGGTAAGTGAAGTTATCGGGGTACCCGTCGGTGGAAATCATCTCCGCGGTGGTGCCCGAATAGCAGCCGTACGCCATTTTCGCGGGAAGATCTTTATAGATAGACCAGCACAGCAGCGGGTACATGATGTGGCGGGTGACGAGCCACGTCCCCATAAACACGCCGAAGGCGATATTGCAGGTCTTTTCGAACTTGAGGTATTTGAGGATTTTCGCCGTCTGGGGATTTTCTGGGTCAGTCCGGATTCCTGTAGCAAAGTGCCATTCCAAGCATCAACATACCGGCAAGAGCAGATCCACAATGTCCATCAGACACAGCACCACATTGGAAACATTGTAGAAGCCATAGATGTAAGCCGAGCTCAGGAGGATGCTGGTGATGAAGTGGTGGGTCAACATCTGGTAATGGTCCTTTCTCGGCTCCTCGATGTTGAGGACGAAGATCTGTTGCAACCAGAACGAGAGTTGCGCCAGCAGATACCATTTTAGAGTGCCCGAAACGCCCCGCGACGGCCACTCGACCCAGATGGCAGCGTTATCCCGCCAGTAGTAGGAATTGGACCAAATATACTAACGCGTCCCTAGTCAGCATGCAAGTTCCACAAAGCGATCACCGACGACGCAGCGCAGCGGTACGAACCAGTCCGAAAGTACAGAAGAAACCGTAGTATATCCATTGCCAGCCCTGCTCGGCCAATCGCACAGCAGCCTTCTTTTTCAGTCCGGCGAAGCGGCCAAACGGGTGGAAGACCCAATCGATAGCGATGGCCCGGATGGCCGTGAAGGCGACGGCGGCGCCGGCCACGAAGTAGATGTCGTCCCAGCCTTGGATGTAGAGTCCGGACTCGGGCTGGTAGTAGGACAATTGGAAGAAGGGGGTCGTATAGGGACTAAGCGAAGGGTAGAGGTGATGAACGGCCAATAACATCGAAAGTGTTGTCAACGAGATCCCTGTGCACCACGAGACGAGTTAGCCAATCATGCCGGGGTGAAATTGCAATTCTCTCCAGTCGGTGACATCCTTGGACCGATTCACAACAGAAGAAAATAAAAGATAAAAAACAGATACAAAGTCTGAAGAAAAAATGAAGGGGGAAAAATTTCCCCCAACCATATACGTTCTTCCTCCAAACAAAGAGACATACCAATTTGGTTTTCCACTATCCATTCTCGGAACGTGGTTTCTTTGGCGACAGGTCGATGGCCGGTAGTCGGGGTGGAAACGCAGGCATTGAGTTCCGTCACCGAGGATGACGGGGCGGAGATGTCTTTTTCCATGGCGAGAGGACTCGAAACTTCAAAGGATGCCAGATCCCGAGAGGAGTAACGAGGAGGGAAGGAATTGAGGAGGAGAGAGAGAGAGAGGGAAGGAGAGAGAGAGAGAGGAGATCGGAGACGGCAGAGGAAGAAGACGGTGACCAATAATGGCGGGGGGGAAAGGGACCGGGCAAGACAAGGCCAGACAAGCCAGAGAGCGCACTAAACGCGCGGTTCCGCGGCGGGTACGTTGGGCTGGGCTGGTACTGTAGATCAACAGAAGGGTTAAATAATAGTAATAATAATAGTAATAATGTGAATGGACGTGGACCGAGTACCAGACCGGTCGGGGCGAGGGAGAATAGCAGGAAAAGTTGAAAAGAACAGAAGGAGAAATCTATCAACCAGGAGTAAATAAAGAATTCCCCCAACAAACAATGGCCAGTCCGGGGAAAGAATATGCAGAGGAAGAGAAGGGGGGGAAAGGGAAGAAAAAAAGATAGCTCAAAGAAATAGGGCTATCTGTTCTTTTTATCGGGGTTGATCAACTTATCTTGTGGGCAACTAATAAATATTAATCTAATAATAATAGTCAAACAATCATACTCCTTAACTACTACTCCGTAGTACTCGGACAGAAAGTCAGAAAGACAAAAAAAAAAAATGTTTCACAAAAGAGGGACGGCCCACCCGCAGTTACGTACGCGGTACCTTCGGTCGCCGTGGACGAGCCATACTGAGGCGAGGTACTGCGTAAGTACCCCGTAAGTACAGAGGACTCACCGCCAGCCGCAGGATCCCTCGAAACTCCGTTTGGCCTCAACTCTCCCCCAATGATGAGTGCCGCGAGGAGTCACGCTGCAAAAGAGGGTCCATGATAGGCAGATCCCCGATCCTGTCATTGGGAGATGTTGGGGGGACTGGAGGACTTGGACCCTACTCTGTTACTCATCGATCTGCATCTGTCGGGTCATCGTACGCGTACTGTACAATCTACCAGTATCCCCAGGTAGTCACATCTAGATGGTGTACACGTAGTCCGTATGGCTATGCTATTGCCGTCATTATCTATCTACACGCTTCGATCTTCCATCCTCCATCGTCAGCCTTATGTACTGCGCGACTCCCCTTCGCTAGAGCCGCTATCCAACCCCGCCGTCACTCCGTTGACATACTCCGCCGCATTGACCCCCAGCTTGGCCATATCCACGTCTCCCTGTCCGCCCATCGCCTGCGACATGGCTCGAACCACCTCCTCTTCCTCCCAGATGCTCGTGGCGTCAACGCTCGGGTCGCCGCTGCCGATGCGGCCCTGGTCCGCCTGCGTCTCGACCACCGTCCGCCAGTAGCCGTCGTCCCGCTCCTTCAGCACCTTGTCCCGCACCACCGCGTTTCGAGTCACGCTCGTGGCGTGCAGCTTCGCGCTGGCCCCGGTCAGCGCCGACAGCGAGTTGTTCACTAGTTGATCCACCTGATCGGCCTGGGACGGCGGCGCGAAGAAGAACCGGTTCGTGGCCGTCACGTAGATCAGAAACGCGCAGACGCCGTCGAAGATGGCCAACGCGAGCGGTCGCAGGAGGGTGATCTGATGGTATAGACTCGATGGTGGCTTAATGCCCGCCCGCACCGAGGCGGGCGCCGACTGCACCGGGTCCTGCGTGCAGACGACGTACAGGTCGATAGCGGCCAGCGCCAGGCCCGCTACCGTGAACTTGTTGCGCCAGCTGGCCGCCTCGCGGCCGGCCAACGGAGCCGACGTCACCACGCCCACGATGACCATGTGGAGCAGATGCGGCAGGATTGTGTTGAACGGCAGGTAGTAGAGTAAATAGGTGTTCACATTGTCCAGCGAGCAGAATTGACATCCGGTCAACGTCTCCGGCCCGAAGCGTAGGTACACCTTGCGGGCCCCCACCGACGTCAACTTGGACCGGAGCAGCGTGTCCGCATCGGTCAGCGTGTTATCGGGCCGGTATCGCGCCAGTCGGCTGAAAAGGACGTCAGTCGAGGTGTTGATGCGCGAGCGAGTTAAGGCGAAGATACTCTCGCCAGGGGCATGAGGGTTAAACGGGAGGCTGAGAAGCAGGAAGAACAAGGTCGTAAAGAAGAGGATGTTCAGTGCGCGTCCGGCATTGGTGGAAAGAGCCTGGGGCTGGGGACGCGATGCGAGCGCAACTCGGAGGCTTCGGTAGTAATTAATGACACGGGGAATCAAGACGGGAGCAAAGAAGATCAAGAGCGACTTGACGCTGTGGTCGATTCGTTAGCATGGGATGCGATCATAAAATCAGGGATTTGGACAGGGACACACGTTGCAAACGAGATTCCGAGGTCAACCATCTTGTCCAGATGATGGCGGAATGATGAAAGGACAGAAGCTCGACGGGCGTCAAAGAATAATGGTTAAAATGAATGGGTCGCACGTGCCAAGAGTGCCGGTCCCCAATCACAGCGCCGCTTGTATACTTCCACTACTACGCATTTATTTGAACTGCAATTACATTCCATCTGCACTGTCAATCACTAACACAACAAGGTAGAATTTCACTATCAAACTAACGATTGCTACTATCCACTCCGGGGGGGGGGGGGGTGAAACCCCTCGCGCGCCAGGATAACGAACGAAAGAAAAGGAGAAAATAAACAATCAACAAATATGCAAAAAAAGTGAGAAAACGAGAGAAGAAAAGGAAGAAAAGAATAAGAAATGAGACACCTTTAACTCCTAAAGCCCGCTAATTTTTCCATTCAACTCAACGCCGTCGTAAATAGCACTCCTACGGAGCAGTCGAAGGGTCGAAACAAGATGCGCACCCCCTTTTCAGCATTGAAAGAAGCTCAAACATGGTTCGATTGCATTGCGGGATGATGCGCCAGATTTGGAATGGCAACCCCCGACGAATCCCTCGAGTATTTGGAGGACGCCGCATCGTTCAAGTTCACTGGGTTCACAGGACGAGAGATTTTCAGAGGGAATCGGGACATGCTCCGCATGGACGACTGCCTTCTCACCGGTGAATGCGGGCTATAAGTGGGCAGCGAGTCCTCCCGTTTCAGGCCCAGTTGAAGAGACCGCTGGCTGCCATTTCGCGTGACAACTTTCTGTGGCGCAACCGCCCCATAAACCCGAACATGTCGCGCGCTCACACCGGCATCGCGGTTCGTAAAGATGAAACTCTATCAACGGGGATCAGTCATTAGTATGTCCATATGTTCATAACCGATACACGGCACAACTTACCGAAATCACATTGACCACGCTCATGACCATGGCCAAGATGCCCGCAGAGAGCACTATACGCCAAAATGCAAGTCCCAGGGACTCCTGGCTGGTGGCCGGGGTGTTGAGATCGCCCAGAACACTCATTCCCAGCATCATCATCACGAGAGCCAGCGTGATAAATCCAGATTCTTGACCCAGCAATGGCCAGTTGCGATCGAAATAGCCGCGGAAGAAGGGAAGTTCGGAGATAATTAGGAAGACTGTAAATTGCGGGTCTGTCAGTAACTACATACAACCCAACCAGACGAGTGCGTTCAAAGATTCAGAGTTCAACTTACTGCTGACTCCGGCCACCATGGAATGGGTGACCGCCTCGAAAAAGAAGAAGCTGCTCAACAGCGAGATCTTCACCAGCATGACCACATTGGCGGCGATGATGTCCAGAAAGACGATTATATTCAAGACTCGAATGGCGTTCAAGACGACATATCCTGGACCAGCCAGGGACTCTTTCAAAAACGCCATCATTGTTGACGTCTTCGTATAAGAAAAAAGAAAACAAAATCCGAAATATTTCAACTGAAAAAGCGTAGAGGATTTAACCCTCAATCATGCAAATTTGTATGGTATGGTCTGGAGAATATTGAATCAAGAAAAGGACGAGAGCTCGTAGAGAAGCTTTTAGCTGAGTAAACAATAAGACAATAGGAAGGTGGAAGCACAAGGGCCGGCCAGCAGGACCGTGTTCTGAGAAAGAACCGAAGGAAAGACGGAAAGAAAGAGCCACGAGGTCGAGTCAAGGATAAAAAGAAAGAACAACGCCGACAAAGGTCTACTACTATGGAGCACCATTCATCCGAGGAATTCTTACAATAGGAACAAAAGCGGAGTGAATGAATGCCCAGACAAAGCCAACAATAGACATAGTTGACAGGAGTTGGGTCTGAAACACCATCGAGTCCTAGAGGAACAATAATGGCCATTCATTCTCTCGCGCCTGGCTATTTTTATGTCTATAGGGCATTTTCTCGGACAAGCCTTACCGTGTTGAGGTGCTTGGGCGTGATGATCGAGAGATGCTAGGGAATCCCGTAGCGCTGAGACGGATCATGCTGACCCTTCCATCCTCCTCATGCCTGACCAGACTGCAAAGTGCGTTACAGAATCATGCCGTGGACAGTAGAAGGAGTGGTTGACAACGCAAGATTGGCACTGGTTTGAAACCCTCATTGCTCAACCAGGATCGGATCATTGGCCCTCGATCTGCCTCTCCCTCGAGTCCCTCCATTTTTTTGGGATCAGATGGACTGCCAATGGTGCAAATAAGCGCCTTACTGCACCAGCAAGACCTGTATGAAATGAGCAGTAAGATTCCTCTTTAAACGCTCCATCCTGCACGCTGCACGATACCCGCCGGAGCGGTTACAGCTTCCCTGCTTGATGCTCTGCGCGTCCAATTTGTCGTCGTAATATAACCGCCCGGGGGGCTCTAGCCGTGTCACCCTCGGTCATTGAAATAGAACGGTTCAGATACATCTATCGGGATCATAGCGAGGCTAGAATCTTCTAGCGGCCGATGAAGGAGACTAAAACAAATCGAAGAAATTCGGCTCAGATGTCGCGGACATACTTGATGATTGCTGTTAGAGTTTAGTAAAGGGGTGGAAGAAAACAAATCCATCGACCTAATAAGAAAACGAAAGAAAGAGAGACCAAGAGGATACGAAGAGTCAAGAGACCCTACCGTGAGTCCTACGAAACCAAGAAGAGGGAACTGCCGGGGTGGCGGCTCGGCGACTAAGAGTGGCAGAAGTTCTAGACAAAAAGAAAACTTTCGCTTGACTTTTCCCCCGTTCCTTTATCCGTCAGCCAGACAAAATCCCTCATCCAGGCACACCATCCTTTCAATCTCCAGCACTTCCTCGCAAATCGTGGATATATACATTCCCTACTTAAAATGACTCGTGGAAACCAGAGAGAAAAGGCTCGCGCCAAGAACCAGAAGGCCGAGGGTGCTGTGGTATGTTCAACCCTCTTGGATTCCCCTCTTTTCTTGAATCATGTTCCCAAAGTCTCGCCGGGGAATACCTCTTTGCGCATTTCATCTCAAATCGCTGACTTGCATCGCCTACAAAGAAATCTAAGAACACGATGACCGGCACCGAGTTTCAACGACACAAGGAAAGCAGCGCTGCTATCATGCGTGAAAAGCAAAAGCTCGGTATGTCTCTATCCCCGCATGACCCTCTCTTTTCTTTCCGTGATCTTTTATTAACCTTTCCTCCGGTCACTCCAGCCGATGAACGCCGTCAAGCCGAAGCTGCAAAGAAAAAATGATTCCCTTCGCTTTAGAGACTCTTGCGCTCTACCATCCACACCAACCAATCCAAGATTCCTTGCCGCTTTTTATCTATCGACTGTTCGTGTCTGTCTGTCCGCCGATGCATGACCTTCTGTCCACTCGCTCCGACTCGCAAGTTGCTGTAACGTTTGGACAACGCTTTCTTGGGAAGAAATGTTACGCGGTCTGTTGCTTAGAAGCCGTCCGGTATTTTCCTGGAAAGTTGAAAGGCAAGGACCCTGAGGGCGACATGTTTGCGCAGATTGGTGGTGCAAGTTTGATTTTGGATACTCTACAATGACGAAGTGAAGAAGGTTAGGAGTCATTGGCGCCGATAAATACTATATAATATCATGGCAAGCGAGGCGTTTATTTCTACCTGCGTTGGCGTTCAAATCCTTCGTAACCTCATGATCCGAATAATGTCTTTGTCTTAACATAGCCTACTATACAAACCACCGTGAGAGAGACTAACGATACAGCGTCAGATTGCGCCTCGCCCGAAACTTGAGGGCATCTATCGGGGCTAGCTCTCTGGCCAAGTTCAAGTGCACTGTCCCGTCGATAACGATATCACCTTTGGCTGGCCCGGTATTCTTGTGCAACGGTTAGCCATGCCCTCCAGGAGTTCTTCGGTCCGGGCGTGCCGTGCCCTCGTTCCATTTTGTCAGTAGCAGTGCTCCCCAGGCCAGAGGGTCGAAAACCGCTAGTTGGTCCTGTAAGATTGAACGACTTCACAGCCAAATCCACAAATGTCCACAGAGACTCTCCCTCCCAGCCGATGTCCACAGCAAAGCGAAATACCCGGTTGACCGCGCTTTCTTGGGCGCCCCGGTCCTCGACCGCTTCCAAAACGTAAAGAGTAAACATCCATCCAGAGATATCCGTCGGTTGTGCCTGACACCAACCCAACATTGTTTTGACGATGGGTTCAGCCAGCAGCCGGAAAGAACTCGAAGAGTCCTTCATATACCCCGACAACACACCGTGGAGTTGTCTCATATGACTAAACGCATAGTAGTTCTTGGGATGTAACTCCCCTGCGCGGAGCACAATAGCAAGTTCATCTTCAAGGAGACTCTGTAGAGTAGTAGCGCAGAGAGGTCGTGGATCGGTCAACTCCACTCTTTGCGGGTTCCCATCTAGCCAGCCCTTACTGCGTAAATGTATCATCTTATCCAGGACCCATAACCGATGCTGCCATAGCGTCGGTGATTTGGTGTGTCTGTGCAGTGGCGAGCAGAGGAAAGATGTCAGCAGCGACATCTCCGCATCCAGTGCTAGAAGCAGCGTCTCCCGGGCATCATTGTTGTCGGGGTCGAGCTCATGCTGCTGTACAAGGCTGGCTAGGCGCTTCTTTCGCCAGTTGCACGCGGTGAGATGTTCACAGTCGAAGAGAAGGATAATTTCGGAGCAGATGGAGAGGTCGTCGGACTTCCTCTCCGTGGTTGTCGCGTCTCCATCTCTCGATGCCGTGGAAGAGCCACGGTCCAATTTACAGATGGTGTCCTGGAAAAAGATACTTCGAGCCGTCACAAAAGCCTGCACCAAGTATTTCTTGCTGATACCTATTGAGCAATCATCTTGTAGCAAAGGGCCTAGAGCCGGAGGAAGGATCTCGATCTCGAGAATGCGACTGTTCCTGGTAGCGAAGATGCGGGCGAGGTCTTGGAAAGCATCATCTGGAGAGGACATTTGGGGTCTACTGGCAGCATTGGCAGAGTCAGTCGCCTATGAGCATGGCGATTAAGATGTGGCCATGAAGTAGAGGAGAATTGTTGAGTTGAACGGAGGGGCAGAAACGCCGCCAACCGAGCGGGAAAAGCGACACCTCAAAACGTGACAACGTCATTCGGAAAACACCGCTTCTCGGTCTGCTTGTTCCCTCTTCGTTCTCTCCACTGGTGTTATCGACTTGTCTAGCCACTGGAAGCCTCCCTCTTCTTCTCGGAGCTCCCTTGATTTAACCTTTGTCCTTCCGACGCAAGTGGGTTTCGTGGCCCTCTCCACATTCCCGAAACCTGCTGTGTGCGATTGATTCTCTGCGACCTCTGCGACCTCTGCGACCTCTTCGGCCTCTGTTCTACGAAGACATCGACACCCTGTTGCCTGCAAAATGCTGTCCCTGATCTGGACGGTCTTTTTTGTGCACGTTGCCATCTATTTGGTCAACACCATCGGTGCCAGCACAATCGATAATCTGGTATGTTCTTGTTATCGGGGGTGTTTAGCGTTCCCTAGCATCATCATCAACACCGTGAACAGACCGACTGACAGCTCATCTCTTTTCTCGTCCTGCAGCTATGGATTCTCTACGTGAAACTCCCAACTCCGACCTCGAATAAGGCGCGCGAAGCGAACCGACTGAAACGCGAAGCTCTCCAGCTAAAGCGGGAAATGAACAACACCAGCTCCCAGGATGAATTTGCCAAGTGGGCCAAGCTTCGAAGACGACACGACAAGACTATGGAGGAATACGAGGAAATGAGTACGTTTCGAAAGAGCTTCTATACTCCCTTTACCCTTTGTCTTTCCATAGGATAGCTCTACATGTCCATGTGAAAGAACCCGGGACGATCTCCGCAAGATGGGATGCTAATCCAGGACACGAAACCCAAACAGATAAGGCACTATCGGCACAGAACTCCTCCTTCGAATGGAGCGTCAAAATTGCACGATGGCTGAGCACGAACGGATTAAAAATCTTCCTGCAATTCTGGTATTCGAAAACCCCCGTGTTTGCCCTTCCAGAGGCCTGGGTCCCCTACTACGTCGCATGGATCTTGTCGTTCCCGAGAGCGCCAATGGGCTCGGTCAGCATCCAGGTCTGGAGCAACGTGTGCGCAACGGCGATTTCGGCTTTGGCAGAGATTGTCACAATCGTGGGACAGGCGGCGATTAGGAAAGGACGCCCTGCTCCAGCGGCGACGGCTCAGAAGACGAAATGATTTAATGTTTACGCTACGGATGAAGTTTGGTGGAACGTAAAGATAAAATAATGAAAAACATTCTTGGATGGCTTGGACAGAGAAAGGGAATATGACACAATTATCATTCATTGATGGAATTCATGACATTGTAAAACTAACAATATTATGCTATCTCAAAAGTTTTGAAGCATGTTCTTCAGATATAAGAAAAAATCGTTTCTCGTCAATAACCCCATACCGTAGTAGGGATCTCAGGGCTTGACTCTATGATTGGTATATCATCATATGAACATATGCAGCAAAAGGAAAAGGCAGACGAGACTACTGAAATACAGTAGTCCCAGAGAGAATATGAGAGTCCGACCCCTTCGATAGGGTTTCTGTGCCAGCGAACGTTCATTCAAACGCCACCAAGTCACCGCTTTGCCATAAGCTACAGACTCTGGAAATGAAGAGAGAAAAAGATAAAAAGAATGAACTCCTCGCCTCAAGAATGAGCCCCATTGAGTTACCCAGGTAGGATGACAAGACCCTACCGAGCAATCGCATGACTATTCAAACACGACGAAAGGCAACCCAATAGAACAACCTCCCTCCGACACCCCGCTATACCACCATTATGTCCACCGGAGCGTCAAGAACGAACCGGCGTCGGATATAGTCATGAATGCCGGGAGAGAATAGGGCAGTCAGCCGCTATCAAATTGCTTCTATGGCGGCGCGTTTCCGCATTGCCTGACCGTAAAATAAATGGACAGGATGTCCGGGGACTTTCCCCAAAGCTTGATGAGAGGAACCTCCCAGTGGAGGTAATCCTGTGTGTGAGCTTTGAATGCGATCCTTTGAGCGAGGAGTTGGGAGAGAAAAGAGGAAAAGAAAAGCGCGGGTGCTTTTTGTAGCGGCTTTTTTTTTTCATTTTCGCTAGCTACGACGGCGCTAGCTACAATAGGTCTAGACCAGGGTCATGTGATACAGCCGGGCATTGACCAATAATGGGATGGCTTGCATACGCCTTGGACCACCATGGAACGGAGTACACGTTATTGGATGCAGACAGTTACTAAGTACTAACAATCTTCAGTGGAAGAAAACATCATTTATGCTATTTACTTAATAAATACAAAACAGTTCATCGCCGGAGTTTCTATTTTAAGCCTTAGCCTTAGCCTTGCCCTTGCCCTTCTTAGCCTTGGATCCAGCCTTCGTAACAGGCGAAGCGGCGGCCTCGTTGGCTCCCTTCTTGCCATCCTGCTTGGGGGTATCTTGCTCAGTCACCGACTGGCTTCCCTTCTTCTCCTTCTTGGACTTCTTGGGGGTATCATCGGACTTCTTCTCAGCCTTCGTCTCCTTGGGCGCCTCGAGGGTCTTGGGGGTTTCTTCCTCTGCGGGCTTGGGGGCTTCGATTTCCTTCTTCTCGCTTTGGACGGGGACATCGTCCACGCTCATCAACTGCGGCAGCTCAAACTCGTACCCAAGGTCCTTCAGCTTCGAGGCCTTTTCGAGGCGCTTTTTCTGCTCGCGCTCAATACGCTCAGACCACTCGTCCCTTGTCTTGCCCTTGTCGAGTCGCTTCTTCTCGATGCGGTTCCAGGGGGTCTTCTTGAATCGTCGGTTGGCGCCCTTCCAGACCTCCGGGTGCAATTGGTCCGAAGGGATGTACTTGCACTTCAGGATATGGCCGTACATCAGGTAGTTGTCCATAGTCGCGGCAACGATCTTGGCAACGGAGACCGACTCGAATTCCACGAAAGCGTAATGCTTAGAGCGGCCAGTAATACGGTTCCTCGAGAGACGAAGACGAGTGATCTCGCCGAATTGTGAAAAGTATGCGCGCATCTGGTGTTCGTAGAAACCGTGGGGAATACGGCTATAGCATCGGATGTTAAGATCGGTAGGCAAAAGGAAACGTAAGCGCACAGGATGAGGGGGGATACATACCCAACATAGACGGCACCCGGTTCTTCTCCATTGCCAGACTTCTCGTCCTTCTGCTTCTTCAAGATCTTGCGCTTGGCCTTCTTCGAATCAGGGATCTTGGGAACTGGCTTGCTGGGGTCATAGCCCTCATCTCCCGACTCGTCCTCATCGCCACTGCTCTCGAATCCCTTGATGAGAGCGACGGTCCGGTCATCCTCTTCCTCCTCACCCTCGCCAGACTCAGAGGCAGCGGAATCGTCATCGTCAGACTCAGAGGCGACAACCTCGGGCTTTTTCGACTTGGGGGCAGCCTTGGCGGTCTTCGGTTTGGCGGCCGGGGCGGCGGTGCCGTCCTCCTTCTTAGACTTCTTGTTGTTGGCCTTCTTCTCAGCCTGGGCCTTGGCGGGCTTCGCATCCACCTCCGGCTCGCTGTCCTCGTCGTCGCTCAGGAAATCGGCGGCACGCTTGCGAGGCTTGATCTGTCTCGCGGGCTCGCCGTTGAACTTCACATTCGAGGCGGACTTTTTCTCGGCGGGAGCGCCATCACCCTTGCTCTTCTTCAGGATCGATTTCGAGGCCTCCTTAGGGGCTTCGGCGGGCTTCGCATCCGCCTTCTTGGTCTTCTTCGCGGGAGAGTCGGCGGCGGCAGTGGCAGCGGCAGCTAGATAAGAGACTTTTCAGCAAATGCACCGAGGCGAGGGAATTCCCTTATGCGGAGTTTGGAAAAACATACCCTTGCGCTTGTTGTCTTTCTTGCTAGGAGCCATGGTTTTCCCGAAGTTGAGTCAATTGTAGGCTGTGAATGAGCACTACAAATTAGACGTAGTTAAGAAAACGGAAACTTTTTTGCAGGAACCATTTGGATTTTTTTTTTCTTCTTGCGCTCCGGCCGGGAGGGGAAGGCGGTGAGGCCGCCCGGTAGTAAGCCCTCGGTCTGGATGTTTCTTGGGGAAGACAAAGCAACAAAACATTGGCAATAGTCTTGGTTTTTCTAATATTCTTCTTTTTGCTCTCTCTTACTCTTTTCTCTTTTGACTGGTCGCAGCTGATATGGGTAAATCCAAAAATGCAACCAAGGCACTGACACAGGAGGAAATTTGGGATGACTCGGCCCTGGTCCAGAGCTGGGACGAGGCGGTCGACGAGTACAAAGTGAGTTAACTTTCTCGAAGTTGCCCAGTATCTCCAGGCCTGATCGCATCTAACATCCAACGCATACACAAAGCTGTATCATAGCATCCAAGCCAAGGGGGAGAATATCGAGGATGTTCTAAGAGAAGCCGAGGCCGCGGAACTCACCCCGGACGATGCCCTAGGCCAAGAAGATCCGGACGACCAGGTCGCCGATGTGCCCATGGAGACGGCTGGCGAAGAGGCCGCCGTCGCTGGTGGTTCATCTGAGGCTGCGCAACCCCCACTGGGAGAATCTTCGAAGGTACGTCACCGCTGATTTTCTGCGTGCTACGGACCATGCTAACTGAACCAAAGTCCTCCAATGGAGAGCAAAAGACATCGTCAGAAGCGCAGCCAACCGGAGGCAATCCGATGGCGGCGATGCCTCACGCAGCGCTATCGCAAGGTAGGATATCCGAGCGTTTGATTTGGAAGATCAGGCTAATGAATGCTGTGGGACAGTACAAGATGAGGGCCTGAAGAACCTCATGATGTCCTGGTATTTTGCAGGGTACTATACAGGCCTCTATGAGGGACAGCAGCGGGCAAACCAGAACAAAAGCTGATGAAACATTCACGTCCTAATTCTTTCCGAGGAGATGCTTTTCTAGAGGAAAGCCTACACTCCTGATGACGTGAATGCAATGTTCCCTTGTATCAGGGAAAGAGCAGTCTCGGCCGGCCATGAAACGCCGGGTATGTGCCAGCAATTCTCGAGGATAAGTGGGCGGGCGACATGGAAGGGTTGAGAGGTTATGAATCATCCGTAAGAATGACCCCATTTTTGTACAGCACAACTCTGAATCAGGGGGAACAAACGTTATTGTGAATATGGCCAATACGACATAAATAGCTAATCATTTCTAACTACGCATAGTCTACGCGTAGTCTTACGCTTCCCAAACTATTAATTGAAATGTGAATAGAGCGAATGCAAGGGCATGGCTGTGGCTAGAGAAACGCAGTTGGGATGGGAGAATGTTAAGTACATGATCCCAACAAATGCTACGCATGGAGTTATAGTAATATTGTTGATTGCTAAAATTGAATAACTATTGTAGAGCATCGTTAAACCATTCCAATAAACACCGTGACATAAAACATAAGACCGAATACATTTTCCTTCCATCAACAATCAACAACCCGCGTTCCCATTGTTCCAGCTGCATTGTACATCCCTACCAGTCACTTCTTCTGCACACAATTTAAGCGATTCCACCGCCGCTCAAGATCTTTCCGACAACAGGGATCTTGGAGAAGATGTTGTCCTTGACCTCGTGCACGCTGCTCGACGGGCTGGCGGCGGCGCTAGCAGCGCTGCTGGGCTGGGACGTCGTGGCCGAAGGCTTCTCCTCAGCTTGGGGCTTCTTCTCAGCCTGGGGTTCGCTCATGGCACGCGACGGGGCGGGAGAGGGCGCGCTCTGTTGCTGTTGGCCGTCGTTGTACGTCTCGGATGTCTCTCCCTTGCTGGTCTTGTTGATCTCGGCGGGTACGTGCGACTCCTGGCTGGGAGCGGCCTCCTCACTAGGCGTAGCTGGCATGGGCACCAACGGAACAGCCGAAGTCACGGCATCAGCGGACTCAGTTCCTGCGCTGGTAGCAGCCTCGGGCTTCCCATTCTTCTCAGCCCGATCTTGTTCCCACATTTCCTCCATGTCGTCGAAGAAGTCGACAGTCGACTAGTTTAATTAGATTAGATTAAGGTCACTTATATCATGGGTTACCAAGTTAAACTCACGCGCAGGGACATCTCAGCAACCGAGGCAGGGTTCCCGGGGATCAAGTCACCGTCGGCCATGGGGTCAAACCGCTTGGTCGGCAGAGCCGACGTCAGGGCAGACAGCGAAAGGCATGCCGCAAGGATAGAAAGGTTGAGACGGGCCATTGTGACTGGTATAGATCAACAGAGATGCAGAAGAAATAAAGAATGGTAGAATGAATGAATAGGCTAGTCAACAAACACGTTTGATAGCCAATATGCAGCTGGAACTATTGGATGGGATGGTCTAAGGAAACAGTACAACTACCGGCAAGACCGAGCTTCCCAGCATGCTTTATAGCACTCACGAGCGAGGGTGATAACAAGAGGGATAGATACATCAGGAACACCCGAGCCTGCCAAGGCATGGAACCCGAAATCCAAATTCTTGATGCCGCCTGGATCGCAACCATCTCGTGCAACGATAATTGCTCATGTTTTGAGGTCCGACACGTCAGTAATGTGCCTTGATTCAAAGTAAGGGATAGAGGACTGCATATCCGCCTCATGGTATGAGCATCCGTAACGCTTCAATGCCACAGAGCCATTCCCATTGGATCATCTCGGTCCTAACCCTTCCAGCCCTTGATTACGTAGCATGCTGGAGCTGATCGACGTTGGAAAGCCCCTTGGTCGCAGGCGCCGCCATGCTAGGACGGTTCAGCATACCAAAGGTGCTTGATGGCCGGTCATTCCGCCTACGCGCTACACATACACATTCCACCGACGGTTCAAAATGCAAAGACACCATGGCGAAAAATCTGGCTTGGAATGTATCTCCCTACTTTTGACACGTACCACCGCACCAAAGAATTGGCAGTGGACGCAACACGAGAGAGAATTTGAGAATGGACAATGTCCAATTGAGTCACTATTGGCACGATTTTGACCTCGAATATCATAGAAGATGTGACGGACAAGGCTTCGAATGTGCCAGGCTGTAATAAGAACCGGAGACTACAGGATTCCATGTTTCACCTGTGAGTTAGTAACTTAAACAATCAAGGCAGTGTGAGCAAAGGGCATTCGTTCTTCGGGGAAGATCATCTTCTTCCAAACGAGTGGCACACGCAAAGGTGGGCTTCTCAACAGCCAGCAGCTTATACTTATACTATCTGGCGATTGAATGCAATTCATTCACAATCTGTGAATCTCCTTCGAAAAGGGATGTGTGCTCAAAGCGAACCCAACTACCTCGGAGCGGACAGGGTAAACCCTATCCAAGTGGCAGGCAATGGGATTATAATGAGCACGCGTATCAGTCTCGGTCTCAAATCTAAATTTGCAGACGGAATGGAGAGCCCATCCACAAGGGTATGGAGACCTGGTATATGTGGAAGAAGAAAGGGGAAAAAGAACGCGGAAATCGACGCGAAAATTTATCATTCCGCGGAGTGCGTTGCTTATGTCATCCCTTGCCGGAGGAAATAACTTCCGGGTGGTTTTTATGTTTATCAGTTATCTTATCGGGAATCTAGACGAAAGAACGCATTTCATTGTCCTTAGCATTTAAATTTACATTTACAAAACTGGCAGGGGAATCACTAAAATATGCAGATCGTCAGAATCTCCGGTAGTTCCCCGGCAAACCGCATGTCATCCAGATCTAGAATCGGGCCAGGACTCTCTCCTGAGTGTCGGACAGCGCCCACTCATCGCTATACTTCTTACTCCGCACCGTTTCGGCCTGCTGGGCTGAAAACCCCTTGGCCTCGACGGCTGGATTATATCCAAGGCCGGTTATCTTTGCCACGGCGTCGGACGAGACGGGACTGGCTACCTTGCCATCGGCTCGCTTATATACAGTCACCACGACCGCACCGCCCAAGCCCAGGTTGTGTTGCAAAGCGGCATCGGTCCCGTTGATCAGCCGGTTGTTAGCCCAGCCACGCAAATGCCACACCAGCTCTGCACACTGCGCCAGACCGGTCGCTCCCAGAGGGTGGCCCTTGGATATCAAGCCACCGGAAGGGTTGATGACCATCTTGCCCCCGTACGTAATATTGCCCTTGCGGACCATCTCATGCGCCTGTCCGGGCTCACACAGCTCGAGCGCGTCGATGGTGATCATCTCGTTGGCCGAGAAGCAGTCATGCAACTCGCACACCTTGATATCCTTCACGTTCACGCCGGCTTCCTTGATGGCTGCTCGGCACGCATTTCGGGACATTCCGAATCCCATCAGATCGATGGCACTGCGGTTGTAGACTGTGCTGTTGTCCGTCGCCAGCTGCTGACCAGCGATCAGAACAGCCTGGTCCTTCAGATGGGGACGAGCATCCAGGAACTCTTGGGAAACGATGACAGCTGCGGCTGCACCATCGGAGGTGGGACAGCATTGGAGCTTGGTCAGGGGTTCGTGAATCATCGGGGCCTTGCTGATCTGCTCGAGAGTGTATTCTTGCTGGAATTGCGAGTAAGGGTTGCGCTTGGAATGCTCGTGGTTGACCCGAGCAATCTCGGCAAAGTCTTCGTTTTTAGCACCATACCTAATTGTTTTACATTAGTTCATGTACTATGACACAGTACGAAGAATCTCGGGAGGGAATACTTTTCCATGTACTCCCGACCGGCGTTTCCAAACATCTGCGCGGCACCCGGAGCGTTGGTGACGCCTCTTGTGTCGGCCATCATCATTCCGAACTGACCTGTCGGGTTCTCGCGGTCGTTGTAGACCGACTGAAGACTTCCCGGGTTCATCTTTTCGAAGCCCACGACGAGCACGCAGTCGGCGGCGCCATGGGAGACCAGAGTTCGAGCCATAGCGAGACCGGTAGACCCTGTGGAGCAGTTGTTGTTGACATTGTAGATGGGAATTTGGGTGAGGCCGAACTGGTAGAAGACGCGCTGGCCGCAGGTACTGTCGCCGTACACGTAGCAAGCAACACCTTGCTCGACATCGTCGTAGTTGATGTGGGCATCCAGCATAGCCTTCACTCCAGCCTCGAAACCAAGTTCATGATAATCGACCTTGCCCCGAGGTTTGATAAACTTGGTCATTCCCACACCCAGGACATAGGCGGGCGATGCTTGTTTCTTACCCATTTTTGATGGTTTGAAAGGAGGAGAGGATTAAGGAATTAGGCAATTGTAGGGACTCGAATGAAGATGTTGAAAATGAATGGAGTCGGTGGAAGACTGGAAGTAATATAATATATGAGATGAGTTGTTGGGGAAGATGGGGATGATCTGCAGCGACGAAGCCAGCCGTGGCTTCTGCGGGGGAGAGGCTTGCCGCGCGACCGAGGTCCCGAGGATGCTTGCCCGCTTCTGCAAAACCATATGAAGTTGCACAACGCTCAAGTACACCCTTGTGCGGAACCGACTTTGTCCCAATAATACTCTGTCCCAAGTTTGATGGTAGTTCAAGTCGCATGTCTGGTTGAGAATGTCCCATGTGAAAGAGGTAGCGCATGTAAAAGTGTATGGGCAGATACATGTACATACCTAGGCTGCACTCACCAAGTACTCGGAATACCTACGCAGGGAACGTGTGACGATCGAGTGCTGGCTTGCTGAGATCAGTGGTAAGGTTCTGTCTTGGATCGAAGTACTTGCGTAGACAGGATTCTGTTGGCTAAGATGCCCTACCGGGCAAAGTATATATATTGCTCTCCTGCCGCAGAGGATAAAACCCGGAACTACGAAAGTTCTAGGTACCGGGTGACCACCGAGGGAATTAGAAACAATGAGAAATCAACTTGTATATTTAAATCCAAGTATTTATTGCAATAGTAGACGTCGGGGCTTTTCGTAGAAAGGAAAGAGATCTCCCATTGTTGCTCAAGGGGATGCTTGGCAGCTTGCACCTCAGGCATCCAACGCATCTACAAGATTACGACACCATTCTCCGACCCGATAGGGTTGGTCCACGATACCACGGTCCATGTGGTCACTTAGTTTGGGGGATCCACGTACCGTCCTTCCCTAGCCTGATAGTCGAATCATCAATGTTTTTCTGGACATAATCCAGGTTTCCTGATAGGACAGCCAAGGTCTTGGGAGGGAGCCCTGAAATCGGTATCATGACCTAAACCCATGCGAGCGTTGGCCCTGGATCCGGGGAAATTCATTTCTCTTGAGCAGTCGAAGCATAGCACATCAGCTAACGGACTGTACACCGTACACTCCTTTCAAATTCATTGTTAGTCCATACTTCGTTCTCATGCCCGAGTAATTGGATTGACACGTGGGGCATCTGAGGAGACCAGGCTAAACAACCATTCCTCAGAACTAGACAACGTTGGTCTAACCGGAGGAAGTAAGCAGTTCCAGCAGAAATCCCCGTCATCCATCGCAAATAAGCGCCGCACGAGATGGAGGCGCGATAAAGGCGGCAACGTCCGGATGAGGCAGGAGGGCACTTTCGTACTTTGGCTCCGGGTGTACTGTGTCTGTGTAAAACATATCTGGCTACTGGCCAGGGAGGTATGCACAGTAGCTTCATCGCCGATCCCCACCATCTGCAACAGCAATCAAGCCAATGCGAGACAGGCGGGGTAAACGAGGCGGGCGGGTACGACCACCGCCCGGACTGGGTTGGTCCGATGATGCTTCCCTTCCCCCCCCTTGCCACTTTGGCCTCTGGGAGTCTTGGGCCCGGGCGATCATCCTTTCGCTCTCCACTCTGGAGCTGGTTCCGGATCTGGTACCGTCCATGTATTGAGTCTCTGCAGTACGGAGTACATGGCACAGTACATATACCGTACTCTGTACAGTCCCGTGGACATACTCCGAAGGATTTATGTCCTGTCATGATCGAGGGTATCGGACTCGTCTCTCGCAGCAGCTGGACGGACTGGTCGCCCTCCGTGTCACCACTAGATCTCAAAACTGAGGAGTGAGGGCATCCATCGTACTGGAGACCTCACGACGACGTCATTGGCTCTACCCGTCTTTAAACCGGGTCGAGACTTTCCCATGGCGGGGGGCAGGCGTTGGCCCACTCACGTTTGCTCAGGCAGTCTTTGGCGGGAAGTTAGCGCCTTCAGTAGCGCAGGAGCCCGCTGGGTGCACACAGGCCGCACAACTGATCGCTTGTGATGGATGTCGGTCCTGCTGCTCTCTCGCCGTCTCTCCCTCCCTCCTCTCCCTCCCTCTCCTTTCACCTCCTATCGATTGTCCTCTCTTCATTGGGCTTTCGGTTGCATTTGGGAGTGGATTTCAGCTTCCCTGGAGGTATGTTCCTTTTTGTTTTCTTTTTCTATTCCCCCTTTCACCCCTCTCCCTGCCTGTCCCTCGCATTTGTTGTTCCGTTACATGCAACAAACGAGGAGGGGTGGGGAGCTGTCAAAGTGGCATGTGTGCATACATGACTGACGATGGACCCGTTCTGTGACCCCTAGGTAGCTCCTGAACCATTCCATCCGCATTACCGAAAGAAGAACGTGGGAATTTCACAAGAGAGCCCGCTTGCGACCCTGCACAAACTCTGCTTTAATCGTTATATATAATTCTGTGGTGACCGGCCGTGCGGACATACCTGGGAACTTCAGTCCGCCGTTAGGATCTTGAGAGGGCTGGAAGAAGCATCCCACCATTACTCCCTATCCATTGACTGAACTGGCTGTATCAGTTCTCCTGATTTGACAGACAATCTCTGTCTTTTGAATACACTCTGCGATATCCACCAGGGTTGATCGGGCCCGCTTCATGGACAATTGTGGGACGCCGAACGGTCTGCTCGCACGCTGAGAGACCGCTTTGCGTTCCATAGGGTTCCCCAGCCTGCCACCTGACGGTCACGACGTTAGTGCACCTAGCGACTAAGCGACGACTCAGCGAGATTTCTCTACTTCTGCCCCCGATGGGATACCTCCAGGGATGACTCTTGATGAACACTCTGACGATGTACCCTACTCTCCCTCTCGCTCCCAACCCGCACCTGCCATAATGCCGACTGGTAAAAGTTGGATGGGCCCTAACGAAGCCGCCTATAACAAGTTCCTGAAAGACTACAAGACTCAAGTCGCTTCGGCCACCTCCACCGTCTGCGCCACTCTGGCTGTGGTAAGTGTTGTTGATCCGTTGTCGCTGGGGAGAAGAACCCAGGGCTGATCGCCGCGCTTCCAGACTCCACTGGAGAATGTGAAAACTCGTATGCAGACGTAAGTACAGAAAGAATTCAAGCGATTTTCTCCTTGCTGCTCGGGACTATGGCTGACTTGATTTAGTCACAACTTTCGCAATGTCTTCGTTTGTGCGCGCTACATTTGGCGTACTGAAGGCCCTCGTGGTTACGTAGCTGGTAAGTGAATCCCCCCTACCCCCCTACCCCCCTCATGCCCTCTCTCCTCTATTTTCACCACCTACCACCCTTGAGCTCTCGAGACTCGAAACGATTGACATGATTCTGCAATGCAGGAGCTTTGCCACCTCTTGCCAGCGTCACTGCGGTGCGCGTCTTGAACTTTTCTACCTACAATGCTGCCAAGCACCGCATTTCCAGATTCATCGAGCGCACCACTGGCCAGTCTCCCCTGGAACAGTACAATCAGCCTGGCAGTTCTGCCACTCTGACGACCCTTGTCACCTTCTTCTCTGCCGGTCTGATTGCCGGTTTGGTCACCGCACCTTTGGCCTGTAAGCTTGAATCCAACCCATTTGCCTTCCCCCCGTCACTGACTGTTTCAATGTAGGCCCTTTTGAACTGGCAAAGAACGTTGTCCAGACCTCGGTCCTGGTGTCTAACCGTGCCCAGGCGTCTCCCAATGCCGTGGGTGATCCTTCTTTGCGCAACAAGCCTCGTCTCGGCACCATCGAAGCGATCCGTCAGATCGTGCAGCGCTATGGAGTCCGTGGTTTATATACCGGCTTTAAACTCCACACTATGCGCGATACTCTTGGATCCGGCCTGTATTTCAGCGTCTACGAGACTGTCAAGCAGGTTGCAGCCAAAGAGCTTGGCCCTGACAAGTCTCCCTTTGGTGCTCCTATGATTGCCGGCGCCATCTGCAGCACCGTGCCTTGGTTCTGCGTAAGTCAAACCCCAGCATTTCGTGTGTCTTGAGACCTTACTAACGGACACAGACCTACCCACTTGATACCAGAAAGACTCGCGCCCAGAGCGTGCTGTTGGGAAAGACCTCGGAGGTGGGCGAGGCATCTGCCGCGGTTGCCAAGTCGAGCATGTACAAAGGTCTTTCGATCATCTTAATTCGCACTGGTGTCAACAACATGATCTTGCTCAGCATGTTTGAGTACATTAAGATGAGAATCAACGAGCTTGAGTGATCGGAGGCGATTGGAGGACTCGCAAATTTACCAATTTGGCGCTCCAGGTTGAGAGCGAATTTGGTGGCAGTGGAATGCTGGATCCTGGATGATATTTCCTTTTCTCTGGAGTACATAGTTGCATGAGCTTGAAGCTCTTTAGCACGTACAGAATGACATTTGCCCGTGGAAGGGTAGTTTAATCTCTCTATTGTTGTACGGAGTAAATCCAATGCCAAGACGGTCGAGGGCAGTATGGCAGCCTGAGGCACCCACAACGTCATTCGTTGCCCGGCGGGGTTTCGCTCGGTTTTTCCCACGTCAACAAAAGCTGCCGGGCGACGATCTCTCTTCTCTCCGTGCGCTCTGCTGACCCCGACAATGGCATCGTATGTGCTTCTTTCTATAGGACTGCCTCCGCTATGCGTTGCGCAGAGAGACTAATTCCCCTGGCTTAGCAATATCCTTCAGATTCCCTTTCGACGTTCCCACCCCGTTTCCTTGTCCGATGCCATCACCCAGTACATCTCGTCCAAATATGACCAGCGTCCGGATATGTTCGCAGATGATCTCTTGATCATCGATCGCCTGCGAAACGAAGCGATCAATGTTCAAGAACCGCATGTGAGCGGAATTAGCCGGCTGGTCACCTACGCGGCGCAGCTCAAATGGCTGGGTGGAAAGTTTCCCGTGGATGTAAGTAGATGCAACCCCTTTACCTTTCCCTTCTTTATGAGGAGAATTGTGATTATTGACCCAAGCTGCTCTATTGTAGGTCGGTGTGGAGTTTCCGTGGTACCCTGCTTTTGGGTTTAATACATCAAGACCTAGTACGTCGTGGGACGGATTCATCGGACAAAGGAGGTATATGACTACTAACTCGAGGACAAGTCTCGCAAAACAACATTCGATTTGAACTGGCCAACATTCTCTTTAACCTCTCCGCATTATACTCGCAACTTGCGTTTTCGGTCAACCGGACGACTTCCGACGGTCTCAAGCAGGCATGCAACTACTTCTTCCAGGCAGCCGGGGTCCTGGCACACCTGCGCACGGAGGTCCTTGCGGACCTTCGTACAACTCCTCCCGAGGACATGGATGAGATGACACTTCTGAGCTTGGAGCAGCTCCTTCTGGCTGAGGGGCAGGAATGCTTTTGGCAGAAGGCCGTCAAGGACGGACTGAAGGATGCGTCGATCGCTCGGCTGGCGGCTAAGGTCTCTGACTTCTATGCGGACGCGGGCGACCATGCGGTCAAGTCGAACGCCATCAGTCCCGAATGGATCCATCACATGACGGCCAAGCATCATCATTTCGCCGCCGCCGCCCAGTATCGACAGTCGTTGGATTGTTTGGAGAAGCGCAAGTACGGCGAGGAGGTGGCGCGCCTCCGGGATAGCGAGGCCTGCGTGAACGAGGCCCTGAAGGAGTCGCGATGGATCAATCGCACCGTGCTGGGGGATCTCCAGGGGTTGAAGAACCGAGTGACGGAGGACCTGAAACGTGCGGAAAAGGACAACGACGTGATCTACCTCATTCCGGTCCCGCCGAAGTCGGAACTCAAGATCATCGACCGCGCATGCATGGTTGCAGCCAAGGCTCCGTCTCAAGTGACGGATGCCATCTCCATGCTTGGAGACAATGGGCCCCTGGGCCAGCCATTGTTCTCGAAGCTGGTGCCCTATGCTGTCCACATCGCCGCCAGCATCTACTCGGACCGTCGTGATCGGCTGGTCAACGAGACCATCATTGGCGAGTTGGAAACTATGACCGACAAACTGCGAGAGTAAGTTAGATTCAAAGTTAGCTTGGGAAGGGGAATCTTGAACGATACTGATTTGAGGTCTATCTTAGCCTGTTGTCGTCTCTGAACCTTCCCGGCTCTCTGCAGGCCCTTGAGAAGCCGCTTGGCCTACCGCCCACACTCGTCTCCCACGCCGAAGAGATGCGCCAGCAGGACGGGCTGAATCGACTACGTCGGTCTCTCGAAGATACATCCAAGGTGAAGGGCAATGACAAGGCAATTTACAACGAAGGAGTTGAACTTCTAGCTGCGGAGAAGGCCGAGGACGATGCCTCGCGCCGAAGGTACGGAACTGATCGATGGTCCCGCGAGTCGTCGGAGGCAGCGGCAACGAAATTGTTCACGACGTCGCGCGAGATCGATGGGTACTTTACCTCGGCACAGAACAGCGACAACCTCGTCGAGCAGAAACTAAAGGACTCGGAGGCGGTATTCCGCGTTCTCACCGGCACCAACCGGGATCTGGAGATGTACGTGCCGAGCAGCCGTCGAGCGGCCATTCTGCCGGAAGTCGAGCAGGAAGCCATTCGACTCCGGGGATGTTTGAGCGAGGTGAGCCGGTTGGAGCACCGGCGGAAACGGAGGGCGCAGGCGCTGAAAGACAAGGCGCGGGCCGATGATATCAGTAAGTTCAGACCCGGAATCCGAGGGAGTGCTAGGGACTGATTCATTTCTATAGGCAAAGCCCTTCTGAAGGAGGCTGCTCGCTTGGAGCGAGAATTCCCGATGCAAGCCATTCAGGCAGGCCAGTTCGAGGATCTGTTTGAGGAGCAGTTGCACCTGTACGATACTGACCTTGAAATGGTGACCCAGGAGCAGCACGACCAGGACCAGATCGGGGCGCTGGTGCGGGAAGCCAACCGAGCGTTCACGAGGGCGCACAAGGGCGACGCGTCGACCCGGGAGCGCGAGAAGGCACTGCAGGAGCTGGAGAACGGATACATGAAGTACAAGGAAATTATCTCGAACATGGAGGTGGGCCGGAAGTTTTACAATGACCTGGCCAAGATCGTGAGTCGATTTCGCGACGACTGCAAAGCGTTTGTGCACCAGAGGCGGATGGAAGCCAGTCAGATGGAATCGTATGTTCCCCTCTTCTGATCTCCTTGGTTTTACCCGACTGACATGAATCCGTAGGGACATTACCAGTGCGGCAGCGATGGCGTCGCTGAACCTGACGCAACCGCATTTGCGGCCCTACCCGACGAGCGCGTCTCCGCCGCCGGCGCCAGCAGTGCGATCCGAGCCGTTGACGGCGCCACAACCGACGCGGGCCAACGCGATGGCGCCGGGGGTTTGGTCGCCCGAAATGGGCATTCGATTTGGCGGACAGGGAACTTGGGATCCCAGCAAGGGAGTGAAGTTCTCTTGAGTATCCTGGGGCATTAGAGGGTACTATCCCACCTACGCAGTACATATACACGCATTTTTAAACATTCCAAACCCTCGACCAACAAGAAAGAATTGAAGTTTAAATCTATTCACTATCTATCCATACTATAATCTGGGTATACAGACCAAGACTAGAAGCCCCGCCCCTCAAACAACTCTTAACATCACGGCCGCCGCCTCAGCCGCCAACTCGCGCGTTGAGATCCGCAGATCCTCCCGCAAACTCATGAACTGGAATCGATCGATCCACATACGCCATCGGGGTTTCGAGATCTTCCCCGGAGGAACCTCCGGCACGGGCTCCAGCGATAGTCCCACGGGCGATTCCACCTTCTGCCCCTGTCGCTCCCACAGCTCCTCGCCCATGATGACAGCCCAGAGCGCGGCGGCCGCGACGTAGACATTCAATTTGACGGCTTCGGCGATCTGGCCGGTTTCTCTCTCCCGCGCTTCTTCTTCTTCGGCTGCTTCTTGCTCCCGCCTCTTGTCGCTCTTCTTTATCTTATTGAGAATCTTGCTCGTAGTCCCCTCATGATCATGATGGTGTTGATGGTGTTGATGATGATCTTGCTGATGAGACAACACCTCTGTCGGAAAATGTCTCACCTCCAATGCCCCCTTCAACATCCTCACAGCAACGGCATCTAGTCCACCGGTCCCTTCGCCTTCTCGATCCATCCCATTCTCATTCCTATCCCTCGCGGCAACATCCTCCGGACTTGGGACCGGATCCGGCACGATCTGGTGTCTCGCACAGAGCGCCAAAAACGAAACTAGATCCTCCCACGCGCAGACTTCCAGCTCTGCGAACCCCGTCGACGGCCGGCCCGGTTCGTCGTGTAGGACGATTCGCACCCCATCCAGGAATCGAGGGAGTTGGGACCATATGATTCGTTTTTGTTTTCCTGCTCCGGAGCGGGTGGACGTAGACCTCGAAGTTGAATTATAATTATAATTGTAGGTGTGTTGGGATTCTTGTTGTTCTCGCTGATAGATATCCTTCTGCTGCTGCTGACTAGGAATCGAATCCGAGATCAGATGAGTAGTCGAAGAACTAGCGGACCGATTAGGCGGGGTAGCGAACGGGTCATCTGGGATGGGGTTCTGGGTATCGATCTGTGGATGGGGGATGGGGTTTGGTTGATGGCGCAGGGTCTCGAGGAGGGCGAGGAGTCGGGATTGTAGCGGGGTGGGCAGATCGGGGGGCGTGGTGGTTGGTCGAGGGAGTTTTTTGGAGGTGTGTAGGGCCGTGAGCCAGAGGTCGAGGAGGTATGAGTCTGGTAGTTGGACCGGGTTCTGGTGTTAGAAAATGTGTTGTTCTGGTCTGTTTTGGGTGGCTTTGGGATATGAGGTATAGAAGCTGGGGATGAATGGATGGATGTATAGTAGATGAGGAGGGGTTTGGTTTGATGGATGAAATGGCATCGGGTGGGAAGGGGAGTCAAGAAAGATAGAGAACGTACCAACGTCGCCGTCCGCATAGTAAATATTCTTAATCACACTGGTGATCTCGCGAACCGCCTGGTCGAGCGAGAGCTGCTCGTGCATGTACAACGTCACGATAGAGGTGAAGGGTTTCTGAAGGGATCCTTGCGCCCAAGATTTCTGGGTGGCGATGGTGTCGAGTTCTTCCATGTTCGGTACTTCTCTGGGGATGAGGGTCTTGAGTTCTCGTGTGGATAGGAGGTTGCACACTGGATGGTTGACAGCTCCAAGTCGGGGAAAATTGGCGGAGAAGCTGGAGGAAGGAGGGGGTCATGATGTCATAGGTCAGATGGTGTGGTCGAGTCATGTTCATCATTTCTTCATAAATAGAGAATAAAATAATACTATATAATACAGGGGTATCTATCTTATCTGATCCGCTCTCCATCCCAACCAAGAAATAGAAACAACACAAACGTGGGCCGGTCCGGTCCATACTCACTCCGTCTCGTGTCCCTCCCCGTTCTCGAGACTCTCTCCCAGGAAGAAGTCCAGCTCGCTGGGCCCTCCGTGCGAGTGCTCGTTCTCCGCCAACTGCTCCAGGAGACTCAGGAACGGGTCTTTCTCCGACGTCCCGTGGTCGGCCGCCCCCGTCCCAGACCCGCCGCTGCTGCCCTGGGACTGCGCGCCCGGAGTTAGGGCCGTTCCGCCGACGGGCGCTTCGAAGGGGAACGTGGCGTATTGGGGCTGCGCGGCGGGCGGCGTCGGAGCGCTGCCACCTGCTGCCGCTGCACTGCTGGCCCCGGCCGGAGCGAACGACTCGGCCAGGAATGCGGAGCTGCTGACGCCGGACGGCGAGAATCCTGCCAGGGCGGAGCCGTCGGGGAGGCCGAGATCGGATCCCGGAGCCCACGAGGGGGACGCTTGGGAGGGGTGGAAGCTGAAGGAGTTGGATCGACCCGGTTGGGATGGGAGGGTCGGGGTGGCCGGCGGAATACCGGCGTACATGAGTCGGGGGTCGGAGAAGTCCGGTCGGTCGAAGGAGATACTATGATTGCCAAGTCAGCGAGACAATTAGGGATTTTAAGGGGTCGACAGGAACGTACGTGTCTTCTCCGTCCACCATTCGCACATGAGCCCCGTCCACGGCCAGGCCCGGGTACCGGTCGAAGAAATCCTCGAGATGAAAGACCGGAGCAAAGCGAACGGGGCGCGCCGCCAGCGTTTGTACCAGCTCGGCGTGGCCCGCCGAGATGGTCTGCAGCATCTCGCGCTGGTGCTGCACGCCGGCCCATGACTGCCGCAACCACGTCAGCTGGTGCATCTCGCGCGCCAGGAAGTCAGCGCTCGATGCAAACACCTCGCCCTCGCGACCGTGGTAGTGCACTCCGTGAACGTGCACCGTGCCCGCCGTGCACACACAGTAGGCCACCAGGTCCGGCCATTCGATGCGCGGGGCATGCCGCGCCAGCTCGACCAGCTCTGCGATGGCGTTTGCGTGGGAGAAGCACAGCGTGGTGGCCTCAATCTGCCACGACTGGTGCTGCCCCGTCCCGCGCAACTCGACGAGGTCGATCGGCAGGAACGGTCGGTAGAGCAGGCAGTGTACCAGGTGGTAGATAAGCTTGCTGAGCAGCAGCACGGTGCTCTCGGGGTGACCGAACAGCGCCTCGATCGACGCGAACAGGTCTTGCGTGCCGGCTGCCCAGATGTCCAGTTCCTGGCGGATCTTCGACAAGTTCGACAGGGCATGCCAGGGGAAGTGAGAGTCGCCCTTGACGCCGCCCGCGGCGAGGTAGCGATGGGTGACGCCGAGAATGCGTGTGATGTCGACCAAGAGGGCGGGCGCGCCGGGCCCCTTTCGTCGAGACTCGGACGCGTACTGGATGTTGGGGCCGACGGGGTTGAAGCATTCACCGGTCTCGGTCCCCGTGGAGGGCAACCGGAGCACGATCGAATGATCTGCGACGAGACAGGGGCGCTTTGAGCCGCAGGTGAGGAATCGGTCCATGATGTAGACGGTCCAGAACAGACGACGTCTCATCTCTCGTTCCGGCGCCGGAAGGGGTGCTGGCGAGGGGATCTCGCGGTACAGATCGAGAGCCAGAACCATGGCCACGGCGTTTGCTAGAGGAACATTAGTAACCATATACCAGCTAGTCGTGATGGACAAGAAGAGAACTATACCTAGAGTCATGTAGGCCTTCTTGCCGCAGCCATGGGCAAAGAAGGTCTGGGAGAGCAGCAGCAGGGTCTGCAGTCCCTCGACGGACGGATTGTCGATGTCGACCAACGGTCGCGCCTGTCGCGCATACTCCAGACTCTGTGGGGAACCGCTCGGAGATGTATACCTGGACACCAAGTCAGAAAGCCGGTTTCTTTCACTGGATATCAGTCAAGCATCTCCTACCAAAGCGTGACGGCATAGATGGCCATGGACAGGGCGGGCGACAGTTGCCGGCACTGGTGTCTTTGACGAGTCGAGGGCTCGTCCAAGATGAAATAAGGCTTGCCATGAAGCCGGGAAAAATAAGCGTCGAGCATTGAGTCCGATAAGCGGTTAGGGCTGGGGGTCGACAGGGTGGGCGGCGGCGGAGCCGGCTGTAGCGAAACCGGCGCCACGGGCAACTGAGACTCGAGCGACTTGACGGGCGACGTGGACGAGGCGGGCGATAGCGGATGATTCTCATCCTGTAGCCGTTTCTCGAGGCCATCAACGCGTTTCAGCAGGGCCTCGAGCACGTCGGTTTTCGGGCCTCGCTTCTTCGGCACGGCATCTGGAGGAACCATGAGTGTCAGCTTGTCATGCTCGATTTTTGGCTTTTACCAGGAGAGAAGCATCCACGGACCGTAAACACAGGGGCACTGGAACACCTTGCAGGCCTCGCAGCTGGGACGGAGACGATTGCATTTGATCTTTCTCTTCCGACAGGACTTGCAGTTCATGGACTCGCGCGGCTCGGCGGTCACCCGGCGCGGCGTGAGTCGGTCGATACTGACCTGGGGACGAGACATGGTCACATTGGACATGTAGGAAGATGAAAAGGTGATTAATTATTTACATGTATGAAGAATCAAGGAGAGGGGGAGAGGAAGATGGGGGGTCGGGGGGAATGGGGGGATGAAGGTGAAGATATACGGAGCGGGAGGAAGAGAGAAAGAAAAGAGGGAAAAGCGAGCGAGAGCGAGAGAAAAGAGGGGAAAACCAAACCCCGGATTTAAAGTGGAGGAAAAGGAAAAAACGTGGAGGGCACTAAGGCAGTGTTGGGTCTAGTGTTCTCTAGTGTCGCGGACTTACAGCCGATGCGGGGAGGAAAGCCGTGAAGATTAATTAATTCGGTTAATTGCGACTTGTTCATGGCGCCTCGGGATTTTCCCCTGTCCATCACGGACGCCTGCCCGTGTAGTTTGGCGCTGCTCGATCGTCGCATTGGAGATTGGCATCCTCCGTCTCGCGCTCTCTCTCCTGGGGATATCCGTGGGATCTCCCGATTGGAACGGAAAAGCTTCAATCGTATACTAGGAAAGTGATATTGTTCCATGTCAAGAAAAAAACGCCGTATCTATATCAAGACAAACGCACGGACGCTGCCACGTATATATGGAGTATGGAATCCCTCTCCCTCTGCCCTTAAGAGTCCCACACCACACGGTAGACAATGATCCTCCGAATTCAAATCAAAACACCCGCCCCGACGCCATGCGGACAAAATCAAACGGTACGTTCTGTCCGACCAACAGGCGAAGCGTCTCCACGGTAGTCCAGGCGTTGACGTCTTCGATGCCGTAGGCCGTCCATCCTGCCCGTTCGGCCACGCCCACCGGATCCCCCGTGCGCTCGCCGCGAGTGAGGTCGAGATACACCTTGCCGCGAGTCGACGGCGGCGAGGCACGTCCGCTGGTACGGTAGTGTCGCAGCAACGGTTGCACCAGCAGCGACTTCTCCGGGGGCAGCGCGGACACGATCACAAACGGTTGCTCCACCAGCTTGACCGATTGGATCGACGTGAAGGGCTCCAGTCCGTCCGCCAGCGGCCCGCTCGCCCGAAACCCGACCGTGTAGATCGCACCCACTCCTAGACTGCGCAGCGCAAACACCGCCGCCGACGCCTCGCTCTCGCTGCTCGCCAAGATGATCGCCGCTCGCCCACGGTAGGCCGACGGCACGTAGTCTCGGGTTAACGTCGCCCGAATCCCCTTCCACGTTGCATTCTCCCCAATCAGCGCCCCGCGCGCCGCCACGATCGTGTCGACCAGCCCAATCGCCCGCGCCGCCTCGCTGAACGCAGGCACACCGGCGTTGCTGCCGCTGGAGACGGATATCGGCGGATGCACGGACGCCCCGCCGAACGAGGGCTGCGTGATCACTCGCTCCACGGAGCCGCCGGGGCCGCGATCGATCGAGGTCAGCGTGTGCGGTAGGCTCAGCTCGTTGAAGCACTTCTCCATAAACATCGACTGCGGCGTGGACCGGAAGGACCCGACGGCGTACAGGTCCTTCTTAGGCAGCGATCCCATGATGTGCAGCGCCTCATTGATCTCCGCCGCCGTCAGCTGGCCCGGCGCCGCGATCATGGGTAGCAGTGGATGTGTGATAGGCGAGAACACCGTGTTCAGGGCACGCGAGAGCTGCCCCATCTGGCCCATGTTGACGGCCGATAGTAGCGGGTAGTCCCCGTGGGTTGTCCGAACCGTCGACCGGAAGTACTCCAGCTCATAGTTGGCCTCGATCGTGTTGACCATGGCGATCATCTTCACGATGTCCGCGTACCGGGCGCTCTCCGCGTAGATGCGCGGCGCCTCGGGCGAGGTCCACCGCCACGTGCCCGAAAAGTCGTGGAAGGCCGACATGATGATGCTGTTCCCCTTATCGTCCGCCAGGCGGCGCCGGATGTCCTCCGGCAGCCACAGCTCCACGTCGATATACTCCACGCCCCACTGGATGGCACGCCGGAGATAGCGGTAGAAGAGCTGCGGGTCGTCCATAGGGAATTTGCCGTTCTCCTTGGTGCACCGAGTCGTGAAGATGATCGGCAGCTCGGTATGTTGCCGCAGGAGCATCAGCTGCTGCCCTACGTACCGCAGGCTCGGCACGGGGCTCGAGCTCTCCTCCGGGGAGGGGTCCTTCAGCAGATCTACACGGATCTCGACGGCATCGGACCCGACGGACAGAATATCCAGGTTGGGCAACGCCGCATGGACGTCTGGGAAGGTGGTGGAGATGAAGTTGGTGCGACTTTTGGTCTTCAGGTCCTCATGCGGTCTCGCCTGACCCAGAATCAGCGACAGAAAGCGAGTCAGATCGCGGCGGAAGAAGGGACTGCGGAGCGAGTACAGGAACTCGTAGTGGCAGCAGTCGGTGAGCGCCTCCTCCGGAAACGAGCCGTCGTCCACGCAGTGAGTATTGATTAGAATCCAATCGGACTTGTCGCACCCTTCTAAGCTCCGAGCTAGGTCGTCGGCCAGGATTCCGGTCACGACCGCATTTCCGCACCGGCAACTGACGGCCGATAGCGAGCTTTCTGTCGTCCACGGCTTCCCCAGAACCTCCGCAACCACCTGCACGATCGCATCCTGACCGGCACCGTACACAATCACCGCCGCTCGCGAAGGCTCCGGGGGCACATTTTGCACCAAAGAAGCTGATAAGGCGAAGGAGGCGGCGGGTCCTTTTACAGAAGTAATGGGAGAAGAGGTCTCCGCAACAACTGTCATAGCCACGGGCTGATGAAGGGCTGTCTGCATCATCTCATTGCACAGGCAGGATACTGCGTTATCATACTTGAATGTCGACAGTCCACCCAGAAACTCAAGAAGCACAGGAAAATTCAAAGATTAAAAGCAGGGAAAAGATAAAAACTAAAATGGTATATAGAGAGAGAGTAGTGGGGACCAGATTAGGGACGATACGCCTGGACTCGCATCGATGATCGGGGTCGGAAATTGCAGGATCCTTATAACTGACTCCCCAGATATCCTCGACCAGAGCACAAGAGAGAGGGAGGGTGGAAGGAGGGGAGGAAGAGGAGCGGAGGAGGTCTTATCAATCGGACAAAGGATCAACAACGGGAAGGGGGGCAGGTTTAATACCCGGAAGGCCCGAACAAGAGAGAAGAGGTGAGGGTAAGGGAGGCGGACCCTATCGCAGCCCGCCCAATAATAAGGAGTAGGGCGGGAAGTTGATTCTGATTGTGTAAGTGAGTTACACTCGGTACTACCTGGTCCAGAACGGAAAGCGATGGAAGCTTGTAACAAGAGACACCGGGGACAGGTTAGGGAGTCCAGGCAAGGACGACCGTAGCATTCATGGAGAGAAGAGAAAGTCGAGAGTTGATTGAAGTCGACTTCCGACGGCTAAATTTCCCCGGGATTCCTGCTCCGCATCCCGGAAGGCGGACCCCATTTCTCCGCCAATCACGTTGATGCCCTTGGGTATATGGTTTTGGGACTATGGAGTCCCTACTTTAGAGTATACACCGTACACTGCACAGGGTACACCGGACGGTGGAGGATCAGATGTCAGTCCAGCACGCAGGCTCCTGGCAATGACATCAAAAGACACACTCGGAATCTCCACGACGTCTTCCAGTCGCCATTCCATACCGCTTCGTTTTCGCTATCGCGCTGCGGCTGATTGGACGTGCGCTTGGCTCAGACTTTCGCCTTCCGATCCACCGTCAAAGGCGGTCGATGATACGAGGAAAATGCTGCCCATGCTGCTGGCTGCGGCGTTTCCTGTTGGTCCGTGGCATATCCACCGTGTCTAGGTCCCTGGCCTACGCTCGATCCTGAGTGGGACTCAGGGGGGACCAAGCTAGGTCCCTAATTGTCCGTCTGCCTGCATTCATCCGGTGAGCACGCCTCTACAGACCAGAACGGTCGATCACTCTCAAAGTCTAGCCTGCACTGATAACTAGCGGGGGTTCTGTCCTGCCCGTTAGGAGATAGAGAGATTCACTGTCCAAACGACGCCCCCGGGGCATTTCGGACGGTCAGCCCTGCGGCGTTGCCTACAGAGAGCCTATGCGTACTCCTTATGGACTATAGCCGGACACTTGCACTAGTCACCGTACCCTTGTCTTCATTTCCAGAGATTTTTTTTTTTTTCTATCGACCTATGTCTGCGTCAGGTTGGGTGCACAGCAGAAACCCGGAAGCACGCCTTTATCGCAACGAAATTGAATGGAAAATAACGACAGAAGCCACACCAATATGTAGAGAGAAAGAGCTGAAGTCACGTTAGAACAGAACCAGTCAAGAACCAGAGGTATTACACGGAAAATAATAAAAAATAATATTTGAAATAGAAGAGAAATGTCAACCAATCACAGGGGGTATTGGGAACTAACAAAAATGACAAGCAAAAGGGCCAAAGACGAAAAACACGCCAGAATTGAGACAATAGGGTCCAAAGATCACGATTAATTATCGGTGGCTCGGGGATCAGCACGGTGTATGTATGGGTGTAGATGGGTATGTGTACATGAATGCATATGTGATGGTATGTATGTAATTCTATTATTGCCAGGTTTCGGTGGTCTTCCATGATCTGGCCGGTAAAGCGGGTCATCAAAAAGGGCAATCTCCAGGGCCACGGCCCCTCAAGACCGTTCCCTGTGCCAGGCAACCATGGCCCGCGAGGGTAGGATCTCGACACTCGGCCGACCCACGGATGCATGTGCTCACGTCCTTCATAGATGCGGTTATCGGTCCACCCGTGCGAAAATCTTCAGCTATTCCGGGATGGGGGTCCTGAGATCATAGGAGGGGTTGGAGAAGAAATACTAGCGGTCGCAGATACTGCACACTAGAGCAGGAAATGTCGCCGGTGGGGAGGGGACGGAATCGACGAGTGTTTCGAATGTCCCGGAGCAGCCAGTTGCAAGGTTCACTCGTGTCATCGATTCCTGCAGTGTATATCCACATGATGTCGTTCAGCCGCGATTGGTAATGGTGGCTAGAGATATGACGGAAAAATACGTGGTAGGCTCATGACACGCAGGGTCGTGCCATATCCAATGATAGTCGCT